CTTTCTTCCTTTCTTCCTTTCTTCCTTTCTTCCTTTCTTCCTTTTTCTTTCTCTTTTCCTTGTTATTTCTGTTCAGAGAGCACAAAAGCAATGATAAGTGTTTCTTGGAGTTTTCTAATGTTTTGAATGTTAACATCAGAGAAATGAAGAAAACCCAGCAAGTGGCTTTTCTGTGAGTGTGGAATCATGCCATACAAAGTCATGCCTTACAGTACATCAGAGAATTTCCACAGGAACATGGGAACATTTATGTGGACGTACCTCAGAATTCAAATTATGTGAACCATAACAGTATGTCATCCACTCTGATAGATAGGATCTTAACTTAAAAACAAACAGAACCCCAACCTCCCAAAAAACCCCCAAACAGAATAAGTTGTTGAGTATTTAGTTACCCCACACCATACAGAAAGACTGTATCTCTCCTCATTTGCTCCTTCTATGTTTAGAAAGCATGCCAAAGAAAGCAATTTCCAGAAGTCCCTATTATGAGTTGTCTAAAAAAGCCAGGAATTATGCTAATCTCATTAGAATTTTCTTATCAGTGGTGTAGTTACATCAAGAAATGAGGGTAGAGTTCATACAGGGTGCTTCCTGTGGTTTTCTATGTTTTCATCAAGTATATGAGTGTCATTTCTCTACAGTCTCTTTGTGAAAGCACACTGTAAATTCTGATGAAGTATGTAATTTTTTGCTTTCTCTGTCATTACAGTTCTTGTTTTGTTTCTGCTTTCTTCCCTATAATCTCTGAACTCTGATCTGAAGCCAGAAACAGAAGTACCATTAAGTACTTTTTTTTTTCTTTTTTAAAAATTCTTTTATGAAACAGAAAAATAACAGGCATTTGAAAGTGAACAACTCCCTTTGTTTCAAATCCCTTCAGCTGGTTTCTGTTGTTGAATCTGACAGGCCTGGTTTCACCACCAAACACAGCTTGTCAAAAGTGATTTTCCTTCAATGGCTCTTTGTCCAGCTGGAGACCAGTCAAAAATGGTGCCTCCAGGAGGCTGTCTTGGGACTAGTACTCTTTAACGTCTTTATCAGTGACATAGATAATGAGATTGAGTGTCCCTCAGCAAGTTTGCTGAAAGCATCAAAATGAATAATGCAGTTGATACAACGAAAGGAAGGGATGCCATCCAAAAGAATCAGGATAGGCTCTAAAAGCAGGCCTGTGAGAACCTAGTGAGGCTCAACAAGGCCAAGTGTAAGATACTGCACGTGGGTTGAGGCAATCCCAGATATGTGTACAGAGTTGGAGAAGAACTCCTTGACAGCAGCCCTGCAAAGAGGGACTTGAGGGTCCTGATGGAAAACCTGGACATGAGTTAGTAGTGTACATTTGCAGCCCATAAGTCCAATTCTATTTTGGGATACAAGACAGTGGCCAGCAGGGAGAGGGAGGTGATTGTTTACATCTGCTTTGCCCTTGTGAGGCCCCACCTGGTGTATTGCATCCAGGCTTTTGGCACCCAGCTCAAGAAAGATGCGTATCATTTGGAGTGGGTTCAGAGGAGGCCATGGAGGAGATAAGAGGGCTGGAACACTTCTCCTGTTAAGAAAGGTTGAGGGATTTGGGCTTGCTTAGCCTGGAGAAGAGAAGACTCCACGAACAAAACAAAATAAAATGAAAAAAAACTTAACACCACAAAAAGCAGCAGCAGACATTCTCCTCTCTTGCCTATTCACATTCACATTCATTTTGATACATACTGGTCCCCATGTATTGCAGAGGAAGAATGGGCATGATAGAGAATATATCCACAGGCAGATATGAGTAATTGGAATTGCTTCCTTTTAGAAAAGAAGAATAAGTAAAGAATAAGGCAGAGTAGCTTGGGAAGAAAATGAGGGAAAGAATTCCTAACATAAGCATCCTAAGGACAGTATTATGTGAATATACTTCCAATGGAAATAATGATATTTATAATCACAGAATCACAGAATTGTAGGGGTTGGAAGGGACCAATCCCCAAACTATACCCCCCAGTCTACCCCCAGAACTATAAGGTTTGGAAGGGATCTCTAGACCATCATGTTCAGACCCCTTCTAAAGCAGGTTCCCTACAGCAGGTCGCACAGGTAGGCATACAGGTGGATCCCAATTATCTCCAGGGAAGGACACTCCACAACCTCTCGGGGCAGCCTGTTGCAGTGCTGTCACTCTGACAGTAAGGAAGTTTTTCCTTGTGTTAGTATGGAACTTCCCATGTTCCAATTTCTGCCCATAAAAATAGTGCACATGAATCATAGCATGAAGGACAACTTCTTTCCACAGCTAAACTTCAATCTTTAATTAGAAAAAGTGAATAATAGTTCTACTGCACTTTTCAAGGATGTGAAACTGGAGTTAGTCAAGGTCACCAACATTTCCTGTCAGTGAGTCTACTACAAAGACTGACCTTTATGCTACTTTCTAAGAACTAGGATCACTGTCACTATTGCTTTCCCCACCAGGAGAAAAAAATCGGATTTCTTAATCCATTTTGGACTGATTTAGAAGTGGATTAAAGGAAGAGAGCTTCTTCCACACCAGTTCAACTTTAAAATAGGGCAATATCAAAAATGAAACAGTAAACAGGAAGTTAAAACGTGTAACAAATGCTGAGTATGTGAATCACAAATTCACATGCAGTGCTATATCCTGAAAGTCTGCACCTAAGAATCTATTTTTAGGAGTATTTTGTCTCTTGTAATCAAGAAAACCATTTATAAATCACTTCCTTTTGATGCTGCCAGGACCTCTTAAGACAATTCATTCGTTTAATTCACATGGGGTAAAGAGGTATATAAAAAATACATTTTTCCAAGTTTGCCCAACTGATAATTTTTAGTATACACTGTGCTGGGATAACTCTTTGGGTGATCAAGATAGCAATGTAAATCTAACTGAGTTTTAGATACATTAATGGAAAGGAGCTTGGGATAATAAGTTTTTTGAACTTGCAGTTCAAGAGGAAGAGCATTAGCCCTTTGTGAGGAAATGCTGTAATCCAGTTTGTAAGATTGTAAAAGATTTGTGGATTGTAAAAGAACCAAAATCTGCTGTTTCCTAATTTTTGTTTTGTTTGAAAATATACTGTCATGATGATTAAACTGCAGAGGGTTTCGTACTGTACTCTGACACAATAACTTCAAATAGTAAGGCTTAATACAGCAAGGCATGCTGTGTAGAAAAGGGTATTTGTAAATATTCAGCATCTTTAAGAAGCTGCTAAGCAAGTTAGTCGTAACTTGCTAATATGGGCACTTTCAAAGCAAATGGATATTAGGAGAGAAGTGACCAGGAACCAATAGGGAAATTACCCTTTTGTCTCCTTGACCTTTGACTTACTTGGATCAAAATTTGGCAAAGATTGCAGCTGCTAAGTATATTACCATGGGATGTAGGTAGTGGCATTTAGTCAGACTGCAAAAATAGACAGTCCCCTCCCCAAGCACCAATACAGTTTAATTTTTTCTTCTGGCAGAAAGATAAACAGGGAACTGACATCTCTTGGAATATATAAGCACCCCCTCGAAGCTCTGAGGGTTTGTGCTTGGTGGGGAGCTCAGCTGCTTGTCCTCTTGTAACTTGATGCAAGTCGTGTGCTAAGTGCCTGTACATTCAGCTGAAAAGTCAGTTGCCCTTATTCAAGGTGAGTCATATGATTCATTTAAAATCAGGGAATTTTCCTCAGAAATCCTTTTAAATTCACTTGATGGAAAAATCTTGAAAGTACTTATTCGTAATGTAAAATAAAATGATAGGATTTTGCAACACTGCAAGGAGAAATAGAAGTGTACGTGCATTAGTGGATCTCTTCATAATGTTAATAGTAGAATTATATGTTCAGTGTTGCTGGTTTTCCCAATTTTATTCTGTCATTTGATATTTAATATTATTGAAAGTACAGCTCCTGAAATTAGGTGGATATTTAGAAAATGCATGTTTTAAAAGTGGTATTTGTAACATATGCTATTGTAATGTTGTAAAAATTTAATTATTACAATTCACAATAAAAAATTCAAAACTATAATTCAAAAGTACATCAGCCTTTAAAGGAAAATGAAAAGCAGAAATAATCTCTTCCCTGAAAATGTATCTATTAAATATTTCAAAATTTTTAACATCACTTTCTAACCTCAAAAGAAAAAGTGGAATTTTGTTTTAAAATAACCATGTTTGTGGGTTAAGATCCTCACCAGTATTTTCAAAATCTCTTGTTTTCATTATGAACACTTCCCTGTTTACTTTCTGTTAGCTGGGGCAGCAAATCAAATTCAATGACAGAATCAAAGAAGTCCACACACACACAAAAAAAAATGTTTTAAAATGACTATTGGATCTGGAGAAATCATTAAGGAAGTGAAGACAGTATTCTTCAGTTTGTGTAAGGGCTTACTTTGAGTTAATATGTGCAAATATAAGTGAAGTTGCGAAGAAACACTATTGGAGGAAATTACTACTTTAATCTTTACATTTTATGTTTATGTTCAGTTATGATAGAAATATGTTATTTACTTCTGTGCAAATAAGTTGTGAGTGCTCTTCACTGCAGTTGTGTAATGGATAATTGGAATAGCATAAATTGAGCTGTGTCTAGACTATTGTTATATTGTGTTTGGTGGGAGAAGGGTGAATAGGCAGAAGCTATAAGCAGTCATTGCTTCTATTAATTAATAGTGATGATGAGGGATATCTATTCTACCTAATGTAAAAAATCCACTGGATCAGCTTGTAATATATTTCTGTTGATTCTGAAAAGCCTCATTATATAAGCAAAGAAAAATAGTCTGACAATATCTAAAAGCCCTTTTCAAAGACTTATGGAAAAAATAATTTCCTTTTTTTAGTTTTAAAATAAATATTTACAAACTTTCTCATTTAAAAAAAAAAAAAAAAGAAAAAAAAAAAAAAAGGCTAGGGTATATAAATACAGGCACAAGATGGATTTCCAAAGCAGAAGAAAGAAGCAGTCTGGGCTCAGGTGTAGACAGATATGATGTTATTGTTGTTACAACATGCAGGACACAAGAGGACACCAGCATTAACCTGCTGACCATGTACATGGTGTCAGTAAATGATGTGTGTGTCCTTTGTCTTACCCCCATTAAAAAGGGCATCATAACTGCATATGGGATTTACAAAAATGAAACGTGGCTCATCCTACAACTGCTTTACTATTTGGAAATCCAGGAAGTTTTTTAGCCCTTTAATTGTGAGTAAACTGGGAATTCAGGTTGAGTTGTTCTTTCATTACATCCTTCTGCTTTTCTTTGCTCTGCTTGGCCATGAGTGTGTAATTAACTCTACAACTAATACCTGCTTTAAAAGTGATTTAGAAATGATCCCAACAAGCTGACAGATGTAGGTAAAAATAAGAAGGACTATGGCAATAATGTCTGAAGTAGAAAAGAGCGGATTTACTGTTATTTGGAGGTCCAAGGCAAATAAGAAACTTAAATTCTGTGGGTGTAACTAATTGCTGAGCAAGTATAAATTATGCAGCTGTTTTCATAAGCATTATTAAATATGACAAAATATCGCTAGGAGCTTATATGTTATCATTTCACAGCACTGGCATCATTGTGATTTTGTTTCTGACATCTTCAGATAGGGGCCAGATCTCAAGATACTTAAACTCATACTGCAAGCAAAGGTTGTTTCCCAATGGATAATTAAAAACTTTTTTTTTTCTTTTTTTTCTGAGACTGAATTAAATATAAGGTGTTACACACTCAAAAGATCAATACCTAGACAGTTGTTAAGAAGTCTGCCTTTCTGTAAAGCAACTGAGATTGGTGAAATCAGCTGGTGGGGTGGATGGCTGAGAGTAAGAATTCAACTCCTACAAGGAAAACCCGGTAATGCTTTGGCCTTGAAGTTGCCGAAACTTTGGGAGAAGTTTTTCACAGGTGCTGGAACAGGCTGTCCAGTGAGGTCATGGATGCACCATACCTGGTGGTGCTCAAGGCTGGGTTGGATGGGGCCCTAGGCAGCCTAATCCAGTGCTTGATCTAACAGTCAGCAACCCTGCCCACAGTGGAGGTTGCAACTGGATGATCTGTGACGTGCCTTCCAGTCCAAGCCATTCTATGATTCTATGAAACAAAAATTTTATCCCTTCAGTAGTAGACTGTGGACTGACAGAGGTACAAGAAGACGGACTTTTTGTAGATGCCTCTTATTAGAGACTGCCATATCCACTAAGGCGTGTTGCAGGCCTAGCCTGGGTGGCTTACACAAGTGCTGTAAACTCCTGATTTTGCCTGAAGTGGTAGCAATGGGCATTGCAGGCTGTGATCAAGGCTGAAGGCTATAACCTCCTGCTTTGGAACAGGGAGACTTCTGAGAAAGTGTTTTCCTAAGGAAGAGTGTCATCTGAGTACTGTTATGACAGTTTTCCTTTGTACTACAGAGCCATAACACAAAGAAAAAGGGAGAGGAAAAAAAAAAGCAAATGAAACAACGTAATGGCCTTTAAGAAAATGAGGAAAAACCAGATTGTTGTATGTGTCAAGTGACTAGCATGCCAAATGTGTATAAAACTTTTTTCCGGTACTGCTATCCTCTATCTGACTGTTGTTGACATGTTATCTTCCTACCTATTTCATCTCATGTACTTTGTATTTTTGACCTTTAGAATGTAATTTTTTGTTCACTCTCTGTGTACATTACCAGCTTCTCTCACGAAGATCAGTGAGTCTGTTGGGACCAAGAAGTGTGAAAAAAACCTTGGAGAACTGCAACAAGGATATTTTTACATTTCCTGTCTGTACCCTGTCAAAGGAGAGGAATGACTTGTAATAGAAGCTGTGGGCTCCTTACTGGAGCTGTCATTGGTGCTGTGCTGGCCATCTTTGGAGGAGTTCTGATACCAGTTGGAGATAACCTCATAAGCAGAGCAATAAAAAAGGTACAAAATGTTTCTTTTTTTTCAATCCAGTGGTTTTCTGATTCCTGAATAGTCATTATTTTTGAATCTTTTGTTCTTTCTCCTTTTTTTTTTTTTTTTTTTTTTCATTTTCTTTTAACTTTTTTTAAAGCCTTATGTAGTGTACAATCCAAACTTTCCTGGGAATAGTTGCTGCAGCACTTACTTTAATATTTTTATTACATTACCACATTTGCTGGCTTTTTCATGATTTGAGTGAGAAGGTAAAATATTTTTTCAAGATTAATTTTAATTAATTAATAATTTTAAAAATTTTAATTTAATAAATAAATATAATTAAAATAAAAAATATTTAATTTTATTACAATTACAATAGTTACTGTTTTCTTCTTTTACCACTATACTGATCCAACTGTTATTCTGCATTTTTTTTCTTAATTGGGACTCACTCCATGCATTTATGCATGCACTTCATGCAACTATGCACTCCTTACTACACATAACCTACACAAATTTCTAATGCAGAATCTAGTCTTACTCTTGAGTTCATTCAGATCATGTTCTGTGACTGTGTAATTGAAACATGCTTTGCTTCATGAGACTACAAAATCTCACCACACACCTTTCTTTGATTTAAGGAGTGTGAAGAATAACTGAAGTAGAGTATTGTAGACTTCATGCAGAAACATTTCCCCCTTTCTCTCTCTCTCAATCTCTTTTCACTTGATTTTCTTTAGAATCTAGTTTTGACTGTAGTTAAAAATACAAAGTTAATTTGTTAAACCTTCTGTCAAAATGAGTACATAACTGTGGGTTTAAGCCATACTGAAAAGAAATGACCGTGGAAGCCATGGAAACCAGTTAAAATTGGTCAATTAGACCATCCAACAGTTAGAAATCAAGCTTTGGTTAGGCTTCCTAACAGATCTGCTGTGAAGTTGAATGTGCTGGAAACTTTGGAGAGAGATATTTAAAAACCTTTCTGGTAGACTGGACATAATTTATTCATCAGCAGTATAAATCAGAGAACTGGATACATGGTCAGGAAATGTTTCATTGCCTATTGAAGCCTTGCCTAGATTCCACCATCACTTTGTGGAGAAAAAAAAAAAAAAAAAAAAAAAGACTAAAAAAAACCAAAACCCTAAAAAAAAAGTCTTCTCATTCAATTCAATTCTTAGCATCCATTGTATTCTCTCATGATCTTATCAGATTCATAGAAAAATATAAAAAAAAATATTAATTGAAAAAGAGGAGTGTCTCTGCATAAAGTTTCACCCACCTTCTAGTATTTTACAAAAAAAAAAAATAAAATAGACATTGTCTACAACTGCAAATAATTTCAACTGATTGAAATATTGAGGAAGTTGAAAATTTTCTTGTAAACGTGTTATTTTAGAATGTATATCTCCTTATACCAAAAATTTTCTTTCAGTTAATCCACAATGTTGTCTTGTGCAGTTAGCATTTTTGATGCAAATTACACACACTGCAAATGTTGTGTTCATCTGTTTACTTTGTGTTCATCTGTTTACTTGTAATAACGGACCAGTTATACAGCATACTTTGAAAATATCTACATATTATACATGCACAAATTCTTAGTAATGTTTTAGACAGAGTAATTTTTCTTTTCCCTCTTTATAATTTTCTGCATTGCGATCATGTTTCAGATGTTTGTAACTATTTCAAGACAACTTGTCAGAAGTATATAAAAATGAAAATTAGTGCCACAATTAATCTGAATAACACAAGAGTAAATTTGTAGAGTCTTTGTTTATTTAAGTAATAGGGATGATTTGTTTTTCTAACCACAAGTCAAACTGGATTATTTCTTCTCTGTTTATCATGCTGATTATTCAGTGAGACCAGGAGACTGCAAGGCAATTGCTTTTCTCAAAAGATAAATACAGCTAAAATACAAGATCAGTTCAGAAGATGCGCGAGAGGGTCTTGAATCTACCTAGAGACATAGAATGGTTCCTAGTTCTGATTTACTTGTGTAAATGAAATTGCTAACAAGAATAACAAATATTTTTTATTCACTGTTATAATGCTTAAGATAAATATTAACATATACTATTTTTTTTTCTAAAGCTTTTTGTTTTTTAAACAAGAATAGAAAATGTTGTTTTTTAAAGAAAATTTCAGTGGCAGTTTCATTGGAATTTGTCAACAGAGATTGTAGAATAGAAACAAATGTACAAACAAAAAAAAGATTTTTTCCAAGATACGATCTGTAAGTATGCGTATTTCCATTTCATCTGATGTGAGGCATAAAGATGACAACAACCACCAGTAGCATTGTGCAAGAGATTAACTAAACAAGGTCAATTTCAAACTATTTCAGCGTTGGTCCTATACAGCGAAAGGTGCCTTTTTTTAAAGGCACCTTTGATTTCAGAACCAAAGGAACAAAAGTTGTTTTCCCAAGCTGCACCTATCCAGAAGGCAAAGATAGCATTCCATGAAGACCTCTACAAAAAGTATTTTGTTTGAGGCTATCAAAATATGCATTTGTATATGACTCAATACATTTATGTTGCTCACTGTCGTGATATAGAATCGTAGAACTCCTCAGGTTGGAAAACACCTTCAAGATCATCAAGTCCAACCACAACCTAACCGTACTACCCTAACTCTAACAACCCACTGCTAAATCATGTCCCTGAGAACCACATCCAAATGGATTTTAAACGCAGTCAGGGATGATGACTCCCTTGGGAGCCTATTCGAATGCTTAACAACCCTTTCTGTAAATATTTTTTCCTAATTTCTAACCTAAAGCTCCCCTGGTGCAACTTGAGGCCATTTTCCCTTGTCCTGTCACAAGTAAGAAGAGACCAACCCTGTTTTCACTGAAATCGCCTTCATACCTTCATTAACATTAAAAAAAAGAAAAAAGAAAAAAAAAAAAAGGAGAGGTCTATTCAAAACAATCGATCAGAAAATTTATATCTGATACTGCTGAAAGGAGATGTATAACTGAGCCACGTCAATATTTTTTGCCTTTCTCCCCCTAAATATGATATTATTAACTTTGAAAAATCGAGTTTATTTTTTCCAGCTAAGTCTAATCATTCAAAGCCATTGTTAGGTGATTTATTTTCCACTTTTTCTCTAAGATCTTTTGCTGCTTACCAGAATGCAAACTCAAAAGATTAAGAGAAGCTACATGATATTACTTAATATATTAAACTCCTAGTGAGTTGATAATACAGAATATTTTGTCATAATACATCAGTGCTCTACTATTTCAGTGGAGTCCTCAGGTTAGCTTCTGCTGTTTTTGAAGGAAAGCTATCAGTTTTAGCTATTAATTACTGTGTTAAGGCATCTGTCTCTCTACACATCTATTATACATGATTGGCCAGATCATTGCCTTTTGGATACCAGAGGCATAGGTAATTTTATTTTTTAAAACATTTAATTTTTTTTTTTTTTTCTGTGAAAGACATATGCAACTTCTCTATCTTAACCAATAAAACTAAAGCAACAGCTGGCTTCAGAAACATACATGATCATATAACATGTATTTCATATTTCAGCAGTGGTAAAATTGATTGGCTTCCATAAATTTTTTATGACCAAGAACTGAAAAAGGACTCAAAGTTTTGCTTCAACAAAGCCCGAATAGGAAGTCTAATATGTGGGAGAACTATCATGACATAAAAAGTAATAAATGTTTATTCCTACTTTCAGCTACAAAATGGGAGATTGTTTCCATGGAATTTAGTTACTTCAGTTTCACAGGACCATGTTGTTATCCCCAGCTTGCATTTGCAGCCTAAAATATGCAACACACAAAAACTAGTGATAAACTAGCAGCAGTTTTCTTGCAGCCTAAGGTACACACAACATCTTTCTGTTCCCCCAGAATCGTGACATTTTTTTGCTTGATTGTGTGCAGTTTTCTCCATAAGAAATCATAATTACTGATTTTTGTCTAAAGCGGTAAAATACAGCAGGCTTCTATTGTTGACTGCCTGAGCCTTCAGTTTGTGTATTGTTGGTTGACCCATCATCAGTAGAAAAATGTCAGAAAGACAAGGGGGTTAAAGTTCCTCCTGCTGTCACTCAGTCTTGCACATGTAGGTCATGAGCTGAACTTATCTGTGTAGCAATTGCATTCTGTATAGCTACTTTTGCTAACGATAGTTAAATATTGCTTAAGGAATTAGAGATAGATACTAGGAGCTGATGTGTTTATGTCTGTCCATGGCAGGCAGGGTGGAACTTGATGATCTTTAAGGTCCCTTCCACCCAAAACAATTATACGATTCTAGAACTAAGGAGCTGAGACTTGTTTCATATTAACAGTTGTGAATTGTTTGTTTCCCATATTACTCCACCTTTCATAAAATTACAGTGGACAAAAAGCAGAGCAGAATTACTAAGTGAGTGTATGTGAAGCCAGCTACAGAGAGGGATAGTATTTAGGGGTGGCCTTGCAAGTGATCAGACAGCCAAAGCCCAAACACTTGCTGGTGTGAGTACACTAGTGCTATTAAATGAGAAATTGAATAAGGACAGGCTTCTGGATTTTTTCCACTTTAACCCATGATCTTCACTCTTAAAATATGTGGCAGCAAAATGTACACACCTTCTTTTTCAAAAAAGTGTTACAATAATGGCCAAATGCCAATAAAAAGAATAGTCTTACTCCCTTCCTTCTCCTCCCTCTTTTGTTCTTCTGCTTCCCATGTTTAAACCCTGATTCTCATTTGATCCTCACCCCTTCCCACACAGTTGAGCCAAATAGCTCGCTGGCAGAAAAGTAACCAAACAAAATAAAAAAAGGAAATAGTCTTCCTCCAGTCCAGAAAGGAGATAAAGTTCCTGGAGGAATGAGAACTGGCCCAATACAAGGGGAAGGTGAATGCATCAGGTCCAGGAGTTGGTAGTAGGTCTTTCCCTTCAACTGCAAAGCTGTCAGGATAGGCTGGCTGTCCTCTTAAAGCTGCCTCCATGTGGTAGTAGTGCCATTTTGTGGATGGGCTGCAAATCCATAAGGGAGCACACTTTAGCCTGGCTGCCCCGCTACTTTACTCCCTGGGGCGTCTTCATGCAATATCCAAGATCATTTTTCACCATCAGCATTTCCCAAACATATAACACAGACACAGTTATTCCTGAATGAAAAGAAAGGGAGAGTCACTCCACCTTTCTAGGTGAAAAGCAAATTAGCTCTTGACTGATAAGAAAGTACATAGTACATATGAGATACGATCACTGCAGAATAAATGCAAAGTGCTCCTAATGTCTAAAGCTGAGGTCAGATAGGATGCTACTTCTGCACCTCTCAAGGAAGGAGATGTCCAGCATCTCTGAGCAAGATCTGCAGTGGTGGGGGAGTCAGTGTGTCATTCTGTGCAGCTATAATACTAGCAAAGGGTTATAGGAGAAAAAAGGGGTGGGAGGGAAACCTTAAAGGTTTTAAGAAGCCAGTAACACTGCTTTCAAATTTTGTCCAAGTTTGCAACTCCTCTGTTCATTTTGTGCCTGTTACATGCTGTAGACTGTATTACAGAGAGTTTAGTTTGTCTTCTTGATCGTGTAACTGCCAGAGATCCTTGAGCATTCCCCTGTCCCAGTTGCACAGAAGTAGGACGTCAAATTCTTGCCTGTGCTCTCATCCAAAATACCTTGCTGAATACAATACACAAGCAGACCCTTAGCAGGCTGAGCTGCATGTGAACAGACTACACTACACTAAAGTAGAATAATTAAGTTTGCATAAGATCTTAAAGATCATCAAGTCCAACCATCTACCTAACACTACAACCCCAGTGCAAAACCATGTCCACCCATTTTTAAAATGTCTTAAGGGATGATGACTCCACCACCTCCCTCAGGAGTCCGTTCTAATGCCTGACCACTCTTCTTGTGAATAAATTCTTCCTGATATCCAATCTAAACCTCCTCTACTGTGACTTAAGGCCACTTCCTTGTATCCTATCACTTGTCACCTGAGAAGGGAGAATTAACACACTGCTCAGTGCAACTTCCTGTCAGGGAGAAGTAGAGAGCAATGGCGTCTTCTCAGCCTCCTTTTCTCTAAACTAAACATCCTCAGTTCCCTCAGCTCCTCCTCATGTGTCTTGGTTTTCTATTCTCATCAACAGCTTCATTGCTCTTCTCTGCACATATTCAAAGAACTCTTATAGTGAAGGACCCCAAATTGAGCACAGTATATGAGGTGTGATCTGACCAGAGCCAAGTACGGAGTGACAGTTCCTTCCCCAGTCCTGCTGGACACACTACTTCTGATGCATGCCAGGACACCATTGGCTTTCTGGGCCACCGGGGCACACTGTTGGCTCATGTTCAGCTGGCTGTTGACCAGGACTCCCATGTCCTTTTCTGCTGGGCAGCTTTTCAGCCGCTCTTCCCCAGGCCTATACCACTGCGTTGGATTGCTATGAGCTGAATGCTCCACCCAACATTTACCCTTGCTGAATGCTGTACAATTGAATGCAGTCCATCAATCCAGCCTACCCAGATTGCTCTTGCAGAGACTTCCTGCCCCTACTGCAGATAAACACTCCCATCCATCCTGGTGTCATCTGCAAACTTACTGGGGGTGTACTCAATCCTCTTATTAAGGTCACTGATAAAAATATTAAACAGGACTGACCTCAATACTAAGCCCTGAGGAACAGCACTTGTGAGCAGCTACCAGTGAGATTTAACTCCATTCACAATGAACCTTTGGGTCTGGTCATCCAGCCAATTCTTTACCCAGTGAGCAGTACATCCATCCAAGCCACAAGTAGCCAGTTTTTCCAGAAGACTGTGGAAAACAGTATCAAATGTCTTGCTAAACTCCAAGTAAACAACAATTTGCAGCCTTTCCTTCATCCACTAAATGGGACATCTTATCATAGAAGTACATCGGGTTAGTCAAGCAAGATCTGCCTTTCATAAACCCATGCTGACTGGGTGTGATTACCTGAGTGTTGTGTATGTACTGTGTGGTAACATGCAAGATGATCTGCACCATGACCTTCCCTGGCACCAAGGTCAGGCTGACAGGCCTGTAATTCCCTGAATCCTTCTTCCTGCCATTCTTTTAGATGGATATCACATTTGACAGCCTCCAGTCTTTATGTTGACCTGTTTCTCCCAGATCCTTTGAGTAATTATCTGTGAAACTTGAGAAGCTAATTCCCAAACCAATGAAAATCTCTCTTCACGAAAGGAATGGCTTTCCCAACTCCGGATCACAGCTGGAACAGTCCTTGGCTTCCTAGGGTTTGCAAGACAAGGTTGAAGGGAATTGTAGCTGTTAGGTCTGAGTGCAAGCCCTCAGGCTGATAACACATTTGCAGTGGAAATGTTTCCCTCCCCTAACATAGAAATGCACATGAATTATACCAGAAATTTGGAAAACAATTTCAATGCCTTATACTACCAGCAGAGGATTTGCAGCTAGACTACAGAAACAGCCTTTTCTCAGGCAAAACATTGTCTTTGTCAGTTCTTCAGGAGGTCACATTCACTTGTCAAACTGTGGTTCTTAATTAGTACTATTCTTTTTTGAATGGTGTTTGCTAAAGAAACTCTAGAATCAGAAAATTAAGATAGAAAGAAAATCTAGTAAATTTAAATTGTAATTTAAAATGTCTTTTCTTGCTGCATAACTTTCTGGAAGATTCCAATTCTTTCTTTTCTGTAGCTCAAGTGAACTCTGAAACTTAAGTAAATAATATTGCACAACTCAGCTAGAAAGTACACTGTGGGTTGCAGATAGCCTGCTTAGAATTATCTTCCTATTGCAAAACCTTTTCTAAATTTTTACCTCCAATGGATTTACAAAAATGTATTGTTCCAGCTATTTATGAAAATTACATAGAAATCTAATGTAGACTAGACAGAGCAGATATACCTGTCAATGTGGGAAATATACTTTCAGACTCTTACTTTCACTTTTCAGTCCCAAGTACTCAATATGCATTAATCATTGTATGTCTGAGAGCCATACAAAAAGCTGTTGGTCACTCCGTAACAATTCCCAGTGTCCTATCTGTTCCTTATGTTTCTATTCTGTCCTTATCTTCTGAACCTGGGAAACCACTCTAGTGAAACAGAGATTTCATACTAAGTGTCAGTCTCAGCCACAAGAATATGCTGACAAAAAATAGTCCTACATAAGCATTATTCACTTTCCCTGGCTGTAAAATGACTTAGTACATGTGTTAGTGCCGTGATCAGAGATAGTGCTTATCTTCTCCTGTGGGATACTGGCAAATGTACAAGAGGTAGCTTATGGACTTCAAAAACAGCTGGATAAGATTCAGATATTGAAAGATTTTCTTCTTAGAAGTCATCAGTGGATTTGGAGGGGGAAACTAAGGAAATGTGCACCCACAGCACTAGGAAAGCTTTCTACGGGCTACAGTAGAAATTATATCAGTTTTGTGCTCACTGATTTTAGAGGGACTTAGTTTTGTCAGTCTGCCTTCACATGCTGGCCAAACGCCTTTTCTTGATGATAGAACAGCTTTTTTTTTTCTGTTTCTTGGGAACCCTCTATAGATATTTGGAAAGTAAGCACTACTTGTCAGTCATTTTGTTGTTGTTGTCTTAACTGTTTTTTTTTCCCCTTTTAGGAAGTTGTCATTTCAAATGGTACCATTGCATATGATAATTGGCTTGTGCCAGGAAGCTCTGTTTACAGGCAGTTTTGGATCTTTAATGTGGAAAATCCATCAGAGGTTTTGAACTCTGGAGCACGTCCAAAACTTGAACAAAGAGGACCTTATACATACAGGTAAGCAGAGTCCCCACTTAAATGATATATCCTATCAGAAGTTTTGTTAGACAAAATTCTGCTGAGTTAAAAATGGTTTTGGAAAGCCTGGAATCCTATTTTAGTCAGACTTGTAAAAAATGCCTAAATATTTGCAGCTATGCAGAGCAATCACAAGCACTCTCTGTACTCTGTTTCACATTTGGAAAAAGAATATAAAGTAGGTATCCAGGTATGAAGCTGTTTGTACTTGAGAAAAATGACTGCCAAGTGGGGAGGTGTTTACCATAAAAACACATAGGCATGATTCATTTGTTGCTTTTCAGTGTTTGCTCACCTATTAGAAAAGTATGCCAGGTGCCTTGAAAATGAGAGATTGTCTTATCAGCTATATATCACACATATTTATTATAATAAAGTGTCTTGTGTTATTGATCTTTATTTTTAATGTACAGATTTTTTGTTTCCAATTTTTTTTCCCTCTTTTTCTTTCTTTCTTTTCTTTCTTTTTTCTTTTTTCTTTTTTTTTTTTAATGCACTACCTAAGAGCAGAGTCCATCCTCTTTCAGGAAAACATTTAATTAAGCTTTTGCTTGATTTTAAATCCGAAGTTGACATAGGAGCAGTTGATGCTTCCCAAATCATTAAGCTCAGTTAGTGTCTGCCTGTTGCTGGCTCTCTTGTTACGACATTCTTAATATAATAGGTTGTTTCATTCTTAATATCTTTGTGGGTGTATAAAATTTTTTGCAAAGATAGTTTAGGACTGCAGCATCTAAAGGTGAGGTGCTTTAATGCCTGAAAGATTAATTTATCATTCGAATATCTTGGTTCATACATTACCTGGGAATACATTACCTGTTCATACATTACAAAGGAAATGATAACACAGGAGCCAGGAAACCAAGCAGCTAAGAAATACTGCTGAAGGAGAATTCTCACTAAACTTGAGAATGCTGTGGGATTTCGTATCCTCTCAGGAGTAAGTCTGCTGAATGTGTAGATAAAGCTATGTAAGAAATGATGTCTATTACTCTTCTTACTGCTGCACTCATGCTCACCTGTGAAGTGAAAGATATGTCCCATGATCAGAGATATCAGGTCTACTTGAATGTCTGGAACACTGGGTCTCTTTCTCAATCACCCTTTGAATTTTTAATTACTTACTGCAAAGTAGAACAACTGATCTTGACATGGCAGTTATCCCAGGGATTGTCTTCGGAAGTGGAAAACTTTGAGTCTTTTGTTTCCAGTTATATGTGACATTAGAAAACAAACCTCCCAACTTCTAGATAGCTCCTTTACACAGTAGGCCATTAATTAAAGTGGCATGCTCTCAAACCACTCTTAAGAAGCAAAGATCCAGCTGCTTTGGGGGTATAGTCCACCTGCACTGGTTACATCTGTACTGTAGGTAAATGTGCTCTGAAGTTTCTGGTCTCCCCACATCCAGGCTGTAAGATCTGATGGAGCATGAATCCATACCAGAATGGAGCCAGTATGAACTTAGTGGTCCCATAGTGTAGACTAACCCATACAGTGCTTCCTGAATGCCACTCCCACAGTGAGGTCAGAAAGAAGATGGAGACATAAAGAGACAGAGCCAGGAGTGCAACAGCGTGGAGATTTGTGCCTCAGTGATTGACTAATAGAAATATAGGCACTTACAAACACACAGGAGAAGGCTTTTGTGTTTCTTAGTGGTGTTGAAAGACTGCTTGTAGATCTCCATGTGGTTATGAAATGTTAACAAAGTGATTTCCATTATAGATTTAACCTGTAATCTCTTTCATTGGAACACAAGACTAACATATCAAATCTCAAGAGTGTTTATTAACAATTCTGAGTAATTCCATTCTAAGAGCATGCAACAATTAAAAATCTTAGAAAGAAAATGTGATGAAATTTAACTAACTCAGATCAGAATACAGGAAGATACAGAGCTGATTACTGAAACAAAAAATTACGAAGAGATGTTTGTTTGAATTTTAGTGTCAAGCAAAAATCCGGTAGGCATTAAGGAAATATTTACAAGAGAAATGTATAGTACATGTTTACAAATATTCAAATGAAACTTTAGAATCTTTTAGTGGCTATAAAATGGTGAACATTTATTTGCAAAAGTGTTCAAAGAAATTCAGTCAGGTCTGATTATATGTTAATGCAAACATCAGATTTTAAAATATTCTGTTTTTATTTTGTATTTCAAGGGTGCGATATTTACCCAAAGAAAATATCACAGAAAACTCTAATGGCACAATATCTTACATGTTGCCTAACGCTGCTCGTTTTGAACCTGATATGTCTGTTGGGACAGAAAATGACACCATCACGTGCCTCAACCTCGCTGTTGTTGTAAGTCAAGAAACCAATCCATAATATCCACATTTAAATGTAGAGATAGTGGAGGAAAAAGAGGAGAATATAGCATTAATAATGCGCATTCCGAGGACATACGGCTTTTACATTAAGGTTTCCTTATATGCCCAGGGTAATCTCAACTATAAAAGAAAACTGACTTATTCTTGCCAATGAAAGCAAAGTCACCAGCCTGGACAGAATGCAACAAACAGCATCCTTCTATGCAAGTTTTGTGTGGGAAAGAATTATTATCAGCCATGACTGTGTTGTTGGAATGTCTCCTGATGACACTGTGGTTCCTACTTGACCATTTTCAGGATAACTGTGAGAGTGAATGCTGGTGTTAAAATGAAGAGGTGATTGGTTTAAACAGAAAATGATGGCCAATTGTCTATGTTCTAATCTGGGCTAGCAACTTCCTTTCAGAAAGTTGCTTTTGTTTTGGTGGATCAAAGTCCTTCATGCCATGGCATTCACGAACACTGCTCATTCCCCTCATTTTGAACCATGCAACTCTATGGATCTAAGCATAGGCTCCTTCCTGGAAGTAGCTATGTCGGGGTATGTAAGGACAGATTACTCAAGCTCCATATTTGTATTCAGAACCAAACTGGGATAAGTCTAGATTCCCAGAGAGGTGATGCCTAGCTCGTGTGGCAGCACTGATGACAGTCTAGTAGAGACCACCTTCTGTATCATAACCTTGTGGTGAAAATACTAAGAAATCAAGGGAGATGTTTTTTCATGCTTAACCATGAGAAGAATTGAATATACATCTCTATCTCATAATCTTTCCATATTCATGCTTGCTGCTTGCTCTGAGTTTGAATTCAGGCAAGAATGAAAGATTCATGGGTTAAGGGAGATTTAAAAAATAAAAGCAAAAGAGAGATCAATTCTGTCTCTCGGAGTTCAACTTTCTGGCTGGCTGTTCCATAACTTTCTGTGTAGCACTGAATACAGAAAGATCCTGTAGAGCCTAGGCTGAGCTTGCTCAAAGAGATTTTTCTTACACAGATTCATCCTGGAGAAGGGAAACCATCAGGACCATATAATGGCTTTCCAATGCCTGAATGGGGCCTGCAAGAAAGCTGGAGAAGAACTTTTTATAAGAATGCTTAATGACAGGACAAGCGGAAATGGTTTTAAACTGGAAGAGAACAGATCTAGATTAGTTAGTAGGAAGAAATTCTTTACTGTGAGGGTAGTGAGACACTGGAACAAGTTGCTAAGAGAGGTTGTGGATGCCTCCTCCCTGGAAACATTCAAGGCCAGGCTGGATGGGGCTGTGAGCAACGTGGTCTAGAGGGAGGTGTCCATGCCTACAGCAGGGGCTTGGAACTACACGATCTTAATGGTCCCTTCCAATCCAAACCATTCTATGATTCTATGATTTACTTATCAAAATTGTCATAATTTTCTACTTCACCACATGAACCAACCTAGATTCTTTCTGCTTGTTTTCCACAAGCTATCTGATGGATTTAGGAACATGTTTACATTGTTCTGGAAAAATTTGTTGCAATTACTGCTGGTAAAATACGTCATTCTTCATTGGAATAGAAAAAGTTCATCTGTTATGTAGAATTAAAACTTTCTGGAAAGGACACGTTACTTTCAGAAATGTATTCCTCCAGAGCAGAAATGTATACCTTCTGATTAAAAAATAATTGTACTTTGGGAGTTAATTGTTTTTATTCAGGATACAGTCACATTGTTGATAGCATAATTTCTTCACCATATTAAGTTTAAACCACAGCCAACAGGTAACAAGGCATGTGTGTGAGGCTGGTGTATGTGACATACGGACACAATAGGTAACAAAATGAGAAGTGGTACAGTCCATGTAATATGCATTGGGACCTGAAGTTCAAAGAGTTTAAGGATAACCTAGTGAACTTGTGTAAACACTGAAGACAAATAGTCTGGTTTTATGTTAAGTTATATCCAGCAATTTTGTTAATGACTGTCAGTTGTAAATAAAATTTAACTTACAGTGAGTTGTATCCACATTACCTACCAGCTTTGCCAGAGATTTGGAGTCTTTCTGTATTTTTCATCCAAACTTTAATTTTATTGCTGTTGTAGGCTGCGCCTGCCCTCTATACAAACAATTTCATCCTACTACTTTTAAATACATGGATTAAATCTTCTAAATCAAACATGCTGCAGAACAGAACAGTGAAAGAAATACTATGGGGATACACTGACCCCTTCTTAAGCAAGGTTCCCTTCCCCTTGGACCCAGTTCTGGGAGTCTTCTACCCGGTAAGTGAAACCAGAGAGGAGATAATGATTCAGTTACAATTCTGTGAATGAAAGTTAAGGCTGCTGCTGTGAGGAGGAAAAATCTGACAGTATTTTGTTATTCCTTCTTGTGTCTGTTACAGTATAATGGGACATCTGATGGACTTTACAGAGTGTATAATGGAAAAGAAGACATAAGCAAAACAGCAATAATTGAAAGTTATAAAAACAAAAGGTATCATGATGTTGTGTATATGAAAAAATGTACGTATTTCCAAGGTGTGGTTTTTAAAACATGCCTCACTAAGAGCTATAGTTAAATGGAAACTCCTAAATAATTCAAGAAAAGCTTGATCAATCTTCAGGCTATTCGTTATTCTGTTATGAGCTTGGATTTAAGACAGTTATTGATTCTTTGTTACAAATAGTTGCTTCTGTCTTGTGTACTTAAATAGGCACATCCAATTTATCCTATTCTACTGTATCATATAGTTTATCTGAATGGAATTTATTTCTGTTCTGTGTCATTGCTAACTAATCAGGCTTATAATGGAGCAGTGAAGCTTAGTAATAATGACATGATTTACATGTTATAATTAATGAAGCATGACTTTTTTTTATGTTAAAGGAATCTATCTTACTGGGAAGGTCACTGTGATTTGGTTAACGGCACTGGTGAGTCTATTAAAGCTTTCTGAAACTTTCTGAAAGTCATTTCTTAATATTGCAAGATATAGTTAATACGGCAATATTCGAGATGTTAATATTAATTATTAATATAATTATATCAATATTGCAATCCAATGAGATACAAAATACAAGTTAAACCCCCTGGGTTGTGAGTCATGTATTCTGCAGTTAAATATCTATATATGAGTATGTATACACAAATGTATACACACTGCTGCTACTATATATGCATACATCTGTCTCCATTATATATTATGCATCATTATACACTATCTTATGCACTATTTTATATATTCTTAAACACACTCCAGCTACAGTAGGTGCGGAAGAAGAACAAGCAAGGATCTAACTGGCTATTTCTATTATCTGTCTGTTACAATATAAGCAAGATTCTTTCTCTTTGGTATAGCATTTGGAAAACAGCATATTTTCCTTTTAGTAATGTATATTCTTTTGTGTTGTTGAATATTAAGATTACATGTACCAGAATGGACAGAAAAGTTTTTCCTGAGATAGGAAAGAAATTGATGTGACAAGGGTAGTAGCAAGTGAAAATGGATAAAGAATAAAGGTAGCCCTAATCCTAACCCATCCTCACTCCGCCCACATCCACATGCAGTGTGGTATAAATGAGTGAACTTGGCAGTTCATGTTGAAGTATCTCAAATACTTACCAAGAATCTGAATTTCCAAAAGGCTGTGAACAGGAATAATTTCTTCTTTTGCGGAGTAATTTTATTAGGAGCAATGTTTTCTTAGGTTCTGGAATTTACCTTTTTTATTATGAAACCTGAAATCCATTTGTTTTTCCACTGTTAGCTTTGTCTTTCTCTACAAGTGATGGAATAAACACACTCAGGTAACAGGACTGAGTGCTTCAGTCCTTTGAAAGTGAGGAGAGTTTTGTTGTTGGCAAAGGTCATTGCACAGTTTACATGAGCACTCAGTATGACTGCTAAGGAGGGGATATATATTTAGAGAATCAGCAGGTTTAAAATGTCATGTGAGTTAGAATTCCTTTGCATCTTGTAAGCTTTCATACCAGAGCACAGCATTTTCTGAGCAAAAGTAAACAACGAGATAAAAAGTCTAAATAAGCACACTTATACAGTTTGAAATGAGTCTGTATTTGCAAACATTCCAACACTGCCAAGATTTTACAATAGAGCGTGTCTCCAGGACAATCTTGGATTGTCTTTAAGAAAAAGTGCTTCTGTCAGCAGTGGGCAAGCAGCAGTGTGTAATTTGGCTTTCTGGATCTTGCCAACTAGATTCAAAGATAGCACAGTTGTTTTCCATTTCTTGGTTAGAATTGCTGACTAAGAAACTGAGCTGTAGCAAGACGTAACAAATGTACTGGTTAGGAGATTGTTACAACACCTTGCTTGGAAAATGGGTGAGACTCCTCTTACTCAACACTAGATGCATGTAGTGCAGAAGTATGCTTCTAAGCAGGCAAGCTGCTCTCTTCATGGCAAATGGGAGAAAGACATCAGAAAAAGCTCTTCCTCTGGGCATCCTGTGCTTGTCTCTCAGGAGTTCCAGTTGAGCAGTTTTGGGTGAAAAATGTTTAGTACTTTTTATTAAATAGGCACTTTTGAAGACAAAAGCTGCACTTCTTACAAGCACTAGGTGCTAGCTGAACTCCAAGTGAACCAAGAATCTCTAGAAGGCCTTAGAGTATATATACACTGAAGCACTGGCAGCACGTATTGGGATTCTTATTAAGTAGGAATTGTATTTTTATCCTCTGCTTTTATGGATTTGATGACCACAGAATCATTAATGTTGGAAAAGACCTTGAAGATCATTCTAATCCAACTGTCCACTGCCGCCACTGCTGCCCACTGAAACATGTCCCTTAGTACCACTCCTACATCTTTCTTGAACACTTCCAGGACAGTGACTCCACCACCTCCCTGGGCAGCCCATTCCAGCACCTTACCACTCTTTTGGATAATTTTTTCCCAACATCTAACTTGAACCTCCCCTGGCCCAACTTGAGGCCACTTCCTTTCGTCGTATCACCATTACCTGGGAGAAGAGACCAACCCCCACCTCACCATAACCTCCTTTCAGGTAGTTGTAGAGGGCAATAAGGTCTCCCCTTGGCCTCCTGTCCTCTAGACTAAACAATCCCTGTTCCCTGTTCTCAGATGCTTGTAAGTCTTGTGCTCCAGAACATTCACAGCTTTATTGCCCTTCTATGCATACGTTCCAGGGTCTCAATGTCTTTCTTGTGGTGAGGGGCCCAAAACTGAACACAGTATTTGAGATGTATCCTCAGCAGGGCTGAGTACAGGAAGAGAGTACCTCCCTAGTCCTTGAATCACTTGAGTTGGCAGGGAAATTTAAAGGTCACCTAGTCCAAGCTCTCTGCAATGAACAGGGACACCTGCCACTAGATGAGGTTGCTCAGAGCCTGGTGTCTTGAATGTCCTTGAATGTCACAAAGGATGGGGCGATGGGGTATTCAGTGCCTGTCTCGACAACCTGTTCAAATGCCCTTAGTAGAAAGAAATCCTTCCTTATATCCAATCTAAATCTCCCTTCTGTTACTTAGAAACCATTTCCCTTGTCTTATCACAACAGGCAAAGGTTATAGAATCATAGAATCACAGAACTGTTAAGGTTGGAAAAGACCTCTAAGATCAACCGGTCCAACCCCAAGCCATGCCACCATATCCACAGACAGTGTCCCTCAGTGCCACATCTTGAACACCTCCAGGGAAAGTGACCCCCACCACCTCCCTGTGCAGCCTGTGCCAGTGCATCACTGCTCTTTATGAGAATAAATAGATTGTCAACTTTGGGGAAAAAAAAAAAAAAAAGAAAAAAAAAAAAGCTGCCATTATTATTTGGCTCACTCTCAAAAACAGTTCTGTGGAATACTTGCCATCATACAATAACTGACATAAATATTTTCTCTACAAATGACTAATTACGGCTACTTTTAGCTTTTTTATGGGAAAGTAACATCTGAGCATTGAGCTAGAAATTAATTAACGTTTTTTTTTTTATTTTTTTTTTTTACAGATGGGGCATCATTTCCTCCATTTGTTAAGAAGAATCAGGTACTGCGCTTCTTCTCCTCTGACATTTGCAGGTACACTGGCCCCTTCCTGCTGTGCATGCGTGTGTGTTTCCCAGTGTTCTTTCATTTTGGAGAGATCCCTGCTGGAGCTTAGATTGCTGAGGCAGTACCACATAACTGTTCCACCTAAACATGACTTAATGTGTGAGCTGCGCTCGTGAGCTTAATTCTACCACTTTCATTTGTGTCAAGTAGTAAGTTATTTATGGTGTGTTTCATTTCAGAGAATTACAGGTGTGTAATTCGGGAATGCCTTTGCTTATTACAGAGGGAGACACTGCTATGAGGTGTTACAGACACTGGAACCCACAGGGTTCAAAGACTTGATCTTTTAGGATGAGGACAGCCCCTTGCCTGCCTATGTGGTCTGAGCTGGCAGTTCGCCCCTCTGCAGGGACTGGCTGGGCCCATTTTGGTGATTTCTGCTGAACATCATCTGTGCAGAGGAGAATTTGCCGTCAGCCTCTAGATACTCAAAATTGTTTTCTCACATGCTATTTTTACATATTTTATGTATTTACAAACAAACCTGCTTAATTCATCCCATGCTGATGGCTTTTCAGCATGCTTCTTCTGTTTTGGTTATCTGGTGTCTCTGAATTCTCCACTGAGATATCTTAAATCAAATTGAAGAGATACTAAGGGCATCAGAGTGTATTTGTTTTGGGAGGTTCGATCCCAGTATTTATTTTGCTGCCTGGAAACATCTGCTTCCTTTTAAAAAGGGATAAAGTAGATCATATGTTTTGTGAATTGTTTGCTTTTAAAGATCACTGTTTTTACATGCAGATTTTTTTTTATTTTTTATTTTTTTGCGAAGTAATTGTATCTCAAAACTGGGCAATGTTTCTCAAGTTATGGAAAAGGAAACTTACAATTCAGAAATTATAAAATTCTTTAGATTAATTGAGCATAATTTGAGAGATACCTCTGACCATATAATTCTCACAATTAATGAACAAAGAAGGGCAATAACAACCTCCCAAAGGTCTGGGATGAAACAAGGTCATGGAAAAGTTTCTCACCATGTTGCAAGTGGCAGAATCCTTCTTTCCTCTGGCTTCAATACAAAGTGTTGCTACCTTGGTTAGATTACTGCATACCAACCATATCTCTTTATTATTTTGTAATGTATCAACAAAACAGTTTGAAGTGGTATTTTGGCTCATATGCAGTTGAGTAAGGTAATATCCAATATGCTGCCAGCACCATAAAGCTTAAATCTTTAACATGAGGTCAGGAAAGCACTGTAATCAAGAGCATATATATTGTTAACTATCTCTAGTGTAGTAAAAAAAAAAAAAAATCAAACATTTCATTACAACAGTGACTGTAGAAAAGTGTAGCAAAAAAGAGCTCTTAGTGTATTCATTTTGTATATATTCTTTACCGGTATTTTTATCTGCCTTTTTGTGTCTTACTGTGCTTATCTTTGAGTGAGTACACCCCTTTGTGACTGTACAGAATAATCTTTGTTACTGAGGAACGCCCTTACAAACTGCTGAACATGGGTTCTGTGAAGTACTTCTTTCTTTTCAGAGGCAAAATTCAGATTTTCAACCCAAGTGACATTTCTCCTCTTTTATATTCAGATCAATCTATGGAGTTTACCAGACCACGAAGACCGTGAAGGGAATTCCACTGTATCGTTTCACAGTTCCTCGCGAAGCATTTGCATCACCGATTGATGTTGGAGATAACTACTGCTTCTGTACAGATCAGGTCATATCACAGAACTGCACGCTGGCTGGAGTCCTAGACATTAGCTCCTGCAAAGCAGGTATGGCAGGGACGTGATACTGCCAAACATGTTATCTGATTGGGGAGAAAGCATGTGTCCCGTAGCCGAAGTGTTGCCCTAGGATCCAGCTGTGTATTTATCTGCACACTTTTCCACAGGCTACCTGTGAGAGCTTTCCATTTTTGTAGCTTCATTTCCCTAAATGACGGCTATAATATTTCTCTGTCTTGCGTGGTACTATGAAGAAAAAGACATGATACTGAAGATTGCTACTGAACTTCTCAGGAATACGCATACAGAAAGGAATGGAACTATATATAGGAACTATATGAAAGCCAGAGAGTCACAGTCTTTGTATTTATGATAATTCTGTGTGGGTGTGTACACAACTATGTGCACATGCATCAAGTGAGAGACACCATTAGCTTAATTTTACATTGGTACAATAAAATGTACACAGTCTTCTTTTGGTGCAGGGTGGGCAGCATGAGTTCCTTTCAGACTTGCTTTCTACTGAAAAAAGATCACGAGCATGGGATGACACAGTGAAAGATCCTAACCTCAGTGTGGAGCCAGGAACGCTTCCAACTCCATGGCATAGACACAAAGAAACAGGATTTTGTAACCACAACTTATTTCACCATTCACATTCTCATCACGAGAATAGAATCACAAAAAAATCTCAATTTATTCTGGTGGAAACAGAGGAGATATTAATGATTTTTTTTCAGGGTTCTTTCTGTCTGTATGACAAATCATGTGTGCATAGAAAATAGCTTCAGATGATGAGCACTGAAGCAAGGCTTAATGATTCAAATGAATTTTTCATCTGTTTGCTTTCATATAGGAAGGCCAGTGTATATCTCTCTTCCACATTTTCTTCATGCAAGTGAATCTATATTGCATGATGTTGAAGGTCTGAGCCCAAATGAGGAGGAGCATGAGACATTTCTAGACGTAGAGCCTGTAAGTCCAAATATTTAATATTTCTAACTCAGTCTTTTACCAGAGGGACAAGCGAAGAATGCAATATTTTTGTGATCTTTTCTTAAGATCTGCTCACAAAGGTGTTAAGCTTTTAGCAGGGGAAATTTAGAGCAAAACTTTGTCTTAGTCTGACATTCGAAGTTTGGAAAATAAGCTTTGACTTTTCCTCATTGGGAATACAGGATTAAATAGATTGCACAAAGTTCTGAAGCGTGTTGAAGTTTATCTATGACTTTCAACTGCTTTTTAAAAATTCTTTTTATGAGATACTTTCTATTGCTTTTATACTACTGTTTCAATAGTTAAAAGTTGAAAAAGAGATGAAGAAAAGATCTGACCTTCGTTAAGATTAAGATATGATGCAAAGTGTTTTCTGCCCTCTGCCAATTAAATTTACATCTCTTACTGGTGCAAAACTTTTAGCCAATTTCTGCTTTTAGTTTATGCATTTATGCATCCAATTAAAAAAAAAATAAATCAGTGGATTCTTTTTTTTTTCCATTTTTTTAGACCACTGGTTTTACACTGCAATTTGCCAAAAGACTGCAAGTAAACCTCCTTGTGACTCCTTCAACAAAAATTGAGTAAGCGTTTTTTTATTATTTTGTTTTTATATACTTCATGTTAAAGTACACTGGTAGAAATGGAGAAAGAAGAAATGAGAATACTTTGCCAAAGGTCTTCCCGTGTCTCGCAAAAACTTCAGTCACAACTTCCCAGAGAATATAAATTTCAGTGAAAGCAGCCTTCGTATGCAAGGCACTGCCCAAATATATTGACACATATCTGATTTCCCCATAGAAGCTTACAGCGCAACATGTTCTTAAAAATAACATTCTTACAAAACTCAAGTAGAGAATGAAATAGAAAGGAAAATACATTTTTCTGTAACAAATTCAGAGATGTGATTTATGCGTTCTCTGACACTGGTTGGATTTTGTCAGAAGGGTAAAGGGTCCTCTTTCTGCTTCACTTCTCTTCATTGGCCCAAATGTCCGTGTACAGCTTCTGGACATCTCTTTGGTGAATACCACACAGATTTTCAGACCCTTACTCCAGTACATAGACGTGTCCAGCATTTCTTTCTTCTGACTGCCTGCACATGGAAGGCTAGACTAGAGATAATTGCCTAATATGTAAAATGAGTATTAGAAACTCTAGGCTTGTTTTTTCAATCCAAAACTGCTATAGAAGTATGTCTGGGAGATACAGCTGTTACTGAAGGTGAAAAAATGCTTAAGTAGAGAGACTGGTGTATGCAACAAGCTAACAATAACATTCTGTGCGTTTTATTTTCTCGTTCCAGGGCTTTATCAAAAGTTCAAAAACCTTATGTTTTCCCTATTCTTTGGTTAAATGAGGTTAGTATATCTTCTGAATACGTTCACTGTCAAAAAAGCACAAACAAACAAGACTTTTTCTGTCTTATTGCCCTGAAATTAATCAATTAAACTCATGCTATGATATGTGTGCATTGTCCCCCTTTGCTCTGCCCTATGAGGCCCCATTGGAGTACTGTGTCCAGGTCTGGGAACCCGAGCTCAGAAAAGATGAGGAGCTATTGGAGAGGGTCCAGAGGAAGGCCACAAAAATGATCAGAGGGCTGGAGAACCTCTTCTACAGAGACAAGCTGAGGGAGCTGAGCTTGTTCATCCCGGAGATGAGAAGGCTCCAGGGAGACCTCATTGCAGCCTTACAATATTTGAAAGAAGATTATAAACTAGGGGGAAATCAACTTTTTTACCCAGATAGGTAGTGATAGGACAAGGGGAAAGGGTTCTAAACTGAAGGAAGGGAGATTTATATTGGACATCTGGGGGAAGTTTTTCATTAAGAGAGTGGTGAGGTGCTGGAACACGCTGCCTGTAGAGGTTGTGGATGCCCCATTCCTGGAGGTATTCAAGGCTAGGTTGGATGAGGCCCTTGGTAACTTGATCTATTGCCTGATCTAGTGTTTGGTAACCTTGTCTGTGGCAAGGGGATTGCAATTAGAAAATCTTTGAGGATCCTTCCCACCCAAGCTATTCTATAATTCTGTGATTCTATGTACACATGCCAAGAATATATTCAGCAAGTGAGGTCTTTGCATATTTACCTTTCACTGACATTTTTATTGCACTATTTCAGTCTGCTGTTATTGGAGATGAAAAAGCAGAAATGTTCAGAAATAAGGTCACCGGTCGGGTCCATTTACTGGGTGTGGTGCAGATGGCATTAATCATCACAGGTTCTGTGCTGTTCCTCGCATTCATGGGTTCCTATTTCATATGCAGAACAAAGAAATTGAAATAAGTAAGTAACACTAATGGTTCAGTTCTCAGCAGCAACTTCTTTCCAGGGTTTAAAATGTTCAGATTTATTACATGTTTATCAATTGTCATTTTTCAAGTGATAGTAATGCTCAGCAGTTACTATTTCAGTTCTGTTGAAAATGTAGATAATTTAGATAATGTTTTCAAATTCTCTTCCAAGCCTTAATTTTTTAGGATGCTCTCAGCATACCCAGGAGAGGATATTGGGAACTAAATCCATAGGACCAACATTTCTTTTTTCCAAAAGACAGCGTGATTGTTGTGACTTCATGAAAACAGACATTTTATCTAAGGCCGTTGAACAGCTCAGAAGCTCTTTCTAGTACTTCCTTGGGACAAAGGCCACTCAGCTGTAGATTCCTGCACTCTTCCAGGACATATCCCTGTTTGGGGTTCAGGGAATTCACTTTAAATTACATTTCTTATCAAGAGCATTGGATAGGTTTTCTCACTTTTTCCCACAGTCTTACCGAGAGCCTCAACACCTCCCAGAAACATAGCTGGCCCACTAAGATGTAATATAGGTCTGTCCTGGATAGGATAACCAGGTGGTGGAATAAAGCAGAAATGCGAATGTTACAATGAAAAGATTATGCTGTAGTAAAGAACCATTTTTAAGAAGACCTACCTTACCACATGCTAAATTCTGATTTTATCTCACTACAGGTAACAAAAGTCTTCAAATGTAGACAAAGGATGAAGTTTCAGTCAAGCATGTTAAAAGTCAGTGACAAAAGGTATGATTCCACATACAATGGAATTCAATGGGCTTTTCCATTTTTAGAAGACCAACTGAATAACCCAAATAAACTGATATTTACAAAGGCCCTCACTTCAGACATCAGAGATCACTGTGGAAATTATACTTTCAAATAACTGATTATATGAACCTTGTTATGAGTTTTAAATGACATTCAAGCAGACTGAAGTTGAAATGCAGTTGGAATTTAGTCCACCCTCTGTCATTCATGCAAGTTGCTACTTCTTTTCTACCAGGAACTACAAGACAAAGGAAAGACCCTTGCCAATGTTTTAGCTCTGAGCGCAGGCTAGGGAATGACAACACCTTTGAGCTCAAGCCATGATACTCTGGTTTAAATGTTTCTTTCTGTTCCTTCAAGGAATGGAAACTGCAGCAATTGAACTGCTCTCTATCCTTTATTCAGGGATGTGAATTGTGTTGAATGTGAAGTTTGTTATGTAAAGCTACTAACTGTAAAACATGAAATTAATAAGACTCACTAAAATACCTGGTTTATACAATTTGTGCAGAAATGGTGTGTGCACATACCACAGTCATTCATTTGCTGATGGTGCTCATCAATGTTTGGCCCCACAGATATTTGGTAATCTGAGCTACTCCCTAACTCCAATCCTCCACTACACTTTGTATTCTCTACTGTGTGCTTCTCTTTCTGGCTCTTCTTTGCATACCAGCCTCTTTGCTGATAAGCTCCACTTCACCAAAGGTAACCCTTAGGGAGTGATGTGATACATGTCCTTCAAGGTGGAGAGAAAATTTCCCAGAACACTGGAGACAGAAGAAATACAAAGATAATGATTTTGATGGTCCAAAGGGTCCATCAAAGTGTTCCACATTTTTGATTTAGAGCATAAATGAGAACAGGTAGCCATAGTTTTTCTCTGATAGGCCATCTGCCACAAGGAAATATGTGCAATTATGTGGTTAATGAAGTGTGTCAGCCAGTAGGTAGGAAGCAAACATTGCCATCTGTACAAATGATTTACTTTTTCATTTAATCTGAATGCCATATCTTTGAAATTAGTGTCCTTGAGACAGATGCTGAATATCATGGGGTGTCCCATGGAGACAGTGAATTCAGAACAAGAGCTTGAGTTCTGCATTACATAAGATTTCTTCAATTTTTTTTTGTCCACATAAGGCTGCAAAGAAAAAGGAAAATCAAACACAGTGCAGCTTCTGATAATCTGATGCTTGGAAATAGTACTATAATAGATTTTAATCCAGAAAAGTTTAACTTGCTAGCAAAGGACAGTATCTTTTGATAGGTATATTCAGTAAAGTGTTTTCACCCTTTGGGAAGAAAGAGAAAAACCCAACAAAATTTTCTTGTTTTAATCCATCATGTTTAATGTTCCTTGTGGACAAAGTTGTGTAGCTGTTGTGCATTAGAGCTGATGAATCATAAGAATCCCCAAGGACTATTAATGAGGTCAAAGTCTACATAATACATCATGAGAGTCACTTTTTCCAGTCATGAGCTGGAACTGCAAAGTAACAGGGCAGGAAATGCGAAAGAAGCATGACACCAAAGAGAAGTTCTGCTCTCACTTAGAAAGTTAATGTATTTGCTTCCTCATTGTGCTTCCTAGGCAATGACTTCAGTTAACTGAAGACATCCCTAGAGTCCTATGGACATGTAAAAAAAAAAATTGAGTACCATTACAGCCATTGACTCACCTTCTGTTTGTTGTGGTTCAAGATCTGACACTAAGTTTTTACATATTTTATATATGTATATATAATGCACTATATTTTATATATACATATTTATGTGTGTATATCTATATACATACACTTTCTGTGTGCCAGAACCTGATGGTGAGATATTTTCACCAGAGGAACAACAGCAGTGCTTTGATTGAATTTGGTACACTTTTGTTTAAGCTAAATTTTCTTTAGTTTGAATTCCACTGTTACCACTTTAGCACTTACTCTATTAGTGTGGTTTAGCATGATGTGGTTCTCCGGCAGCAGTGATCCAGCAAGTCAAGTGCCAGGATTTTGAATGTCTCAGGGCCCAATTTTGCATGCACATAAATGTGTTTGTTCATATGTATAATCTCATTGATCTAAACGCAAGTTCAGACTTAGAAACTATGTTCTGCTCCTAGACTGTGCTTGAATTAAAATTAATTGTTATTTTGTTCAGAGTGTTGGTTCCAGTTATTCTTAATTGATGTAATTAAGGCTAATGTTAATTATTTGCATTTGTTCAAACTCGTGTGAGATAAACATTTATTAGAGATGTTATTGAACTCAATACAAATAAAATAAAGCTCAGACTTTTCTTCCTGAGACCTTCATGTCTAAATAAATTCTGTGTTAAATAATGGACTAATTTTATTTCTTTTCCTTGGTGTTTTGAGTGTGTTTTCTTTTTCTAAATACTGATTTTATAAACTTATGAATTAATGATTTTGTGCTTAGCCTTCCTTATGATGTCATTGTAGTTTGGCACATCACTGCTACTTGGATGCGCATATTTCTTGTTGCCCTATGAAGTATGATGACAAACAGCATTTTTACATTGGGTTACAAAAAAAGAGGAGACTCTGGGGGCAGCATGTCCAATACTCAAATGTGCCAGCATGTTGCATACCAAATACAGCTCAGTTTTGGGCTCCTTGCTATAAGACATTCAGGCAGTGGAGCATGTCCGAAGAAGGGCAACGCAGAGAAGGGTCTGGAGCACAAGTCTTATGAGGAGAAGCTGAGGGAACTGGGATTGTTTAGCCTGGAGAAGAAGAGAGAAGTCTGGCTCAGGGGCAACATTACTGCTCTCTACTACCATTTGAAAGGAGGCTGGAGCAAGGTGGAGGTTGGCCTCTTTTCCCAGGTAACTAGCAACAGGACAAGAAATAATGGCTTCAAGTTGCACCAGTGGAAGTTCATGTTGGATATTTGGAAAATTTCTTCTCTGAAAGAGTGGCCAAGCTCTGGAACAGGCTGACCAAGGCAGTGTTTAAGTTATCATCCCTGGAGGTGTTCAAGATATGTGTAGATGTGTAGGGAGATAGTTTAGTGGGCTTGGTGGTGAAGAGTTGACAGACTAGATGGTCTTTAAGGTCTTTAATGATTCTGATTTTATGTCCAAACTGAAGCAATTCTGAGGCCACATCAGGAACCGAGGTCAGAGAGGAGCCTGCTTTCACATCCTTAGAGATGGAGGTGTTGGCACACTGTTGGCACATCCGGCAGCACATCACAACATCATTTGCTGGTTCTGCTGGCCCAGCGGGTTGGGCTGGGGGAGAAGTCTGGTTATGCTCTCATCCCATATTCCACACCCATTCCAGGTCATTATGGGTGAAAGTCATTGATGAAAATCAGACTTGGCCCCAAATATGCCAGCCTACATAATTACAACCCATAGCAGGTGTGCCAGCTCTTAATTTCTAGCTGCAGTAATGCTTTAGAAGCCTTTCTAAAAACCTGTTCTTCCTGCAGTGTCTGTTAAGGTAATGTTAATATGCCACTACGCTGTAAAAGAAAAAAATGTTGCATTGTCTATGCTTTTAACTGGGAGACTATTCAAGGACTTGTTTTATTCACAGCTGTACATGGTAATGATATTAAATAATTTGATAACAAATGAAATATGTTTATTTTACACTTTATATATATTTTTAGCAACTGTAAAAACAACAAAACATTGAAAGAAGATGAAGATGCAAATTACTCACCTTTCCCAAATGCAAACTGAATTTATAAATAGATGCCTTATATTTTCTAATTTCTGTGCCCTCTTTGCATACCAGATGCCTTTGACTCTCCGTTATTGCATCGTCTCAGAGCTGTACCCAAAGCAGCCGATGAGCTGGAGCCCACCCAGTCCGTGCTAGGCTGGGTCCTTGCTCAGCCTAAGAAACCAAATGCTTTGCAGCAGGCGCCACCCAAAGGTCATGTATATACTTTTTTTTTTTTTTTTTTTTTTTTTTTCCCTTCTTTTTTCCACAAATTCTCATCAGTATAGCCAGAGAAATATATTCCTGGATAAATCTTATAATGTTTTAACCAGGTAATACTGGCTATTCAGTAATATCCGATTATTGTTCATTTACTAGAAGCTGAAGACTAAATCTTAAAATGTCCAGTTTCAGTTAGGACTCAGAACAAATCAAGAGATGAGTTTAAACCAGTCATGGCTATACTGCCTGAAACTCATACATTTGAATTACATACATTTCCACCTCTGTGATGCATCATGCACAGGAGACAGTTTTAGCAAGTATCTCTGATCAATCAGCTCCAAGCTGAGACCTGTTAAATATTTTTATGATTGTTTTATCCTTTGACAAGTCATTAATCTACTTGGTTTCATCTGAAAGAAACCAGAACTTCTCACTGTTGCGCAAAGGATGATGAAACAGGTTTACAGATATAAGCATTTGTTTGTAAGGTCCACAAGGTGTGGTGTACTGCATCTTGTCCCAGAAGATCTTCCATTTGGGCAAATGAAAAAACAAACAAATGTACAGGGAAAGAAGGGGAAAAAGTGAAGGGGAGAAGGAGGGAAAGGAATGGGCAGGCAGAGAATTTCTCCCAGAGGCCACAGCTGAAAGTAGGGGTGTGCAGGTAGATTGTATTAAGGGAAAGTGTGGTGTTCCACAAGTGGGACTCAAGGCTTTCCCTCACAGGCTCTAGGCACTGCATAGGCTGGGGCTCTAGGAACATCACCACACTGCTGAATTTGCTTTCCATCAGCCCTCTGTTCACCAGGGGGAGGTCGTGCTTGACCAACCTGGTAGCCTTCTATGATGTCGTCTCTGGCTGGGTGGATGGAGGGAGAGCAGTGGATGTAGTCTACCTTGATTTCAGCAAGGCATTTGATACTGTCCCCCACGACATCCTTATAACAAAGCTGAGGAAGTGTGGGATAGATGAGTGGACAGTGAGGTGGGTTGAGAACTGGCTGACTGGCAGAGAGCAAAGGGTCGTCGTTGGCGGTGCAGAGTCTGGTTGGAGGCCTGTAACCAGCGGTGTTCCTCAGGGGTCGGTGCTGGGTCCGGTCTTGCTCAACATCTTCATCAATGATCTTGGTGAGGGGATAATGGCCACACTCAGCAAGTTTGCTGATGATACAAAGTTGGGAGGATTGGCTGACATGCCTGAAGGCTGTGCTGCCATTCAGCAAGACCTGGACAGAAAAAAACTGGAGAGCTGGGCAGAAAAAAACCAGATGAGGTTTAACAAAAGCAAGTGTAGAGTCTTGTATCTGGGGAGGAATAATTGCATGCACCAGTACAGGTTGGGGGATGAGCTGCTGGAGAGGAGCTCTGTGGAGAGGGACCTGGGTGTCCTGGTGGACAACAGGTTGGCCATGAGCCAGCAGTGTGCCCTCGTGGCCAAGAGGGCCAATGGCATCCTGGGATGCATTAAAAAGAGCGTGGCCAGCAGGTCGAGGGAGGTGATCCTCCCCCTCTGCTCTGCCCTGGTAAGGCCTCATCTGGAGTACTGCGTCCAGTTCTGGGCTCCCCAGTACAAAAAAGACAGGGATCTCTTGGAAAGAGTCCAGCGGAGGGCCACAAAGATGGTGAAGGGCCTGGAGCATCTCTCCTATGAGGAAAGGCTGAGTGAGCTGGGTCTGTTCAGCCTCGAGAAGAGAAGACTGAGAGGGGACCAGATCCAGGTCTATAAATATCTGAGGTGTGGGGGGCAGAATGGCGAGGCTGGACTCTTTTCAGTGGTGAGTGGAGACAGGACAAGGGGAAACGGCCGGAAACTGCAGCATAGGAAGTTCTGCACAAATGTGCGCAAGAACTTCTTTACAGTGAGGTGACGGAGCACTGGAACAGGCTGCCCAGGGAGGTGGTGGAGTCTCCTTCTCTGGAGATGTTCAAGACCTGCCTGGATGCCTACCTGTGCGACCTGGTGTAGGGAACCTGCTTTGGCAGGGGGGTTGGACTCGATGATCTCTGGAGGTCCCTTCCAACCCCTACAATTCTGTGATTCTGTGATTCTGTGGTAATACCCTAACAAATGTGTGTGCTGCAAGCACATGCAAACAGCCCATGTAAAACAGGAATGTTGTGAACCGTCTCAGTTGCCTGTGTAAACACAAGATCCCTAAAAGTACCCAGTATTTTCTACTTGGTGGCTAGTTTAGGAAGGTCTGCATCCCCCATGGTGTCCATATCATACTGCTTGTCTCTTGTGGGTCTTTTAAGTATCCTAGAGAATGTCACGTGAGAGGTCTTTTTTTATAATCTCTATTTCTACAGCAGTGTTTTCCAGGACTGAGATCTTTAAAAGAGGTTTTGGAATGAGAACAAGACAGAAAAAGAGGCAGTAAGTGCAGAGGGCAAAAAGGTCAAAAGGTCCTCGATTTTAAATCTACTCATCAGGCCATTTTGACAGAGCCCCTATGAAATCTGGCCTTTGTATATACGTGTCTCAGGTACTCAATCCAACCTTGCTGTCTGAGCAGCCAAGTTACCTCATTCATAAATATGAGACTACATACTTAAATTCTTGGCTGTTTTTGTTTAACACTTGAGCCCGTACATGGAACCTTTAACAGAAGTCTTTGTGGGCAGAAGAGGGAACTGAATGAAATACTGCAAAGCTAAATTGCTCAAGAGCAGATTTAACTCCCAATCTCTTAAATGCTTTTTATTGATTTTATTTTATTTTATTTTGTTTTGTTTTATTTTATTTTATTTTAATTTTTCCACAGCCAATTTTTGAATGATCCAGAATATATCTAAGAAGAAATATTCTCTTGCAGTCTGAAACACTGAATAATATGTTTCAATTGAAAAAAAAGGCATACTTTACATAGTTTGGCTATTGACATTTTGAGGGCGACAGGCACAAAATCACAGAATCACACAATAGTTGAAAGTGACAGACTTCTGGGTCTACCGCCACAATATATCGTAAGTAAACTCATAAACTAGTATAACTGAATACTCTCCTTACTCTCGTGTGTGTTTGTGCATCTCAGCTTCCAGGACTCGACATGCAGTGTGTGAGATGGCCGCTAGATGGCAGTGCAACATCTAGGCTGGTCTGAATTACCTAATTCGATCATATATGTTTGCATATGGCTTCTCGGAGAAATGGATATATATATATATATATATATATACACACACACACACATATATATATACACACATATATATGTATATATTTTTTTCCTTGTATCCAAAGTGCTTGCCAGATGCTGCAGTCAGAACATAGCCCTGTGCCTGCTCATGAAGTCTTAACAGCCATTTCTGAGGAACGACACAACACAGAATGCATAAAACCCTGGAGGTGAGAGAAAGAGTCTGGGTAAATGAAGACTTCCTGTTGGTCAAGGAGAATCTGATCTCTGATCATCTAGCCAAAATCAGTGCACACAAATCCATAGGCCACAGTGGGATGGAGAGAACTGGCAGAGGTGACTGTTGAACCACTCTCTATCATCTCTGAAAGGTCTTGGCGAACAAGAGATGTGTCTGAAGACTGGTGCATAACCAATGTCACTCTGGTCTTCAAAACGGCAAGAAGGATCCAGGAAACTACAAGTCAGTCAGCCTCACCTCTGTCCCTAGAAAGGTGATTGAACAGCTCGTTCTGGGTACCCTGTCCAAGCAATTAGAAGAGAAGGTTGTCATGAGTAGTCAGTGGTCAGTGTGGGTTCACCAAAGGGAGATCATGCTTCACCAATCTGGTAGCCTTCTATGATGTCATTACTGGCTGGGTGACAGAGCACTGGAACAGGTTTCCCAGAGAGGTTGTAGAGTCTCCTATGGAGATATTCAAGACCCATCCAGACACTTACTTATGCAACCTATTGTAGGGTACCTGTTTTAGAAGGGGGGTTGGACGTAATGATCTCTTGAGGTCCCTTTCAACCCCTGCAAATCTGCAAATCTGTGATTCTGTGAAAACATCACAGTGTTTGGGAAACCCCATTCATCATTAGCTTACTGCAGTGTCTGGTACATGGACTCAGAATGACCCAAATAGTTTATTACAAGTTCTCACATAACTTACAGACCTTCACAAGTTTTCTATTTCTAGCTTTCCCATCCACCCCTACAACTTTCCCATCCACCTTTACATGTCCACAGAGCATTCTACAAGCACTCTTCAACCGTTCATGCAGGTGCTTATCCAATCAGAGCCGTGAGATGTTCTTTCTTCTAGAGGTGCCCTTGGTTCTCGTGGTTTATCTTGCTCCACGGCTGCTGCTCTGAACAGTTTTTCTTGTATTCCCACAACTTACCATCGAAGAAGCAGTCACCACTTTTCAAGAGTTCACATTTTTAATATTCTTATTCTCCATCCAGAAAACTTATCTTTGATTCTCTCTGCTTGCTGTGCCCATGAGGACATTTGAACATAACCAGCAAGACTAAATATAAGAGAAATTAAGGACTAAGATGTTACATCAGAAGTTATCTGTTTTGCAAAATGGAGAAGGTGCCAAACATAGAGCTTGTTGAAGTCTTCCTCTCTGTTTCTTTTATGCGTGGATGTCCTAAAGATATGTTTTTTGTTGTCAAGAAGAAGATACTGACTGCATATTAAGGATTAGGATTTCATCCTAAATGTTACAGTTCTTTGGTATAAAGAACTATTCTTACGACCTTTTCGTATGTATAATTATCAAACTTGTCTTTTCACATGTTTCAAATAAGAAATCTCTACCTTTCTCTACTGGCTGAAATTATTTTTGGCACACCTGCCTCTTCCTGAAGAACAGAGAGCTTAGAAAAGCTTTACCCACACAAACTAAACTTGGCACAGAGAAGATCATGCAGGAAGCAGGTATGGTAGTGAAGGCTTTTGTTTTAAATACTGATTTAGAAACTTGTGTCTATTATTCAAATTGGCTCTGCAAATAAGCTTTGCAGCAAGTATTGTCTCATTGAAGCTTGGCACCAAGTAGCTTGGCTTTCGTGCTGAAGACCAAGCCTTCCTGCTGAGTGCCTGAAGGCAGGGAGAGTGTTTGTTGGTCTGAGGAGGTGGTGGAGGCATGTTAAAATGACAGATATGCAACATATATTAAACTTCCTCCATTACTGGCTTTGCCAAAGTAGATTTCACAGGCAGCTGCCATCACATGAATTAATGTCCAGATGCTGACTCACCAGGGAGCACATGCAGCTGCTGATACATAATATTTTGCTATTCTGTCCCTATTGCTCTGCTTCCTCCAGTACTCAGCAGTGGCTGCTGACAGTTCCTCCAGACAGACAGTGACAGCAAGCAAACAAAACACTCAGGACACAAACCTGTAAAAAAATGTTTTGTGAGGAAGACTGTTGCTGCACACATGGCACGATATACACACATAAATATGAATAAAAAATAAAGTTGCACCACTTGATAAAGCTGGTGCTTTTAATTAAATCATCTGCAAACACACTCATGACATTGTATACTGCCTTAAACCCTCCTCATCCGTTTCCTTCACCTTGATAATCACTGAGTGCATTGGTAATGCCTCTTTTTTTATCTCTGCACATGACTGTACCTGAAATCCCCATCTATCTACTAAAGTTGGATAACTAGTAGTAATGTAAAGGGGGATACACTGGAGGAAGTAACAACACATCCTGTGTCACTGCAGTTGGCACAGCAAATCTTGATCAAGTTTCCATTGCAACTCAACAAAATGAAAGTGAGTGCAAAAGGGGAAAAGACCTATAAACATGCACTGGACACTCACCACATTTACCTCTTGTGTGACTTAGTCCAGTGCACAAGATTGATGTTTCTAACTGACCAGAAGGCCCTTTGCTTGAAGAACTTCACAGTTCAGTACAAAAAATACATGCACAAAGCTTTTCCTTGAAGGCCATTACTTATTTAATGTCAGCCAACAGCTGGCCAACAGCATGTCAGAGGGAGAGCTGAAGTGCACAAGGTCTGGTGGCTTGGATGCAATGGCCCTCCACCAGTGAAGGACACAAGAATTTTCAGCTGTCTTTGAATTAGGAAAAAGATTTTTAAAAGTCACACTTTTTTTAGCAGAGTAGAGTCTGAGTTATCAAAAATGATTATCTGCTCTGGCATCAAATAGATTTCTCACTGCAGGTACTGCAAATTCAATGGAGAGCTTTCCATTAATACAGTCAATGCTCATTCAAGACATTTTTCCTTAAAGAAAGATTTCTCATAATTAAAGAATAGCTTGCTTTGTCTTATTTCTATTTTCAGACTGAATGTTGGGAATGGTATGATTTAAGGCAGTAGGCATTTAGTGAAGTTCCAAATGACACCTTCACTTGAAGGTTTTTGTTCTTTTGTATATTTATTTTTCCAGTCAGAATCAGTGGTTTGTACTCGAAGTTTAATAAACCTACCAGCTTTCAGCATCTGGAGAAATAATAGTCCAAAATAAATTGTATGCTTCGCATATTGTTTAGCTCTGCTGTGGTCATTTGATTCCTGAGGAATGAACACATTCTGCATGTGTAGAACAAACTCTTCACCCTAAAAATGTGATCTAGCAAACACCAGCTGTCTAGGGTTTTAGCCAACAGAGGAGGAAAAAAATATAAAGAGAAAGCTAGAAAGCTGTATTTACAACTGCATTAGCACTTAATACCATGAATTTCTTTCAGATTCAGAAAAAAGTGATCTTTCAGAGTAGCAAACTTGGGCTATAAATGCAAAACAAAGCCTGATTATGAAAGCTCAGATATAAAACAGGTTTTATTCTCACAGTTCTTGTCAAGCCCTCAGCCTGGAACTGTAAAGCTCTTTGGTCGCCTTGCTTTTCCAAGCAGACAATAAATCTGCCTGCTTTGTGTGGTTTGATGTGACAGCATGGCTTGTGTCATTCTTTTAAGCAATGAAAATATGCCTGAGATCACAAGCTTGTGTCACAGATAAAGGAGCACTCTTTTGCATTGTTGTTTATTTTGTGGGTTTATTTTGTTTTGTTTTATTTTTCCACAGCGATGCTGAGGGTATTGAAATGCTCCTGGCTCATGCACATATGGTCACTCATTGATTGTAGATCCAGTTACAGCGAATGACATTATGTGCCTTCCTCTCTACTTAATTAATGAAATCCTCTTGAGCTGCAAAGATTTCCATATCAAAGTGGGTGGTTCATGCGTAAGTGTAATGGCTAGAGCTGAAGCAATCCTTTTAAAAGCAGAGGCATAAGGCCAAAGGCCATTTCCTACAATTAAACTTGATAATTTAAAATGAGGTTTGATCAGGTGGGTCAGCGAAGTCACAGGGGTGGGCTTTGCAGTCTGAATTACTCTATAAGAAAAGACGTGAGAATTTTACATCTCTTCTCCATGTGGACAGAGGTCTGACAGCTGGAAAAGGGTGGTGGACACTGTTCCTAGGAACAGCTTTTTGGCAGTGTATAAAGGTCAATGATTCCAGCATACCATCCAGGGTCAAAAAGCTTGATTCTGACTTCCTTGCAAGGGTGCAATACTGCTCTATCTTCTGCCTCTTATCTGCCTTGCTGACCTATATGTAGACTGTTACATGTACATGAACAGTGCTCAGAGAAAAGGACCTCTGTTCTTGCCTGATACCTGTAAGTGCTATTTTGGTGCAAGCAAGCATGGATGTTACTCAAACTCTCCAGTCAGAGTTCATTGACTTTCATCCAAAACTGAGGGGAGGAGAAATGAAATTGGAGCACTCACTGTGCATGTGTTCCAGAGAATAGCCTTGTGTGAGCTGGCACACTTCAAGTCTTTCATTTAATCCATGGTGTCTGTGCTTCTGCTCCTCTTCCCTGCCTTTACATTTATCTCAAGAGGTAGATATGCTAAAGTTTATCTCACCTAGTGCTACATATCCATAAGTCCTTCCTCTGTCCACAATCTGAGCATACCAGTCATCTAAACCCTTGGGCATTCTAAGGATTTCCACAGCAGATATTATTCCAGTGGCAAAGTATGAGCCTGTATTTGTTCTCAGATTGTTTGTAAACACAGCTAAACACATGCAGAGAAGGAAACTTCCCTCTTTCCCTTTTACGCCATAGGTCACAGGACTAACACAAATGCCAATATCTCTCCAACATGAGAATATTTTAATTCACTTATCTTAGAATAATAGAATGGCTTGGTTGGAAGGAACCTCAAAGATCCCATAGTTTTGATCACTCCAAGCCTCTGCTGTGGGCAGGGTTGATGATCAGTAGATCAGGTTGCCCAGGGTCTCATCCCCATCAATATCTCAAGACTCATCACCCCACTACATCTTCAACAGGGATATTTAAGTCTCTTTCTGAGGATGCTTGGCTTTGCATGGAAAAGAGAAGAAAGGGAAGAGAAAGTCTCCTAAGCTTTAGTAACAATATTTACCTTAACAGAGAAATGTTCTCCCTGTATCATTTCTCCTTTTTTTTTCCAGCCCATGGCCTTCAAGAAGCATATCTTTATTTCTTCAATTTTCATATTTGAGTGGAGAGAGATTGGTCTTCCTGTTAACATGCAAACCTACAGTGACATTCAAGGCAATGGCTGAGCCATGATCAACTCTGCTGAAAGACACTGGGTGGAGACAGACGTGCTGCCTAGTTCCCTATGGTCAGCTGGCACACATAATCACGCTGCAAACAAACTATGAGGGTTGTGTCAGTACACACTGTGTTCATTTACTGTAACTCACTTTCCAGCAGCTCTAATTCTCATTTTGTCTTTGTGAAATGTCCAATATGCAATTTGAGGTCAATGGCAATAAGAGAAGTTGAAAATAATTGGAGGTTAAATATCTTCTGAGATCTGCATTTTCATTTCAGCTGTTGTTGTGCACATGTAGCTGCCCTTAGAACAGAGTGCGAGATCTAAGATGACACACTCATTTTGTACTGCAACCAGTTTTCTGACAAGCTAAATGATAATGTAAATTCAAGCTGTGCTCAACTGTCTCTGCAGCTCTCCCATTTTAATTGCATCACATTTTTCTTCAGATCAGAGAATCTGAGTGTGTTGCAAACAAACAAAGGTAGGTGCAAACAAAAGCAAAGGATCATCGTGCAAAAAGAACTATGGAGACCAAGGGTCAAGATTTGTAGCAGCAAGGAAAATTAAACTACTCGACTGATACAAATTCTTACATTAAAGAAGACAAAATAACCCTCAGTAAAAGAAAGCAATGGGATATTGCATGCCAGCTGCACCCACTGACAATGGAGGAGATTTTTAAAATGTATATTGGTTCTAATTTCTGCCCTTAAAATCATCTCAGTATTCAGTTAATGAGGCACTGTGAGTAGTTTCTAGTCTGGACTGTAATATTCATTGCACAATGTTTAAATGTGGAAGGACACTTTAAAACCAAGCTTTAAGTACCGTCTGATCCACAGTAAGGAGAACTTGAGCCATGTGCTTGCTAATGCAATGAAGAAGTGTATTCTAGCACCACCTAGCTAACTTCAAAGGCAACTTCAAGCCAGCAAACTAGTGGATGAAACAGCAAAGTTACAGGACGATCAGGACTGCAGGCGTTCTTTTCATAAGAGAGAACCTTGATTAGAAAAAATGTTTAGATGTCTTATGTTATTCAGAGTGAAGGAAATAATCCAGTTATTTGGGAATCGGAGTGTTTTGGTGTATGGAAATAACTGAGAGCAATTGCGCAGTTATGACAGATTTGACAAAATCAACAGTGGGTTGTATTTCATTTCATGTTTTAGTGCATAAAGATAGAATTTGGAAGGAAATTACTTAATTCTACATTTTAAAACCCCTTCATAATATTAAGTCATTTTTTCTATGGTTTTTAAAAATAGATTTTCAGAATAATGTCATATTACTTGATGTTTGCAATATCCTGATTTGCATACGGCTATTACAGCCATAGTAACCTAAAATAAATGATACAGAAAATAAATGTTCTTGTCAGTGAGTTGGAATTAATTTATAGAGAGAATATAGAGAGCCCAGAATCAGGTGCTGAGAAAGATTTAAAATTTAGAAGACCTCAGAAACAGGAAAAAGGAGGCTGAGTACACTTCTCAGAAAGCCAGATCCCACAGGCCTTATTCAGATATCACTCATCCAAGGTAATCAGCTAACATCAGTAAGAGTTTTAACTAGGAACCTGGCTTAAGAAACTGAGAAAAGGAGTACACTGGACTGGGATGCAGTTTAATCTGTCCTCAAGGAAATACTTGCTGGATCTTTCCTGGGATGTAAGGATGGAAATTGCTAGATGATGCATGTGTTAGTCAAGGAACTGATGACATTGCATGAGATGTGAAGTATTTTACAATGCACTACCTATCTTGACTTGAGTTCTGGATCTTTCATGAATTGCATACCTCCTGGTCTTTTCCACTAGATAAATTTCAAGTCCAAGGTATGGCAAATTTAAAAAGCATTCCTTGTTTGTGAAATTACAGTTGTGCAGCCTGTAGAAAATATTTACAGAAACTCTTCTTCCATCTTAAAGCAAAAAGAGGTCACTACCAAGCATCACTTGTAAATCAGAGCCCTCTTGGTTATTGCACCACCCCTCCCCACACTCTGCTTTTCTTTAGGATGCTGACAAGTCTCAAAACTGTGCAGCTCAGTGCTTTGTCCTGGTAAAGGGACTGAAATAATGGCTTTGAACCAATGGTTGCCTTGCACAATTCTAGTGATCAAAAGCAGCTGTATACTGACTTAATCAACCAGTTAGATGGTGCTTATGACTGTTTCAGCTTTTCGGGACAGTACAAAGTAGATGGATTGAAGCAAAGGAGAGGCCCAGAGTTACCAGTTCAAGGTTAAGGCGGTGGACTGCTTTATCTCCATCTCTTTCCATACTGATATGTAAGGCAAAATCTGGTGTAAACTGGGCTAGGGGGATACAGCATCGGGTATGGCGTGACACTGTCTGCCACACTCAGCTCTGCCTTCACCAGCCAGAACAGTTCAGTCAACAGAAGTTACTTCAGAGGTTTTCCTCGGAGTGAGATTTATTCTTGGCATCCAAACCTGAGTGCTCTCAATGCAGGAAGACTTGTACGATTTCCAAGATTTCTGCTGGCTGACTTTACAGTTGGCTGGAGGATGCAGGGGAAGTTTCTGTTCAGCTTATATGGTTTTCACCATCATGTAGTTAGCTCCCTTCAAAATAACAGCTTGCCTTCTTGACAGGAACGAATAAACTGGCAAGGCAATTCCTCCTTTGTTAATCTCTAACTGGCCTCCAGCAACACTAGTAAATGTACCATCTTGAACTCCTTTTAGGACTCCTTGGTCAATTTGTCCCACATCACAACAGGCCCCACACTGGGAGATGACTTCAGAGGGCAGATGGCACCCAATGGCAGCAAACATGAGCCCCTATCAGGTACGTTATTCTCTGTGTTAACCATTTCCCAATTGTCCACTCCATACATTTCTAGATGGAAGACATAGCACATGAAATATCTTTACATAAGACAGATCCATACTCAGATAAATACCATAAATTTTTCTAATCCTTAGGTATTTGATAAAGGGCAGAAAACCTGTGCACTCATTTAGTCCCAAACATGTAAAGGATACACTTGACTTTGTGCTGTGATAATAAAGGTGATTTTCATCCTCCATTACAAAGATCTTTAATGTTTATGGGGTAAAAAGAAAAAAAAAAAAAAGTTTTAGGTAGATTGGACTACTTTCTTATTATTATTTTATTATAAGCTTTTCTGAGCTACAAAATAGTTTCTGCTAGCTTTTGTACTGACAATCTGTCAGATTATCTGTGCCATATGATAGATTGATATTTTATTTCCCCATTCTCTCCATTCTCTGCTATCTTGAGTTCCCCCAAACAAAATCAGTTTGCCTGGATTGGAGCTTGTATTCTCAGGCGCAATAAAGGGAATAGTCTGCAATATGGATACTATACTGAAAAAACACATTGTACAAACCATAACAAATATTATCTAAATGTCTTTTGAGTTTGAACACACACATTCTACTATGTAATCTGGTTCTGATGTTTCTTCTTAAGCTCAAAAGACTGCATACAACTTGGAAATACTCTTCTATGCTTCACTTTTTAGCTGACACTATGGAGATGCTTGATGCCACAGTGTGTGGCATCTGTTGAAGATTGTAGTAAGCAATATATTTCAGAGTATTGGAATTAACAGGGTTTGTAATTAAAACAGCTAAATTAAACTGGCTCTTCTCAGACTGAGTTTAAATGAACAGATAGGGAAAAAATAAGAGATCATAAAGAAAATCACGCAAATTAAAAGCAAGGCAAAGCAAAATAAAACTGAGAGTGAGATAAAAGCTCTGTAAAGGGCCTGAGCAAATCCTTGTTAGTAGTGAAAGAAGATTAATTTTGGTGAGCTTTGATTTACAGGAGATTTGTCCCTTTGTGGTTGAAAGAATGATATTTTTCCATTATATAGCAACATGTAGTAGCAATTCACATTCACAGTGTTCGAACCAGACCTGCAGCATGTTTCATTGCTATTTCTGGGGTTCCAATCTTTCATCCTTTGCAAAAATTTTAAAGTGCAATTTTTGTTTATTTAACACTGTATTAACAGCTGAAGCGATTTAGGTAGATATAAGAGATAACACTACAGGTAATGTCATTTTTACTGAGGTCTTGTTAGAGAAAAGATCCTGGACAACTATGTCCTGAGACATGGACCTGAAAGCAAGTCCAATGCCATGTGTCTTTCGGACCTCTGAAATGGAGACAGAGAAAGCGGATACTGGAAACAAAACTACTGTAAAGTGCCAAGGAACAACAGTTATCCAGAAGAGTTTTGAACTGAAGGTTAAGCAAACGTATTTCTGCTTACCCTTTCCCATTGCTAAATCTTTCTGTACGAGTTGCTCAGATAGAAAACAGTCTTTGATACTGACTCTCATTCCCCACAAATAACAGTGCTAACCAAGTTTTTTTTTTTTTTTTTTTTTTTGAAAAAGTTTCTGGGCTTTTTACAGTGCTGCATGTTTTGAATCCTTGTGGCTTAAACAGTCTTGATTGTGAAGCTCAGCAAACATTTGGGTTCATTTGTAAGGCTTGGCATTCAAGTCATCAGTAACAAAGCTGATACAGTGCTAATAATACGTGAATGCTGTTTGCTCTGTAAAGCTCTATATAGACTCCAATAATGAGTCCAGGGATACAAGACAGTCTATTACTGTGAAATAATTGTTTGTTGACTGCTGAGCCAGCTGCATTAAATTTCCATCTTGGAGTGTCCAGAATGCCAAGGCATTAACAAATCTCAGCCTTTTGTTTGGGTTTGACATGTTAGATGCCAGCACTTTTTTTTTATTTTTATTTTTTACTTACACTATGCTAAAGTTTCCTGATGTAAAAAGGAAATTCATGCTCAGATAGAGAAGAAGATAATTTAGAAAAAGAGTGATTAGAAGAAAGAGCTTTTGAGGATGAATTGCTTGTCTTTTAAAATGTTCTTGAAGATACCAACTGTTCTACTCACAGGTTATTAATGTCTTGAAAATCTGATGTCTGATTCTGATGAAATTGAAACAGAAGAAGGATGTACAGTAATGTCAAAAGAAGCTAAATGGACCAGAAAATACTTTATGAAAAACTTCTGTATTTGTCTTTATTATGTGCATGAATATATATATATGGGACCAGCTGATATGTACCCATGTGTAATTTTATTTGAGTTCATATCACATGAAGTCACTTCTCCCCTGACCACCTTGCGGGAGAATGGGCTTAGCAAACCAGCTGCAGCTCAAAGGATAAAGAGATACTGGTCTCCTGAGACCTAGTCCATTGCTTTAAACAAAAGTCATAATGTCCCAACTTGCTTTTATGGCCTGCCCCATAGAATAACAGCTGCTGACTTAATTCTAGAGATGACAATTAATTTCATAGGCAACAATTATTCTGCAGCATTGGGAGCCACCCTGGTGTTAGCAGTGCCTCCTGTGCAGGCAACATTTTTCATTGGTTCCCTCTGGGTTTTGTGGATGCATCGAGAAGGATGTGCCAAGCACTGCTCTGGCCTTCTAGGGATCCTGCACATGCTTCACAGTAGGTTCTGTGAATGTGGTTTATTCATATCCTGCTTCCACCCAAGAGAATTTGTCACTAGAAAAGGCAAGTAGCTCCCACATGAAAAAATGTTCCAACACATTTGAAAGAAGGAAGCTCAGTTCTTTGGAAGTCTTGCATCTGATGTCCTGAGAAATCAAGTGTCTTGTTTTGCTACTGCTTGGAGCTAAGGAATCAAAGCGATAAGTGGTTGAAACTTGCTGCAACTCCAGAGAAAGCGGGGGGAAAAGGCAGAGAGGATCAGAAGAAGGCTGACTGAGGTTTAAAGATAGAGGATCGGACCTGTGAAAAGTGTATCAGAGCACTGTAGTCTGTAAATGCCTCGTTCTTAAATCCCTGTCTTTTGGAGCCTAATCCAAGCATTTCCTGCAGAAGGATGGAGTGTTCAAAAGCTCAGCTTCAGACCTGAACTGGCCTGAGTGCAGCTATCTCTCCAGGGTCAGCACATCTCGGAGCCAGCCAGTACAGAAATCCTGGGATTAGATAATCTTGTCCCTCTCACATTTCATAATGCCTTTCAGGAACCTGTCTACTTGGGAATTCAAAAACCAGGTTTATTAACCCAGAACCTTGTTGTGAAGGTCAGTATTTTAAGGAATGATTATTGCTTGAAATGGAGCACACTCTATGCTGTCTTTATAAAACCCATTCGAACCCAAGAAAAGATAAGAAGAACAATTGTAAAATTGCTTGGATGATAGATGCAGGGAAAAAGAATGTACTGCAAGTATCAGGCAGTTTGCTCCAAGGACAAGCCAGGAAATGGGAGCAAGCTGTGGGTCCCTATTATAGTACAGACCCACCAGCCTCCCTGCCCTGGGGAGTTGCTTGGCAAATGTCTTGTGTGAAAGAAAAAGCTGAACAGCACAAATTTTCATTTGCAGGGCTTCACAGGATGGGTGGTTATGTTTGTTTTCCTTTATTTCAAAGTGAAATAAAATTAGAAAGCATTTATGCACTGCTTTCCTTATTTAGAGTCAGGTATTGCTGATAACAGTTTATATTGCTACTAGAAAACATTTTTTTCATATACAAATATGAAAAAAATATAAAAATATGTATTTCATATATGTATATGCAATGAGAAAATGCTGGCAAGTTTACATGCAAGGTCATCAGAACAGATCTTTTCTGTAAGAGTTCAACTTGGACTCCTCATCTATCCCTGGAAATCTTTGTGTTGATGAGTGTTCAGACTGGAGAAGGGCTCAGAACTGATCAGCTGCAATACCTGATGCTGAGAGTACTCTCTTGCACTTGCCTATGAAACCCTTTGGGATTGCTCTTCAGATAAAGAAATAAAGCTCCTTATTTTTAGCAAACAACTGTAAAGAAGCATTTAAAAAAAATTAACTTGTTGCAACACACTTTATTTTGTCAGGCAAATAGTATTTTAGATATTCAATTAAATATTACTATTTTAAACTACATTTTGTTCTTTCTTACACACTATATAATGCATATTCACTGTAATGACAGTTTCATCGTGCTAGAAACTTATACACATACCTACACTTTTAAAAACAGGATTTTCTTAATAAAACACACATATCTACAGTAACAACAATTGCAAGGAACACATTGTTAGGTCAGGATTTCAGCGAACTTTACAAACTACACAAAATAAAAATAGCCCAAAAATATCACTATACGGTGAAGTTCTTAGCAGAGAACATATCTTTACATTTGGTGAAGTTATACCTAGAAGTCTTTTTGCTTTTGTATTTTTAAGAAATAAAATTATATACATTATTTAGTAATCCTCAAAATAGGAAGTATTAAATAGCACAAACAATATTACAGTCCTAAGTTTTGGTGTCGCCTACAGTAGAGGGGCTGCTTGAAACAAAGGAAAATTGCAGATTGTGTATTCTGTACATTCAAGGCCAAAGACCCAGATGGCAGAATGCACAGTCGCTAAATGGACAGCAAGGAAGTTCCATCAGTTCATACCAGCTGAGCATCTGGCTCCTGACTACTCTGTACACAGGGGAAGGCTGCTAAAGCGTGGAAGCTTGGACCGCTTATGCACCAACAGAAGCTTGTTATATATATGCTGAAGTTTTCATGCAGCAGGAAAAATGTTAGTTTAAGTGTAATCCCTTAAACAGTCATACCATAATAATGGTATATGAAGCAGCTTTAAAAATATTATTTTATAATCACACAAAACTCTGAGCTATGCTGATTGTTTTACCGGAATCCTTTATTGCCAATATTCTATTAGAAAACTGTAACTGTAATTTCTGAGGCCTAATGGAGGCCTATTAAAACATCACCGTACCTAACCACTTAAAGAGCAAATTGTAGCCTTAAATACTTATTAATCACTGTGTTCCATCTGGAAGCAATTATGATCCTCACAATAGACATTAAGATCACACTAACTGAATAGGAGATAGGAAGAGCATGGCAGCACACAGAGCATATGCACTAATATCATTCCAGGAGGTAGTTTCATTTTGTGGCACTCAATTTTTGGTTTGTAAGTTACACACTCTAAAAGTCGGTTGTCCTCAGGAAAAAAAATAATAATGCAGTTTGCTGCACTGAAAGTCAGCTGGGAAAATAAAGTCTTATCTTTTCTCTTACTCTTCTTTTTTTATTTTTTTTTTATTTTTATTTTTTCCATCAGAAAATATTCTGCTAGCTCTTGGGACCAGATTCAAGCTTGCAGAAGTCAAAGACAAATTCTACTCACTGGTTTCCATGAGGAGAAGAGCCCAGATACCACTGTCTGCATGCTGCAGATATGTGCATTTAGGCTTTCATTAAGGAAAGCACTTAGCTACACAGTAATATATGAACAGGCAAGCATTGCCATCCCCTTTGAAACAAGCACTAAGCACATAAACCAAAGTCCAAGAACTCCCATCAGCATCAAAAGGTCTTAGGGAGAGTGTTTAAGTGGTTTAAAGAATCAGGGCCCATTTCCCAGCTATTCAATGTCAGGTGGCAATGATATGACGTAAAGAACTATGGTATCATCTCAGTAACAGAGCTAACTCCATTGCACTAGATCTTCATTCACACTGGCATGAAACTTGAGGTATCTTCCCACATCCTGCAGAGTTATGACCAGTGTAGAATTGAAATAATGCCCAAGAGTTTCATTATTTTTTTTTTAATTTAAAATTTAAAATTTAAAATTTAATTTTAATTCATTAAATTTTTTTTAAACTGTGTTTTAAAGTACAATATCCGTGTTATTGGCTGGAACTAACCACTTTTTCTTAACTTTACTGGGCTTAGAAGTTATTTTCATTCAACGGATTTTAGAAAGCTCCTTTTTTTTTTTTTTTTTTTTTTAATTTTTGCTTTTGTTTTTGTTGAGCTGACCATACTCAGTTAAATAGCTGACACCATCATAAAATAAAACATAATTTTTCTAAGTTACTCCCACAGATTTAACCCCCAGATAGACTTCCCTGGTGTCTAATTCCTCTGAAGAGACTCAGTGGATTCTGAAACACTCTTACACAGTAAAATAAAGAACAGCTGTCCCTGTTTTGTGATATTGGTGTTGCTCAAAAAAAAAAAAAAAGGTGATTGCTTTTACCAAGATAGCTTGATGCACATGCAACCAATTAGCAACAAGACGAACTTCAATAGGCCTGACAGCTTCTTCTTAAACAAAAATATTTCCATTTAAATGTGTCTCTCAAAATGTTGCTATACTTTTTGGTTTTTGACCCTAGCCAGTTTTTAAAATATTGTTTTTCTCTCTTTCTTTTCACTTTTTATTTCTTTTTTGAATATTCTTTACAGCAGAAAAAAAAGAATAGAGGAAGAAATTGTGAAAACAGCATTAAAAAGAAAAGTGGAAAAGCTTTAATTTAAAAAATCTAGATAACATTTTCCATGTTGAGAAGCTGAAAAAAATAAGTTTTAAAATTTTCAAAGATGTTCATAACTTGTTTCTATATTGCAAGCCAACCTCAATTTAACTATGCAATAGATTAAATACTTTTTTTTGAATAAACACTCTACACATTCTGTCTTTTGAAAAACAAACCATAGGAGTGTAATTCTTTGAAAACAGCTAAAATACCCAAGTCACTTAGGTGCTTTCAAAATTGTACATATAATGAACATTCTCATGTTAGCGTTGTACCACTTATAAAGCTCTGTAGTGTTACAGAACATCGTATATTAACAAAAATCAATATGAGCAGAGATATTTTAAGTTACATTCCAGAACTCATTAATTTATTACAACTCATACTATGCACAACAATCAGTGTTTCCTCTGACAAAGTATAAAAACATATTTTTTTTATTCTATTCATTCCTTCATTTGACCTCTGAATGAATGACACATTTCTATTACACTTTACGTGCATCTTATCTGCATGTACCTAAATGATTTGAAGAATGAATGAAAATTGTAAACCCAGTATTAATTAGTAAACAAGCAGAAATTCGTGTTCATAAATGCAGTGCAAAGAAATTTTAGTACCACCCTACTTGGGGTGTGCATCTTAATCCAGATTCTTCCACCACCATTCTGGTACTGCTCCAGAGTTGCAAGATGCTGCACTGAGCTTGTTCAACTGTAACTAAATTTCTGTTCAACTATAATTAAATAACGAGATACTAAATATGAATCTGGTTTAAGAAGAACACTCATTTTTGTTTCCATGACATAGACTAACCTAGTGCCAGTAAGCATCTAGGACTGAAAAACTCCACATCTTTTCTTTACTTGAGTTACACTGCATTTTGTTTGGAGGAGGATCTTTTCTGAAGCTTGTTGTAATTTCATCTAATTTTTCATCGTATTTGCACAACTTTGTTCTCAACAGACAAATATAAGCCCTCTACAGTGAGGACAAAGATATCTCCTTCAGCAAAATAAAATTAAGAACCAGGTAACTGATTTCTTCGATTTCTACTTTTCCTGCTATTGATAAGGGCCTTTAGTTTGCTGTAGTCTCCTCTCATCTTCTGGGGTTCTTCCCTCCGCTGACCTTGCTGTCTACTGTCTTTGCAGTATTGGTTGATCATCTGCATTTCAGAGTGACTGAAAGTTCCCACAAAGTCCTTTGGGTGGAACTGCAGGGCTCGCACTGAGCTGGCCCAGGTCCACGGGGACCATTTGTCTGTCATGTAGGCCACCATCTCTGTATCCAGCACTTTGAAATTGATCTTTGCTAAGGTCTGCTTGAAATTGTTCTCTGTTGCAATGCAGTGATAAAGCCCCCGATCACTGTCTTGGACAGAGCGAATGAGAAGTCCTTGCTCAGTAGCTATGATCCTCTCATTCAGCTTAACCTAAAGGTAGAAAAGACAGAAGAAATTTTTTCAAGAATGTTACAAAAGAATGCAGTATTGCAACTCCTCGTTAACTATTACTTTAAATGTCTCTATCTTTCTTAAAAAAACTTTTAAAGGCATTATGTTTTCCTTCCTGTGATCATGAATCACAGTGGCCACTGTGCCTGCTAATGTTAGGAAAGAGACTACTCCTAACATGAGTGTCTCTAGAGAAAATGACTTCCATATTTTTATTCATTATATAAAAGTGGATTTGATTGGGATGGAGATAAAGATGTAAATCTTCATGAAAGAAAAGTATTTGTAATGTTCGAGAAGTTGAGAAAACAAGCTTTTATTTGTCAGGGTTACATGTCTGTGAACGTCTTTTCCAGCATCAGAGGTTGCTGTTGAGATTTGATGGAAGAAAGGCATTAGGATTAGGCTGAGGGATGATTTGTCATTGAACAGAGTGTGGCTTCTGCTGAAAACTTTGACGGCTAGTGAGTTTCAGGAGCTAACTTCCAAAGAACTCCGAACTGTGGAGTCTAAAGCCTGGTATGAAAGTTTTTTTCATACAGCATCAGCTATGTTACCTCATTGGAAACATAGAACAATTTTTCTACTCTCTTGTATCCTTTCTGGCTTCAGGCTTTAGACAGTCCCAAGAGATGATCACATCATCTGAAGAAAGCAAGTTACCACAGCTTGTTTTGTCATCATCTGATTACAAACGACTGCACATGTCCCTTGTCATTTCAGCTATGAAATAAAAATTGCTAATACCCCATTATCAAAGAATAACAGTGCTGCTATTTGTATGAAATATTTTTCTATTTTGACACTGAACATTTCATTATACCTGATACTTTTAGGAACTCATTTATTTACTGAGCTATTCTGTTATTGTGAAGTTCTTTAGACATTGTTCAGAAACCTGAGAGATTAAGTTCAGCTTGAAATGTAATTAACCTTTTGATTTCTTTGACTGCTTCTATTTAAAACTGCATTGATTCTGGTACCGATATGGAAAATAACAAGAAAAAAAGAGGAAGATGCTATTCTGAAGCAAAGGGTTAAAGAATTTCACCTACATTACTAGTACATGGCTTAAATATCCCAAGACTACAGGAGAGAATACGTTGAAAAGACTCAACAAAAAGCTTCTAAGTCCTCTCTGATTTTGGAAAATGACCTGTTATGAGAGTAGTGCTTTTCAGTATTTATAAACTATCAACAGACACCATAACACTTAATTTTTCCTTACAAAGATATTCCTTGTTATTCACACAGTAACTGCCTCAGATCTGAAATGGATTTTTCCCCTTTTATATTAGTTAAAAAAGATGTGTTCCTCATAAACAATCTTACTGTATATTATAGTGCTGAAATTTGAGAGCCTTAGAGAATGCAGTAATGGAAAATGTGATTGCAGCATGGTGGAGAAATGCTTTTGTCAATATATGTTCTTGCTAAAGAAGCCTTTCACATTTCTCCCACTTATGCCTTTTATCTCTTCAAAAGCACAGAGGCCACTGCAAGAAGACTTCTTCCTGAACTTTACACAGTTTACTGCCTTTATGCTTTTTTCCTCAGATCAACAGTAAATCCCAAGTGCTGCAAACTTTCCATTTGCAATTAGTAAGGTGCGAAGGAAAAATTCATTAACTAGTTCCTTGACTTTATTATTATTTAATAGCCATTCTGTTCTGATCGGAGCTGGCGGAGCTGAGGAGTCAAATGCCTTTCTGCCTCACTGATGACTATCTTGATTTATAGAAGTAAAGGCCTGTCTGATGTCCTGTGCCCACGCAAATTCTCCAGATTCATATTCTAATGAAAACACAAATGCCGTCTCGCCTCATTCTGAGATGGGGATGCTGACTGAGGTCCCTTTCAGAGCTGTTGTTTTGTTGACGTTACTCACCTCTTTCCTCCTGTCATTATCTTTCTGTAGCAGCCATTTAATAGAAGCCTGAGGAGATTTGGGTGTGCATTCAAGAAAGGTGGTGTTGTTTTTCACTCCATATTGGACTGTTTCTGCTGCATTTCTGTATGCTACGAAATAAAAGAAGACAGGTCAGGCTACTGTAAATGTTGGTGTATAGAAAACAAATAACTGTGTAGCACCACTTGGAATACAGTCAATTGAAGTATATCCAATCCTGATATTAGCAGATAATAGATACGTTATGGTACAGTATTTTCAAAAAAAGGAAATTAAATGTAATGAAGAAAAGCCTGCTCCAAATACTGGCATTATCACTTAGATATGATCTCTTCCGAGAAAGTGGGATACCTGTGGGCAGGTAGGCAAATGCATGCCCAGACACTTCTACTGATGGGATAAAAGCCTGGGGATGTTCTTTCCAGAAATTATCTCATTCACTACTATGACAAAACCACCTGTTTGGAACTCTCCAACATAGAACAAAATATTTCTTCTTCACACTTCACAGTTTGGAAATTAAGGCAATATTGTTGGTATGATTCAAAAATACATCATGACATAAGGACAGCTCCATCCATTTCAACAGTCATGCACTATCACAGGGAGGCAAGAGAGGGCAGACTTTACTGTAAACATACTCCCCTCTAAAAAAGCAAGAAAAAGGGCCTGGCTCTAAATCTGAAATTCAATACTTAGGCAATCAACAGAGACCAGGAAAGATATATAGCACTCCAGCAATATGTGGGCAAATGCTGAGTGTATGTCATCATTTAGACTTGCTGTGGCCCTTTGTAGTCTAGATAGATGGCAGTTACTGAAAGCAACTTCTAGATGTTCATTACTTGCCACAAATTATAACATTTGTCCAGAAAAAAAAAAAAAAAAGAATACACTTCAGATTTAAAAGCTTACTACATATACAAAATAAAAATATTTATTTATTTTCATAAATGAGTAGTAATCATACTGTGTTTTTGCACAGTCCTAAAACTGGTCTTCCTCAGAATGTATTTTATCTTCCATTCTCAACTTCTTTCATCAATTCACATATGAAATGGGAATCTATGCTAATAAAGGAAGGAGACTTTCCATGGTTTTAGTCCTTGCAAGTTCTCAGCACATTTATGAGGTTGTGCCAAAATCACCTGCAATTTTTTACCAGAATAATGTACACATATTTTGCATTCAAAGATCATAAACTAGCAGAGCTTGGATGTCCTGTCTGAAGCTGTATAACACTGAAGAAATCAGAGCTGTAGCAATTTTTTTTTGTCTTGTACATTGGGTCTAAATATATCACATAAATGTCACTTACAAATACTGAGAAGAATAGTGACAAAATAAAAATGCATTTCTTTAATGGCCATAAACACTAACACAAGGATAAGAAATACTGAAGTACTTAACAGAACATCTGAAAAGAAATATTACAAACCCTTTAGTTCTTAACGATCTCTTAAAAAAATAACAATATGCCAAAAAATATTGGTTTTCGTTTAAGGCAAGCAACCTGTCATGCTTGAATGCTGAGTTTCAAGACTGTTGTTCCTTATAAACTTGGAAGATTTCTTGTTGTCATCCAACTCTGCTCTTCTGTCATTTAGGCAGATTTCAGTTTTCCTTCCAACATAATAGTTTTGCCATAAGTAGCTTGAATTATATTTTGAAAGCGTCCAAGTTGCTGTTTCTTTTTTATTCCCCCAGCGAAGAGAGTGTCGTCTACCTACACTGCTGGCACTGAAACATCCTTTAAAATTGCTAAAACATCCAAATCTATAAATATATCAAAACTAAGATAAATGTCTTGAAAACAAGATTCCTGTGTTACAAGAATGTCAAGGTTTAAATGTTTGTTTCCCCTCAGCCCACAAAGCAGACAGCTGACATTCTCACATTTTCCACATTGAAAGAGGAGACACCTGTCCTTGGGACAGACAGTGGGTGGGTGGTCATTGCACATGACTGCAAGGTAGACACAGCTCAAGTTTCTTCATGGTTCAGAGCCTGAGCTTTAATATGAATGTCTCAGAGCTCAGGTGCATAATGTAATGGTAGGGTGAAGCTGATCACAAGTTTGTGATTAACTTGTTGAAGCTATCCAGTTTTGTGTAAATGACCTAACAATGAGTCATGGAGAATGATACATTGGCACTGTGGGCTGGCAGCCAGAGCACCATTAGCCACGTTTGGGCTGAGGATTCTATGCCTGACTTACTCCAGGAAGAAAAAAGGCCACAAAAGTAAGCAGGAGGTTCCTGTGGGATACAGAAAGAAAAAAGCAAAACAAAATTCTGTGTGACTGAACCTTTGACATATAACTCTTCAAGCATTCTTCTCTCATTCAATCAAAAATCCAATCAATTTACAGTGAGATGTATCATTTCATCTCCAGATGGCACAGTTGAGAGCACACTTAGAAGACACAGCTCCAAAACTGGAACATGATTCTCGCGTGGCTGTGTTTTGATGTTGCCACCGCCTAACTTAGGCATGCATGGAGTTATAAAGGATTAAGCTGCCTTTATGTCTGCATCTACTTATGACTTTGGCCATATATGACTGCTAACTAGCAATGTGGAGAAAGGGGCAGGTGGGAAGGCAGAATATTTTCTCCACTGCCTATCAGCACTGTTCCAGCCTGGCTAAACAGTTGCACAACTAGAAACAAGGGTTTTTATAAAGAGGTTTGAAGCAAATTCTTTTTCTAGTTAAAGGGAGAAAGGAATAATGACAACACAAAGGAACCTGCTGAAAGATGTGTTCCAAAAACTAATATAACTTCAAATTCTATTTTACTCTAAATGTTCAGAGCTGAGACTTAATCAAATAAAGAGAAATTAATAAAGACTTAAAGGACTTAGAAAAGCACTCAAATTCACTATACCTGTTTCTAGTCAGTACTGTCAGCTTCTTATTTCATCTATGTTGAACTCTACATTTCATGGGTTATCATTATATCACATTTATGCAGGATTCAGATAATTGCAAGGAAAGACTCAGACTTGGAAAATAATTATGTTTTACCAGTAAACCACACAGATGTGAGCTGCAATGAATCATACAAGGAAAGCCATGCATTCTTTATATAGCATAAGGATCTCTAAATTACAGTACCTTTCAGGTTGAAACCTCGGCACTGAGTCAGAGGGTTTCCATGTCTCACATCTTGCCTACGACTCCTCCTAAAATATTTTAAAACACAAATTGTTATTCCAAGATGACTATTCTTCAAATAAACATTTTTTTTTATATACCTGGTCAGTTATCAGTCATAGTTCATGACCTACTTTGAGGTTGCTTTTCTGCTGCCGGGCATGTTAGAGAGAAGATGCTGTTTAAGGGAATAACTAGTTTGCTGAGTTTCTTAAGACAGTTGTTTTGGTAGGCAAAGTAGTTTTGCAATGAAGGCATCGGGGTGGAAGAGCTAGAGGTGATGCATAACGTTGACACAGGTTTAGTGTTGCAAGATTTAACATTCAGAGACAGACCTCTCAGATTCAAATGCTCTTCAAGTGGACAAGCATCTGAGAATTTGATGTGGAAGAGTCACAGAGTTCATATCTAATGCACCAACCGATAATCATGGTGCAGGACGTGTTCCCTACTCGATTTTGGGAGGTGGTTTATTTATGGTGCTTGAAAGCCACTGTGATAGCATAGAGGCAGAAGAATTCACAATGGTGAAAAGCTCAGATTCAATTCTGCCTTTACATGAGGGCATGTAACTTTCTTTCTTTCCAAAAGATACTCAAAACTCACCATGTCTTAAAATACTTCAAAATGAGACTTTATTATACTACTTGGATGACAGATTCAAAACCATGATTCTGTAAGCTAAGTAGTTTAGGAGTTTACTGGGACTGCGAGTACTGGCATTTTAGCCCTCTTTGGGCTCACAGAATTCAGTGCATGAAGATCTTTAACCTGTATTTCTATTCTTAGTATACATTACTTTTTAAAAACTATTTTTAAAACTAAATATTCCATACATTAGTTCAACATTTATCAAGTTCAGTGAAAAAAAATATATTGCGGATAGGCACTTGTTGCAAAGGAAGGGGATATGTAACTACAGTACTTCAAGCTATGCACTAATGACTTATGGATATGAAACCAAAATGCCCCTGGAGCTGCAGCATTGCTAAGTGAAGGGTGATGTTCTTTAGTCATACTATACCAGGTACTGCAGACACAGTGAGAGACAACTAATCTTTCTAATCCTTCATTACCAGGTCCCTCACTGGATAGTTTTAAAAGGCAACATTTGAAAGTTGATCTTTCAAAAATGTAATTTCTGACATTCCAAGTATATTTTTGATAGTAAACATTAAAAGCATGTGATTATGCCTTAGGATCTTGACCTGTGTGAACCGTACATGTAAGTCAGAGGAGACAGTGAAGAATTTCTCAGTGAATTTCAGAATGCCTGTTGTTCCCATGAGTTGCTCCACTCCATCAGCAATGGCATGCTTGTTACATTAAGCAGTTTTGAGGATCTAAACTTTAACTCTGATACTTATCAAAAGAAGTCTGAGGAGGTGGTTTTAGAAAATGAAGATACTCCCAGGTAAATCAATTTAGGTGAGGAACAGAGACAGGGAATCAAAAGATTTAAATGAACAAATGTGCCCAGCAAAAAGCTGTCTAAACTATGGGGTTCTAACTACCAATGTTTTATTCTTTATAATCTCTCCTGTTAGTTAACAGGACCACTCACTTCCTTCACATGTGAAAACAGATTATTTCCAGGTGTTTATTTTCATTTGCTATAAAAAGTAAATTGCACATAAAATGTCAACAAGAAAGAAAGCCCCAGTGGAAATAACCCTGGGTGGATACATGGAGATGAAAAGGAATCCACTGGAAACTGTACAGACTGTGTATACCTCACTGCTCATTATCTTTCAGTTAGTGTAGGAGTTAGGTGGCCTGAGACTTGGGGATTCTCTTTTTTTTCCTTTCTGTCTTCTGACCTTTGCTCCATTGGAAGAAAACAATCAATTTGCAGACAGTTTAAATATGCTAAGTGAAAGCAGTACAAGGCTCAGGTATTGTGCTGTATCTTTAACTGCCGTAGCCATATTGGGCTTTGTCTTTTTATCTGAAATTATGAATTATTCAAGAATACAAGAATTCAAGAATATTTATTCAAGTCATCTTTCATCCAAAGGACGACACAGTCATCAACTAGTTGGGTCACTGAAGCAGGCCAGGTTCAGGGAGTGAGCACAGTGACATCCACTCTGGCATGTAACTGAAAGGGTTTTCTCCTATGCAGTAACACTTCACTGTACATTCTGTAGCTTTGTTTGTACATGAAATGGAATCTTAGCAATATAAGAGCTCACTACAGCCCCATGCTATTAAATGTTTCCCTAGGGAGGTGGAAAGCGGCTCCTGTTTTGCATAAGAATTAAGAGATGGACTATTAGCTCTGTTGTAAATTAAAGAGAAATTGCTCTTCTTGCCTGCATTAATAAATCTCATGTCAAAAAACCCAAATCTGCAAGCTCTACATGGAAGTCACATTTGCCTAAAATTTCCATAGAAATAATTCTTCTCATTTAAAAGCAAGCGAGGAACAAAAAAATAAATGACTTTATTCATCAAACAACCTCAGTGATATCTGGTTGTATTTAGGGCTATCTTAATTATATCCATAGTGAGCAACTGAATTTTAACAAAGGGAACAAACGTTTCACTGATTTTTTTGTGTATGAGACATCAGATTAATATTTATGATTATGAATAGGGTGCTTTTTTTTTTTTTTCCCCATCTGTTGCTTTAAATATGAAAAGGCAAGCCTTTTATCATACAGTCCTAGGTGATGAACAGTACCAATTTGCATGTGCTCCTGAAAGGAATGACATTCCACTTCTGTATTGCATTACAAGGCTCCAAGCTATGTAGCAGAGCAAAAGCTTTATTTCTACATTCCTGGCAGACTTCACAGGACCACTTACCTTTTCCCTGTGGGATAGAACCTGGAGCAGGAGTTGCCATCCCAGGCACAGTAAGGGTCCCGGGCAAGGCAGCAGTCAGCACAGGCGGTCCCATAGATGTGGCAGCGGTGCAGGGGGACCTGTGTGATCCCTTCCTCTGAGCTCACGTACAGCTGTTGCTGTAGAAGGAAATGGAAAGATTTATTTTAAATGTGGAGGAGCTTCACCCGAGACTTGACTCAAGACCAAGAGAGAAGCCACTAATATACGTAAAACTAAGAAAAACAGACATCTCTCAAGTGAACAGGACTGTAATATTTCCACCTTCCTGTTAGAAAACACTTAGAACTACTTAGAATGTTTTTTTTTTTTCCACATTGAGTGTCACACTTCCATGCTGAAGTAGGCAGGCTGACTTAATATTGCTCAGATTTGAGAACTTGGTTCTGATTCACTGAGGACTGTTGGCTCATGCCTTTGAACTATGTATTTTCTCTGCATATAGTCACATTAGTAAATATTATGCAGAGCTCCTACTTGGATTCTCCAGTGCATAGATTTCCAATACATAAATCCTAGAGATTATGCTGGGGCGTAGATCCAGCATATAGCCTTAGTTACCTGGAAAATTAAGCCAGTAGAAATTTTATAATAAATGATAACTATTATTTATTTTTATTATTTAATACAAAATCTAGACACTTCCCTGTTCTTTTGGTCACAAATCTAATAAATCACACTGAACTTAATTCAGTGACGAGTGAGGAGTATTTACCTCTTCACTGGTTTGTGAAATACTCAGCAATGCATTGCTTTGAAAATCATGGAATGACTATTTTTAGTTTGAGTGTTTGACATTTCATTAGATATCCTTACAGTTATTTTCATCATTCCTATTCCCTAGTAGAGAACAGACACGTACAATTTCTCCATAGATCCAACATCACACTTCTTTGTATGCACCATATTTCCAAAGGAAAATTTCTATTTAGGACATAAGTAAAATGAGTACAAATTTCATCTTTAATACTTTTAAAAAATTATTTGTTATTATTTTTTTAAAGATACTTTAAGTGATTTAGAAATTATAAATAGTTAATATAAATTATTTTATATTACTGGCTCTTGGGCAGATTAACAGCCTGTGTCAGATCCTGTCATGTTTCTCCACATTAATTACAGAAAATATTTACTATGATGCAGTACAATTGATCTGTTAACATTTTAAGTCAATTTGTTTCTCTATTAATAACATTAAGCAAGCATTCTTTTTCTCCCTACCTTTTTAGATGAAATCTTCATTGTTGTTATAGGAGAGTTACTCTGAAAGACAAGATTTCAAACCACATTTACAAGACTCTCGTTAATGCACTTGCAAAATCAATATTTAAAGTTCAATAAGATCTGAGTCATATCTAACAGAACTTTAACTTTCCACATATTGGAAAAGCATCACCCCTACTACTCACTATTTTCACAACTAATCAAATTTCACAAATACAATGAATGTCTCAGTAAATGCTGAGCTCAACAGCATTATTATTCATTACATGCATTGATTTTCGCACAGTACTAATTAACCTGCACTTGTGTTAGTTCAGCAGTACAGCAGCTATGTGTTTTGAAGCCATTATTTTCACTTTGCAATAAAAAAAGCCTTCTTCAGAATTGATTATATGGAAAAATCATGCAACAGCTCATGCATATTTACTACATGACTCTGTTAAGAATATGTCATACTTCTGCACATTATCTACAGTGCATACAGTTCGGCCAACATCCAACACACTTTCAGATTATCTATGATAAGAATATTAAAAATGGCATGTGTGTTACTGAATGTTTTGTTCCCAGAGACAGTACAGTATACTACTGTGTGTCATCACCGGAGTCTGTTATTGTCTGTGTCCAAACTGAATCTTAGAAAGCTGGAAAAGGAATTATCACATTCACTGCCTTAAGCAAGTGAAGCAATCCATTATTCTCATCCAAACAAATTATTAGAATGATAGTAATAAAAATGTTTAGCATTTTTTGAAGATTCAGCAATTGCTCAGTCACAAAGGAAAGCCCCACCGGTGGGCCAGGATTAACTGCAGTGGACTACGGGCAAAGTGGGAAGGCCAGCAGTAGAAAATCTGGCTGTGAATCATGAGAATTGGCAAAGGTATGAAGGAGTGTAGAGCTGCACTGCATTATTTTATGACTGAACTGTCTGAAGATCCAAGTTTCAATACAACACTGGATTTGATGCCACATCTTGCTCAGGGATATGATTTAGCAGAGGGTTGTTAGTTAGGGTAGTATGGTTAGGTCATGGATGGACTCGATTATCTTTAAGGTCTTTCCCAATCTGAATGATTCTATGATTCTATGATCTTATTTATATTCTGGAATCTTTGCTTTGCTTACTCTCCATATTTACTAGCACAAAACTACTGATCTCATTCCTACCTCTTGGAGAGACTCGTGAAAGCATTGCCTCATTGTCCGCACAGACTGCAACTGCTGCAGTTATGGTACTGTGATTTTGAATGTTCAGGATAAAAAGGTCTGTGCAGGGATACCCAGAAATGAAGCTCAGAATCAAGATTGCTCTCATCCCACCTGTCTGCTCTGCAAATGGAGTAAGTAATAGCTGGGCAAATGGCACTCTAAGTAGTGTTACTTACATATATCTTTTTCAAAGGGAGGTTTTCAACAAAAGCCTAGGAGAGCTAATTATGCTTTTTTGAAGGTTGACACAGAAAGTATTCCTTTCCTTAGCAAAATAGCTATTGTTGCATGTCTAGATAAAAAGCTTACATTTTTGTTATTGTATACTCGCAGTGAAATAGAAGAAAAATAAAAGAAAAGCCCACGACAAAGCCCTTAGCTAAGTTTATAGATGAATAACACCATTTGCCCTGAGGCTACTTATATTAAAGAACATCCCATTCAAAAATGTGAAGGGGAATCTTTAACATGAGGATGAATGTTTTCTTTAGGTTATTACAAGCTGCCACATGCCAGAGTGACTGACAGAGGCTATTCCTTTATTTTTTTCCCATAGATGCTTGTGTTTCTTTTTGGTTCATGTTGTGTTAATCTTGTTGGGTTTTTGACTCCAGAAGCGTTGAAGATCTGCATCTGAGCAAAATCACTAGTTTGCTTCAATTCTGCAGCCCAGAATTAGGAAGATTATCAGATAATTAAAGAAGTATCTTATATTTAATCTGCAAATAAGACTAGTCTCAATATGTCATGCCAGTGACAGAAGTGACATTCCAGAAGCCACTACAACATAACCTCATAAGAATGTTATTAAAATCCTGCTATATAGTATGACAACATAAAAAATAAGCAACTTATATACAGGTTAAAAAGGGATTTAAGCATTCCTACAGTACTCATTCAGACATTTTATTTTGCTCTTTGTGTGGGTATCAAGCTGACAGTAGGCACATTCACTTGATCTTTTATCAAGTCACAGTTGCCCTTGCCAAAGTCTTTAGAACAAAGTGTTTGTGTGAACATACACATTGGAAGAGTAAATGAAGGAGCAAGCCAAACCTGAAAAACCTCCAGCTCTTCTAAAATGAGTTCTCCGCTTGCAGAGAAGTTGGTGGGTAAGACAACAACTTTTTGTACAGTTCCTTGATCTAGAAAAGATGAGAAAAAAATCAAATCATGTGAGATAGAGAGATAAAAAAAGATGAAACATTACCAACTATGAAAGGAAACATGAAAGCCAGCAATGTGACACAGAGAAAGGTATGAAAAAATATTAATTTGGGATGAGAAAGCACTATGAGATGACTCCCTCACAAGTCACACACTGTGGATAACTTCTACATGACAGTAAATAGTATTATTCTTATACATGAACTTCAAGAAGTCATGGTAAGACTGGAGTATCATCACCATTACCATTCTACCTGAAAAAATCAATCATCTTACAGTGAAAACAGAGCACGTAGTGAAGGAGAGCTACTGTATAGTTGAAGTGTATTCATACCCAGTAAAAATATGAAATGACAACTGATGACAGGAAAAGTAAATAATCCAAAGAATAACTTAATCTACTTCTAAAAATAATCAGCTGAAAGATTTTTTTCCAGAAAATCAAGCAATACCTAAGCCCTTTATATATTAGTAGGAGTTATTTTTTTGGTCCACGTAGAAAAAGGAAAAAAAGGCAAGGAGAAGACACTGTAATGACTCAATTATAGTTGCTGTGTCAAAATACAGTTTCAAGACCCTCAGGTTGAAGAAATGAGTAAGAAGCAAAAATGATGTGCCAGTGGTGGTGTTTTGTGGGTAGATACCATGAGTAGGAAAATTAGTGATTTAGTGAATTTATGTGGAAAGAGCATACAAAATGGAGGAGTCATTCTGTGTAGGTTCATTAAGGCTGAGACATGCTCTGAAGTATTTTGGATGTGGTAGAAAAGAAAGACTGTGGGGAATCAGAAGGGTGGGCATAGGGACATTTTCTGGGAAGAAATAATCTGAAAGGCCTGAAAATTTGTTGGAGTACAATATATTTATTTGTTCAGTATTGATTCTGAGGAATGGGAACACATGGTACAGATTCTGTTTGGCCTTCAAAAGTTTTATGAGCAGTATAGACTTTTGTGGTTAGTAAAACATGAGTACAGCACAATATAGGTAAGTATCTACGTGTATTTTTATGAATTTGCGATTGAGGAACGGAAATCTCAGTTTCCTGTTTGGCAATTCACGATATAGACTATGTAAACTGAAAAACTGCAATTTTCTCTTTGCTTTTAAGGGCAGTGACTAAATTCCATAGCTGGAACTGTAGGGCAAGTTGTTTGGAATAAATAATTTACATCTTCTTATTTCCCTAGAGGAATCTAGCAAATAACCAAGCATTTTATTTTAAAAATTAAGGTTTATGGCCAGAATATTGGCACGTAATGACTTGACCTCACATGTAGAACACTGCAATGTGTTGCCATTTAAAGTAGAAAAAAGAAAAGAGAAATTGAAAGCGGACAAGACTTAAAAATCTGTAGCTATCAACTGTGCGTGCTCAGAGCACATTATACATGGATTTTTCATGAAAATATTCTATGGAGAACATTTATTCTCATTATACAGTGGCACGATAAACCAGTGCCTTCCAAAGAAATATTACTGAAACTAAATCTTGATAGCACAGCTGTGGTCTAGACTGGGTGCCAGTATTAGCAAAGCTATGGGAACCTGAGAGAGATTTACAAACTGCCAAGACACACCAAAGCTTTAAACTTCTGCAGATGCATCCCTCGCAACAGCTAAGGAGAAGCACGTGTGTGTGTGCATGGGTATATTTCTGCTAAAGGGAACAATTTATTCACAAATATATACAGCTTAAGTCTAGTCTACCTCTGTCTTTTTGCATCCCTTTATCAATGTCAAATATTAAATTATACAATCTAGAACACTGTATCAGACGTGCAGGAAGGAGTTGCAGCCTTTTGTGATTTTTTTCAGCTGCTTGCAAAGTGTCAGCTACCTGTGACCCTGACTTACAGGATATGAAGCACGTTGACAGTAACCCTACCTACAAAGGAATGTGAAGCTGAGCTTCCAAAGAACTGAAGAACCAGTTTACTTCAGCGATCCATTAGTGCATGTCACACATTTAAAATTCCTAAATTGTCTTTGGTCCTCAAACATTTCTCGAAACTGAAATCAGAACCTGAGGGGAGATTTTATCCAGGGCATTGAGAAAAATACTGATAATGACTGACGCCAAGCCCTTGTGTCCTAGTAACCTTTTCTATTTAAAAACTGTGTTCCTATCTACCTTTTTGTCACAACCAAGCAAAATACACAGAGTTAAGGACTGTTTGCCTTTGACTCATTGCAGCATTAGGGACAGATCCTTGCAGAAAGATATGCTCCATTGTTTTAAAACAATTAGTAAAGTTAATGCAACATTTAGAATAAATTTTCCTCTTAGGGAAAGTAGGCAGTAGAAAGCTACTCATTAAATAAAGCCACTTAGAGAACGGAATTCCAGCAGCCTGTATATATAAATATAGATACTTCCAATAATGCTTATAGGTTGTAACTCTCCACTCCTTCTGAAAATAGTCCTTCTACTGTTGCTTAGCCTGTTCCTTAATAAGTGAAAAACAAATATTTGTGCTCAGAAAACACTTCTTATTCCTTCCTCAGTAGTACTGAAGTCCCCATTGTAAGCACAGTAGCTGCCATCAGACATTTCTATGTGTTCATGTCAGAATGCTCATGGCACATCTGAGTTTTTTTGAAAATTATATTTGCTTATTTTCTTTAACAGCAAGGCAGCAAACTGAATTCCTGGGTCAGAAGGAAAGTTGGAAAGGATGCAGTACTGTGCACTGCAGGAAATGCATGCAAAATAACAGTGTCTGAGCTGTTTTCCAGTGTATTTCATAACAGGTAATCTTTTGTGTTGTGATCCAGCTACAAGATCATTGAGTTAGTCACATTTTTTCATGTCACAGCATGAAATTTAAGCTAATTCTGTGCATATTCATAAAAGCAAATAAGATTATTTCTTCCTCTGTTTATTTGCTAATTCCAGAAATCCCCTTGAAAGCAGTTCTATATTGTTATGATTTCACATAGTTGTGAAAAAAGCTACTGTGTCTCCAGAACGTAAACCCACTTCTAGAATGTCCCAGGTGAAATGACAGATTTATGCTCACTGCTGCCCTGACTTTTCACCAGGAACTGCTTGTAACCTCACTTCATCACCAGGCTGGGAGTGGAGGGCAGATGGATGTCTGGAGGAATCTCCCTCGAGCTGACAGCAAGATGACAGGACGACTCATAATGACTGTTTTTCTGTTTTAAACCTGCTTGAGCAATTGCAATCTCCAAGCTCCATGTGGAAGACAATGTCAGTGAGAACACATCCCCTTCTGAGAGGACTGATAAGCAGGGAGTGACAAGAGAGGAAGGCATTGATGTCCTGTAGGCTAAAAGACGGAGTAGAGATTATGCAGAGTGAGAAATACACTGAGGAGGAAGACAGCACCCAAGAAAGGAAGAAGGAAAGATAAATAAATAATTATAACATCAAGAACGATAGTAAAGCTAAAAGAACAAAAACTCTCTTGAAATGCAAAGCATAATTTGAGGCTTGTAATAATCAACTGAGTTTCATTAATGCTAGTGCTTCATAACAACCCCAATTCCTGATCTGACTGAACATGGGCAATAGGAAAGGCAAAGCTTAGCGATTAGTGATGAAAAATATGCAGGTATTTGGATGGAATCTGCATTCCAGAAGTCTATAGGTCTGAATTTCAGTCTCATTCTCCGAATTCCTCCTAGCTTTTCTTTCCCTAGTCCTAAGTGAACACTGCAGTTGTCAGTATGGTGAGTATCAGAGAGCCAGGACTCACCCACCTCCGACCCACACTGCGTGCACAAAACCAACAACAAATCAAAACCCTGACTTTTATACATCATGAAATAATGACTGCAATGGACATCAACTGCTGTTCTGTCAAGAGCTTCACAGAGAGGCCTCCTGTGTTAGCCCTGGTAAATCAGACGTCGCGGCAAACCCTTCGTAAACTTTTCTCTATGTTGAACTTGTCAGCCCACTGGCAGATTCATTACTTTTGGTCTCTAAACTGAGTTGAACCAGCTGCAGACAAAATTATTGAAAAAAAGAAAGGAAAGTGTTAACAGAATGCTCAAAATCTCTCTGCTTGAGACAGTGTTCAGTCTCAGCAAAGCACCTGAGATGGTGGCAGGTTATCAGTGAGGCCTGAGAGACATTTCCACACTCAACTGTAAATCAGGGCTCTAACCACAGCCACATATCTTCACCATCTGTTGAAAAAAAAATGTGCATTTTTTTTCCCCATCTCACATTGTTGCTGTGAAACTTGGTGAAATCATTTCAAGCTGCATCAAAGAACAAAAAGTCAGGTACAAGCCATGCCTGGGGGCAAAATGTTCACATAGATTGAGCTTGGTCCACATTCTGGAGACACCATGATCTTGATTGAACAAAATATGAGAGGAAACCAAATGTGTAGGAAAATCTGCTTTACATATCTTCTTAAGAAGCTGTGAAAAAGCTTTAGATGAGTTGGTCACTAAGAGGTGTTGAATGACTCACCCCTGCGTGAGCAAGGGGAGGACAGAAGCCCTCTCTGCAGTGATTGTGTCACTGTTGTGCAACACTACCTCCCAAGCTCACAGACAGGAAGCTGTAGTATTACAGCTGTGGGAGGCACCCGTGCTCTTCTGACTAGATGATTTCTGTTAGAATCTGTAGCTTATTACATGATTTTGGCTATTGTGTATGTTACTGGAGGCTACTGTTGTCAGCAAAGTTAAGTTTTCCAAAAAGACGGTCACCATGTAACACCCTGGAAACAAGTATTCTCACAATTAATTCATATCTTTAAGACTATATTACAACCTTATGCTTGGAAAGTACTTACTGTTCCAGACTGCAAACAAGTGTTGCATCAGAAAAGTTATTAAAAACATTGATCAGCCTCATGCCACGTCAGATGCATTTGGCCCATATTAATCAACTGAATAAGCCAGATTGAAACCTGAAGTGCCTTTTCATGGCAATCACTTAGACCTCTTCACACAAAAATATATCCTATATTGATGGCAAGGAGCTGAAAAAAAATCATATTGGTGCCCATGTCTGCTTAATATATCCAAGTTTGACCCAGACATTTAAATACTTTTGTAATACCATGAGCAATAAAAAAACCCACATGCACACAATCTTTTGGTTTTGCAATCTGTGTGGACTGAGACTGAAGGCTTTCATACTGCAAGCAGTAGGTGGCATGCTTAAAAAATAAATATTAATCTCAGGAAAATGTTCTCATGCTGTTTTACTGCTGTTCTTAAAACTTAAATGCAAAACAATCTACCAAGGGATAAACTAGGAAAACATTGTACTCTTGAATTCTTTACATAAAATTGGACTGGCTAAAGTGAAATTCTAGTGTGAATCAAAAACTACAAGATTGAATTGTGGGCTACCAATGGGATAAATGAAGCACAGTAACTGAATGTTATTACTCATTCCATAGGAAAAAAGCATTATCATGACTGCTCCTGTCAAATATGCAAATAAGTGATTACATTATTTCAGAGTAAATTTTCCCATTGGTTTCTGGGAAGACAAGGTACACAGTACTCTTCTCTTGTAGCACTGCTGTTTAGCATAAAGACTTGATTCTTCTTACTCTAAGTTGGCTCAAAGGGGGATGAAGAGACCATTTTGGGTGGACTGGAAAGATTCGTTAAGTGGTCAGAGAGACTTCAGGTTGGATAGTACACAAAAACAAGCGATCCTTATTATTTGAAAAGCGGGTTGAATGTTGCAAGAATAATATCTGTTTGTAGGATTTATTTTCTTAGCTATGTAAGTGACAGAAAAGGGAGAGAAAAGCAACATACTGACTCTCAGCAAGGACTAGCCCCTGTAAACTCAACATTTTTGTCTGAGGGTGCAAAGAAAACACTACATTAAGCTCACATTAATGTGAAAAAGTGACACAGCTGCCTACACCCTTCCAGACCACAGCTACATCATGAAAACCATTGGGGTTCTTTGAGCTTTCTACTGTTATTCCTCACTTGCATCCAGGAACTGATTTATTACTGAAGCTATAGAGGAGGAAGAGAGGAAAAGCTAAACATTTTGTGTGCTCTGCATCTGGCAAGACATAAAACACTCCAGTTTCAAGCATGAGACAGGTCACTGACAGTGACAGACACGGCTGGCAACATCTCAGTTCAGCAGCAGTAACTCATCATCTGAGCTGAGTGTAATTGTCACCAGGTGCCAAGTCCCATTGTCTCTGGCTGTGGGGCACCAGGCTCCCAAAGAAATTATCACATGAAATTCTCCTACACGGTGTGTTTTTTCCATTTGCTGGGATGAACTGACACCAAAGAAAATCCCCTCTGCATTCCTTTTGACAGTTAATATCTCTATCGTATTCTCTTGAGTCTCACAGACAGCAGCGAATAAAGAAAACAAGTTTATCCTCTCAGCAGCTGAAACTTGATCGCTTTTATTTAAAAGGGCTGAGAAACACGGTAACTTCTACTGTGTCGGTTTCTTCTGAGGAAGATCGTGGAAGGTATTAGTGTCTCAGGAAGTCACTGTGCTCTACTCAGGGATAATAATGCCCGCCCTCAACATAACTGGAAGGCAGACAGTGATCTTTGTCTCTGGTGTACTGCAGAAGGTAAAAAGCAATGCACATAAAGTATCGAGGGCTGCAGTGTGTGTATTTTGTCCAAAGCAGACCCTGTGCTGGTACTTGGAAGAGGACAAACAAAACATAAGTACAAGCTGAGGTATGTTAATGCTTTAAATGAATCACAGGCACTATTAAGATTGGTTTGTAGTTCATTGAAGTATAAAATGAAATGGCTTGTATTTATATCATGCAGAATCACTGCAATGTTACATGTCTTTATTGTGTATTTTCATGCACATTCATTATTTTGTATGCATTTTCAGTATTAACTAACACTTCTACAGGAAGAATCCTGCATTGTTTACAAAAGCCTATGTCTCATGTTCTCTACTTAACTTTAGTAGGATTTTACTCCAATTGACATTAGATACTTACAGAACCAATTTTAAACCAATGATACCACTATATAAAAAAAACCCCTAAAATATGCATTTGAAATATCTGTTCTAGTCTGCCAAGCTATTTCTATGGCAAAACATTCTGCTTTGGCAAAGAATAAAGCTAACAGACAACAGAGTTCTTGAGGAGTTGTATAAGAATAGTTGAGATAGTGTCTACTAATGCTTCTGATATTTCCACAGTAGTGTATGAAAACTGTTTTTCTTTACCTCTGAAGGAAAGAAGAATTATGACTCTAAAGTGTCTGAAAGTTGAGAACTGCAATTGCATTAATTAAACAGAAAAGAAAATGTGGCTGTATGTTAGAGAGGGAGAAAAACAACAAGGATGACCTGACCTAATTAGCATAAGTTGACCTTGCAAGTGGGATCAAAGGATGCTTTAAAAATTATTTAGCAACTGCCTACCAAGAAAACTAGAATGCTCAGATTAAAAATGAATTTTTTACTGTAATTTATTAATTACAGGTTTTTCTATCCTAACAGTGTCTTATAATACATCAAGCCCTCACAGTACAGAAAATGGTAACCTGGTAGAGGTGTCATACAAGATGAGACAAGTATTTCTGCTTTTTTATTTCCTGTCCTTGAACCTTGAACCGTGTGGGCTGTAGGTGACCTTTAGAAGTTATCCAGCACAATACTCCTCTTGAAGCAGGTCCAATTACAATGAGGTTTTCAGGGCCATTTGCTGTTGGGCTATGAATCCTGTGAATCTCTGAAGATGAATTCACAACCTCTTTGGACCTCCGTTCCAAAATCTGACCCCTCTAGTGGTGAATAATTTTCCTTTCTATCTAATTTCAATGTCTCGTATTCCAGCTTGTGTCCATTGCCTCTCATCCTGACAATGAAGATCTTGAGTAGAATCTTTTCCCATTAAATAAATAAAATAGATGTAGACAGCAATGAGATCTCCACTTTGCTTTCTCTAAAGAAACCCAATTCTCTCATCCTGTTCTCATGCATCATATGCTACAGTCCATCAAGTAATCTCAATTGATTATGTGTCAATGTTTTCCCTGTACTGCGGAGCCCATGACTGGATACTGTACTCTTTGAGTATCTTGTTGGCTAGATATGCTTCTGCTAATACAGTGCGGTATACATTTAGCTTCTTTTGGCACAAGGGTACCCTGACAACTTTGATAGCTGGGAGGTTTTTCCAGGAAGACTAAAGAGACTTCCTTATGATTCCATCCCTATAGAAGCTTGACATTCTTGAAAAGGCTTTTACCACCAGCTTCCGATCTATTATATCAGGCTGGTTATTCCCAGTCCCATATGAGTTTCCTGGCAGACTTTTTTTTTTTTTTTTTTTTACAAGCAGAAAATAACCAGAACCCCAATAATAGATGAACCATAAAAGCAATACAAGCCATCTCTGTAATCATTTTCTGATGTTTAGAGATATATTTCTTCTTCTCGAGTTCTTTTCCTTTGTTCTACTTGAAAACATCTGTAGTAAAAAACATTAGCCTTTGTGTATATCAGCACATAATGCCCTATTAAGCCAGTGGGAGTTTCCCATGTGAATGAATACTATAGTCTAGCCAGAGCTCCACTCTGCTTGTCTGCTTTAATCAAGAGAGTGAGATTCATATCTGAGTATTTTTGAAAAATCAAATTTGATCAGTACGAGAATCACTCATGTGTTCCCAGCAGACTTCAGAAGCATAACCTCAGACTCAAATTTGATGTAGCTAAAACCAAAATGTAGGTCATATTAGAAATTATTTTAGAATGCTTAGATAAAATTCTCTGTATCCACTGCTAGTAAGAATCCAATCATTTATCTTTCTATGCTAAGTATTTATATATTTTCAGATTTTTATGTGATTTCTGCATTTAATGTCCTCTAACATCAGATTGTAGTTATAGAGAAATGTAGTTTCTCTATATATTAAATAAACGTGATGAGAGTACACAAAGCCATTCATAGTCAGATTTTGGAATTTCTGCACATTAGAGAAAATCAAATTCTAATATGGAATCACACTGATGATAAACTGTAGTCAAGACAAGAATTCTAATTTAGATCAAATAGAAAATATCCTAGAGTTGATTTATGTCTCTGATAAAATTCATGTTTACACATTATATCTCTTGCACATAGTTAAGATTCAAAGGAAACAAAAATAAACAAAGTGAAACAAACAAACACAATTTATGTATTTCTGTAAACACTTCTGTAAATACTAAATATGTTTAAGTAAGCATATATTATAAATGCAAATTATAAAGCAATGGATGAAAACAATTACTGCTAATTTTGCCTTACCTGTTCCAAGAAACAAGACATGGTATCTTCCATCAGCAGCATTCACTCGGTCCACAGCAATCTTTGTATACTTGTAGTCCGTTCCTATCCGGATGATTAATGGCCTCTTATGTATTGGGTAAATGGGATTATACATCAAAGGATGATTTCTAATGAAGGTCACAACATCATCTGGAAACTCTTTGGTTGTCCGCATATTGGGTGTGAAGGCTCCTCCTGGACACTGCACAAAATATGCACAGTAATCCTTAGCAATGCTTACCATCGTTCAGAGAGATTTCCTCTCTAATTCATTTACAAATATTGACTGAGAGCTGACAAAATAAGTTCCCAAAAGAACACTTCAGACACTGACTGAAAGTAATTGTATTCCAGTAACTGGCATGAAATACTTGAATAGTTATGCTTTTATCTCCTGTCAATTCAGATAAAGCAAACACAAACATAATTTTGCAATATTAAAATCCAGGATGATGGCTAAGTTCCATAGTTGTGGACCTATTTCCACATTCATTACATTTCCAGACATGCTTTTGAAAAAAACAAATCCAAGTAATTGACAGGGAAGATACATCTGTTTTGTTATAGAACTAGTACAAAGAGAAAAGGTAAAGTCTGATACCCAAATGTAATTTGGTTAATATCCCTCTAGTCATTATTTTGATTGTAAGACAGTGAAAATGTCTGTGATTTATCTTCATTTGAAAAAGCAGTAGTATAGGTTTGAAATAGGGTGTCTGATATGTTGAGACAGTTGATCATTCACAGGATCTTACCTACCCCATCTTTTACAAGAAAACATAGAAAATAGAAAATTGGTATTCCAGGTGCTTTTTTAAATGCAGTAACCACTAAAATAATGAGCCCTGAGGCATTCTGGACTTCAAGATGAAAGTAAAAGCAGTTTTCAAAAGTTCAAGTGCCTGCTAAGAGTGAACCTAAAACAAGATTCTATGTTTCTAAGACATCAGGAACTATGTCAGTTTCCGGTACACTGTGCTGGAAGTACTCACTCATTTGCACAACTACTTCAGCCAGTGATATCTCAGTTTTCATTGCTTTTTCTGAGATTCCCTCCTTGTCAGATTGCTGGGAAATGGACCTCTCCTAAGAATACTGGAGCTATTCAGAAACATTTCAAGAGATTATTTTCAAGTTGGAAAGTCTTTGTTCAGTACAAAACATTTCATGAAAACTTCTTCCTTTTGATGAGGACAGTTCTTAGGTCTAGGATGGAATTTGTAGTCAAACCACACACACAAAAATAGCTAGTAGCTTAGGGATAGTGTCACCTCACCTGACTTCTCCTGTCTCAAAGTTAGACATTTATTCTTAGCTACCTAGCTTTCCTCTACAGTCAGTAATTCAGACTAGACACCCTGCTTTTATATGGTTAAGATTACGTAAAATGAATCATACTTTGAGAAACTAGGAAACTCACCATGGATATATGACTCATATGTCCAGCATACCTGATGCAAGCAAACATTAAAATCTGGGTCTTTGCATGTCAGGGAATCCCTCTAAACACCAGGCAGGAGTGTCAGTTCTACTCCTGCCACTAAAAGCTGCTTTTGTTCACCTTATTAACTATTCATTAAGCAATGCCAGGAATTGATTACAAAGTGGACCGTAGCCTAATGCCAAGTTTTGAAATCAGCTTCTGGCTCTGGTAGGAATAGCTTAAAAGAAACTGCTCCACCATTAGTTACCTTCAGCAGAAAGAACTGGAAGTCAGCTCAAATATGGGTTTCTTTTCCTGTCTGAAGTGCTTGACTTCAATTGATTCTTCTGAACTTAGCTACCCTGACAGTTTAGGTTAGGTGCTTATCACAGATGATTCTACATGCTGGCTTTCTAAGACTGCTGATAAAATCTAATCTGTATTATCGTTTGCCCTTTTTCCTTCCATGGAACTTCCATCCAATCTTGCAGGAAATGGATGGAGCTATCTGCTGTGATTAGTAAGAAGTGATGATAAAATAACTGTCTTCATAAATCTGGGGGTTAATAGCAAGATTATTCTTCTTGGTAGTAAACTTCCAGCTAACGTTTCCTGTCTAGATGGACTCTGTTTCACCTGAAGATCAAATTAAACTTCCTTGTCTCATGCAGTTCAGCTGAAAGAAGAGTTTCTCTGATGCTTCCTGTTCTCCTTCCATTCTTGACTTGGAGATCATAAAGACTCATGTCTTGGACTTCCTGCAAAATGGTTGTGCTATTTTTCACTCATGTTTGACTCTAAAAACTTACATTAAAACACTATTCTGTGCAAGTCCTCAAAATAACATCTTTAATCAATTCATTCTATTGCTATTCTCCATATAAACTAACACCAAATGAAAGATGCTACTGAAGAACACTATAAATTTTCCCTTTCCTGAAGGGATTGAATCTATATCCTCCACACTTCATTCAGAGGCTCAGTTACACAGTAATTATGTTCACAGTTGATCACAGTGTAGTAAGATTACAGACAGAAACAGAATTATTTCATTTACAGTATATTCTTCAACGTGCTGTAGGTAAAAAAACTATTTCTATAAACTGAAAAATGGAAACTATCTTCAAACATGACTGAACTTAGTAGGAAGATGCCAATTATATACTTTCTTTTTTCCATAAGTAAGTTTTGCTTGTGGAGAAATAAGAAACCACTGGTATTTAGCAAACAGCAGCCAAATTCTGCAGAACCGACTGTGGCCAAATGTATGTATTGCTCTATTTAATTCTACAGAAGTTTCGCTGAACCCCTTTCACTGTTTATCCAATGCACTGAAACATAATAAACGTTAGTTTCTGTCCAAAGTTTTAGTATGAATATCTCTCTAGGCAACTGTAAAGTAGGATTTTCCATGTTATAAAAAAAAAATCATCCTAGTCTAGTTCAGAATCCTAGAAGTAGCAGTAACATTTGTTCCAGAGGAAAAGGGTTCATGTGTCTTAGTATGCATGCTTGGAAATTCACAGCTAACCCTAAGAATACAATTTCTCTCTTGATGACCTGATTTTTACAGGTTTTGACATATCTGAGAAACGGGGGTTGCAGTACGCATGTAAAAAAAGTAGAATATTTTGACAGTGTAGAAAAAAAAAGCAGTGAAGTCCCATTGTAGAAAACACACTTTTGGAATATTATGCCATAGCTGAATTGTGAGGAAGCAGAAAAAATTCAGTGATCAGAAAAACACTAATGATCATTTTAAAAGAACCCTGCTTCAGTTTTATTTTTGGTGTGAGTTAAGAATTTATCTTCAAATTAAAAGTTCACCAGCGTGACTGAAAAAGGATAGATATTTTTGTCTATGTCAAATCGAAATCTGAATTTTCTTTCTCCCTTTCCATTGTGCTGCTGGATTCCTTCAGGCTCATCTGGAATACCATGTAGGCCTCCATGAGACGTACTTCCTTCTTGGTGAACCAAGAATAACATGGCAGTGGTTGAGGAAATATATACAAATACAATATTTTGAAGCAGTAGGAAATTTTGAAATCACGAGAGCACAACACTTCCTATTTAAATGGGCCATTTATTTTTTATTTATGTTGAGTTTAAACTTAAAACCTCAGTGAACTCATCAGAGTAGAGCTGTATGAATTAATGGCAAAGATGGAACAATGCTAGCATTTGAACATACTGGAATATTATGTATTGATTAGCTAATTTTAGAGATCTGGGGACACAAAATTCTAAGTCTTACAACCACTAAGAACTGCACTAAAATATTAAAAATAGTGTCCAAAAAGAGAAGCTTGGATCCAGACATTGAACACACTCGCAATGCTGTCTTTGTATGCTTATTTATGTAATTATCTTTTGCTAAATCCTGCACAGAAAATGTACATGTATAACATCTGACTGCTATTTAGTGAAATAACTCCTACCATCTTTGAACAGAAAGAAGAAGAGAGATTATATCTTACGTGACAATGACAGTTTTTTTTATGGAAGATTTCCAGATACTGCACAATTTGAATGGTAAGGTGAGAAGCAAATAAAATTGTTCTGAACTGTAACTAAATGCTGTAGTCACATACAGACTGTTCTCTTGGAATAAATAGTATCTATTTATGTATTAAACAAAGAGAAGTAATTGGCAAGCCTCTATAAACATATTATGTACTTACAGTGCCAGGTCGTGGGTATGGAATTCTGCCCTGATATGGAATCAGCTGATGGTTTGGGCCCTCCTTGTGTGCAAATGGCCCATTGAACACAGTCTGGATGTCAGATAAATGATACACACACACAGCTGAGCCTTTAAAAATGGAGCTGGAAAACAATAGGAAAAGATTAGCATTTTAGCCTACCAACATTTCTGTAGAACTTCCATTATTTTGTATGTTCCAGTGCTGAAAGGTACTTCTAAAATAACATAATACAATTTAATACTTCTATAGCATGGATTTACTATAAATTAACCAATCTAGGTTCCCAATACACACCATTAATCTTTAGGACTGAGCAACTTTTTTGAACTATGAACTGAAAAGAGAAGGAAGGACTTAACTACCTCTGTGGTAGGAGTAAGAAATTTTTCAAATGTTGAATATTAAGAAATATAACGTGACCCCAGTTAAATCAGAGGCATAAATATTGCTGACTTAAGTGAGACAAGAGTTTTATAAACTTTGTGCTGCTAAGCTCAGCAGAGATTTCCAGAACTCCCTATCAATATATTAACCACAAGATCACCGTAAGCCTCCCACAATCCATGGCTAAAATGTTAATCAAAACATCCAGCACAATTAAAAATTGTTAAATCACTACAATCAGTTGCCAGCTGTTCTAAGCAAAATGGAGACAGGTTGTGGCTATAAGAGAATTATACTCCTATGCAGTCCTCAAAGGGAGTTGAAATATAAGCTTCCCGAAGAGAAAAGAGGGGTCCTGTAAGAGGAGACCTGCAGTAGGCAACTGCAAGGCACCTCATCAGGATGTGACGTGGCAGGACCTCCCCTGCTCTATGATGGATGTATGACACATGCTTTAGGGGCGTAGATGAAGCACATGGGGTATATAAGCTAGGGTTCACGTGCAATAAATGCCATTTTGCTGCTCATCATATTGGTGTGCACGTGCAGTAATTTGGTCCTGACCTGGTTAGGGTTAGTAGCGTAGAAGGCAATGCAACAGAGAGCATGCTTTTTTTTCCACCGCTATGGATCCAGCAATGCTCTGACATCTCCTTAAACAGCACAAACTCTGAATGGCCTCCATCACACATTGACTATGCAAGGCACCAGAGGAATAACTCCTATGGTAATGCTAAGACTGACTGCTGTGAATTAATTGTCTCTTCTTTTACTTTCTATGCATGTAAGACTTGGGATATTTATCCCAGTAAGGTGTAGACAGTCTAAAATATGTCTGATATCAACTGAAGGACAAAGATTCTGTGATTCTGTGATAATCTAAGTAACTGTTTTCAGTCAATGAAGGAAAAAAATCAGAAGAAAACTGAAAACATGAAATTTCCAAGCCTGCGTTTACATAGTGTCTAAGCAAACCAAGTGCTACTAATTACCTATCAAACCACATTGCTATATGTGTATTAGCAGGAAGAACCTTCTAGATGAATTATAATATTTGTGGAAATTTTTGTAGGCACTAGTATGTTTTAAAAAAATGCTTTTAATAATTTCAGGTGTTTTGCATTAAATTTACAGCAGATTATGTCACCAAGATAATTTGTATTATTTTTTTCCTTCAGTATGGTTTTATATGGTTTATGGTAATAATAGTTATTATTTGGTGGGATGTATCTCTCTTGCTACTGTTAGGAGTTGGAGGTCTACAGAGGTGAAGAAAAAGGTAAAAATAAGGAGTAAAAGTCATTATGAAGATTGTGTTTGACTGTGAAACACATAAAATCTCCAGCCAAACAAAAAGGAAGAAACCATAAACTACGTGGTTCATGACTACAGAAATGCATATGAGTGTGAAAGCTTAAGCAGAACGCAAAAACAGCTTGAGAGCCAGGAATAAGTGAAGTTTTCTTTGTTGTCACCTTATATGGCCCTGCAACACCAAACCTCACTTCCACTGCAAGAATTCCAGGAGAATTAGGTATAAGAGTTTCCAATTCAGGAACGTTACATCCACAACCTAATCATAAGTGTGGTTTTACTGCTAAACATAACCTCAGCATTTTTTCTTTTTGTGTAGAAGGAATCATAAAATATAGACAGCACCAGATGTTTACAAGTTATGGACTTTTTTTATTCCCCAGTCAGTATTAGAAAGTCACATTTTCCTGGCTGATTCACACAATTGAGAATGCAGATCTCTGGATTCACATGAAAAAGGCAAATAAGTTTGTCAAGATCAAATATTTTTCTCACGCAAGGGCTATTTAATTGAAAACTGATTTTAAAGGAATTGTTAGGAATAAGTTAAAAACTGCTGATTTGATCAAGTAAATGAAATTAAATAACAAATGTAATTTTCCCACTTACTTCCTCTCTCCCTCCCCCTGAATATAAGCAATAACAGCTAAAAATTACAGGGTAGCATATTAGAAATTAATAAGAAATAACTATTTCTACTCTATTCTACTGGTAGGTGGTGAGGGCGAGAAAAAAGCAAAAAAAAGTAAAATTATGTAGAAATGGTAGATTTGTTAGATCTGTCTTTATGGAGGGTTTCAGCATAGTGAGCTGTACCTAATGCTTCCACTGCCCTTGGGAGTTCACTGACTGCTTTCTAAACTTGACAAATAAGTGTATGCTACTGATAACGGGTATCTTAAAGCAGCAAGGATGTCACCAAACACCGTATAAGTTTGTCTTTTTACAGCTCATTGAAGCCAACACGGATTACTTGCCATCTGTACGATCGTCTGCCAGCTGAGAGACTGGAAATGATTTGTATGAATTCCTGTAAGAATTCCAGGTTTGATCATTCAGGGTGCTGTCTGTTCTTCAGGAGGTGTTAAGCACTTTCAGATGCTACACAAGTTCACTGCTTTGAAGTCCTTCAGCCTTCTGCTGCTGCTCAGTAACAAGTGGCCCTGCACAAAAATGCATTCCCAGTGCTAGCTGTCATCATGTTAGGGAGCAGCTTAGGCCATGCAGCACAGGATATACACTGTAGTAATGGTAATGCTGCTAATTAAAACTGTTACTCCTGTGTGCAGATATGGGTCACAGGAGACACACAACATTGTACAGGACAGCCTTGACCACAAACCGTCTTGTTCAGTTTTCATGCAGAAAGTCGGTCAGTTCAGAACCACTTACCTTGATGTAGTAAAAATTCCATATACAAGCGTTGTTCTGGGGTTATCTGTCTCCAAAAGAAACACATCCTCTGAAAAAACAAAACAGATAAAAAGAACACATTTTTTGAACTCTACTAAAAACTTCATTTTCCAATTTAAATTAAGACTTTATTCCTGCTAAGGTCAGTGGTAGTTTTGCTTCAGACTTGAATGGAAAAAAGTGTATTTATCATATAAATAGACTATATGTATAAACTTTGCAGAAGCAGAGTTAGAAATTAACTCCACACCATTTAGCATTGTGAAGAAAGAAGGCAAAGATTTTCAAATATGCACAGTATCCATGTCTCACATTTCATTCAGCTGGACCTCATTTCAGCAGGTTGTTTAGCAGTAGTCAAATATTTAAGTGGCAGCAGGTCAAAGACAAAGAGCTCCCTTAGAAGGATATAATCCAAAGCAGGATAATTAGGTGTTTTATCATTCTGTACACAACCTAGATGCCCTACCCTTAGCTCATTTTCAACACCATAGGAATAGCATATGGTTCTGCAGTAAAGACAGTGAGAGGTGTAAACCTGCCAGCCTTTTGTGTTGAGATTTATTAACTCTAGTGTGCAAAACTTTGCCTACTCACTGATCTGAACTTGCTTACTTCCACATCTGATCTTTTGATATTTTTTTTTAAAATTTAAATTAGAAATAATTTAGTCTTTGAGAGTTTCTCCATACAAATGTTGTTAATAACTATAATCAAGTCAGCTCTTAAGCTTATTTTACTGAAAAAAACTGAACTGCTTGAGCTATTTATAAGAGAATACATTCTTCAGCTTTCCATTAATTTATGTGGCTCCTTCATTAGAAATTTGAAATTTTTAAACATTCTTTTCAATATGTCAAAAGCAAAAGACTTCACTATGCAAGACTGCCAGTGTTACATTCTTATATGTGAAATCTCTCTCAGATTTTTCTGTGTTTCCAGCTGCAGCTGTATTCTTACTGCCACAGGACTGTGTTAGGAGCTCACACTGAGAACATTGTCTCGTACTCTGTATGCTCCAAGATTTTGTCAGGCAAAAAACTGAAAGTAATTTTCCTGCTGCCTTGTTGAAGAGGAATAGATTTGCAAATCACAGGTCATAAAAAACAGTGGCTAGAGGCTAAGCGCTGAGAAGTTCTGAAAGCTGATAATTACCCAGAGAGATTGACAAAAAGGTAGATTTTCTTTTTCAGGTAAGGGGATTTTTGCCATGGCTTTCTAAAAGGCCAACATTTCAATGTCAACATTTTCACAAAATCCCGTCATGGCTGAAATGGGTAGGGCCCTCTGAGTCCACCAGGGACACCCAGAGCATGGTGCCCAGGACCACATCCAGGCAGCTTTTGAAGATCTCTGTGGAGGAGACTGCAGCCTTTGGACAACCTGTGCCAGTGCTCTGTCACGTGCACAGTGAAGAAATGCTTCTGGTATTCAAATGGAAACTCCTGTGTTTCAGTCTGTGCCCACTGCTTCTTGTTCTGGCACTTGGCACTGCTGAAAGAGTCTGGCTCCATTCTCTTTGCCACCCCTGTGGGAAAATTGACGAGATCCTCCCCAAGTCTCTTCTTCTTCAGGCTAAACACTCCAGCTCTCTATTGACTAAGCAGCTGCAGGAGTTTCAGTACTGTGTACAATAGTATATATAGCGTGCAGGATTTAGATAAAACCTTTTGAAAATGTTCTTGTCGTACCTAATTCATCAAAGTATGTTTCTGTTCCATCTTCATCCATTACTGAGCACACCAGTCTTGCTTTCAAGAATGTAGTCCATTTGTTCACAAGACTACGCTGACCACCTGTATCATTCTGAAAAGGAATAATGTTTCAGGAAAAATAAAATACAACAGAGATAACATTTTACTGGGTTTTCCCACATTTTCCTCAGATTAATTTCATCCTGTCATATAGAGGTTTATACAGTTACATCCAATATAAGAAATAGCTAGGACTAAACCAAATCCCTTCATCTAAATACTGAAAAACTAAGATCAAATTTTCTGAGCAGGCTTCCTGGACTGAAACCTTGGGAGGGCTGGGCAGTAGGTGCTGTGCTGAAGATATGTGCATACATGGTTGGAGAGGACTCTGAGTGTCTGTATCACTCACTGATACTTCACTGATACTTAAGAAGGGAGAGTCTTTGCTATTGATAGATAGTTCACTGAATATTCACAGTACTCTACATGCTAAACTGCAGTCATAGATCTGGAATTATATTTGATCATTGTATCATTGCCGGTGTCATAACAGCACAGTGTGTAGGGATGTTTCTTCTACTCCTGACAGCAGAATAGCTCCATATAATCTATTAAGATATCCCGGCCCATGAGGTGAGAGCTCTGACCTAAATTCAGAAATGATGGCTATTATGGTTCAAGCTGGCTTTGCGCTGCTGCAAGCCCTGATAGCTTGGTCCAGAGCTAGCCTGTTCAGAGCTTATTCAAGAATCTCTCCAACAAACAGTGGAATAGGGAGGTGCTAAAATATACTGTGCAGCCTCATTCTGCTGGTGAACACTTTGGGTAACATCTTCCAAACAGCATATTACAATGTCACCAAAGAGAATGAAAAAAAGATAATGTAGAAGTTGGGCATCTGTGACTTTGAAATGCAGTGCATGTTTCACTGGTGTTTGTATAGATGGTAATCAGACTTTTGGGGATACCCATAAGGGGTCTTTCACTGAGTTTCTTTTGGCACCATTTTACTAGCATATGTGGCCTGTCCCAAATGTGTTGATATATGAATATGATTGTATACAAGTATACAAATATGCAAGCACAACTGGCTCAGACTTGTTTTCACTGTCTTTGGGATTCTGCCACTGACTTCAGTATAAGTCTAAACAGGCTGAGGCCTCTGAAAAATCATCTGGGCTTCATTATAAAAGTAACAATAACAAATACAGCTGTAATAGCGTGAAATGTCTTGCAAAATACCCAAAAAGGCCTTTGGACTCCTTCACAAAAATATAGAAAATGGAGATTATAAAACAGATCACATGGGTCATCAAACTGCCAAAGCCATATTAGCAGAGTCCAAATACACCCTCCCACCTTAGCACAACATCAAAAAGTAGTTCTAAAGAAGATCCAGATGAAAGATGGCAAATAAACAAACAGTCATAATTTTCTTCCTGAACTGTTCCAAAGGAAGGAATGAAAAGTTTAGCAGTAACTGTGCATTTGTAATTTTGCTCCCATTAGCAAAATCCAGTTCACCAGAGATACTCAAAGCTGTTTCAATCAATTTTCATACATTGCTGATTACAGATAAGAAAAAGGAAGTAGAGACAATGAAGAGTAGTGTGATTGAAAATTAATTACTGCACAGGAGTGGCTGTAATTCCTGAGTTTCATTTTTCTGTGCTCATTTTTAAAGTTAGGCTCACCCATATATCAATGCATGAACTTGGAAAGGGCAGGCACTGAAAAAGGGGGAAGCAACATTTGAAAGTTTAATCAATATATTTATAAGCTTGATTGTATATTTATGAAAGACTGCTGTTTTGCAATTTAGTTTTCCTAAGCAATAAATGCATCTGACTCTCACCAAGTATAGAAATTCAAAGTTTAGAAATTCAACATTGGTAACCATTCTAAGCCAGTCAGAAATATACAAATTCTTGAATCTCAATTTCTGTGTCGTTATACATATAACCAGATATACATAAAAACTTGCTATGTGTTCAGTAACATCTCTTATGAATGTGGAAGCAGAAACCAGAAATTAGTTTTGAAAATAAATCAGAGGGCTTTCAATCATTTTAATGAACTAGAGTCATTTAGCATGTCGTGTCTTAGAAGCAGCTTGCCCCAAAACCTGGCAAATAAAATAGCTCTTACTGGGCATATTCTTGCAATCATTGAGTGAATTTGCTTGGTGCTGCCACTGTTGTCTGTCAGTCTCTCTTTGAAGAAGAAGTAGATTTTGGCATCATTGGGGTCAGTGCCATCTGGTATAACATGAGCATCTACAAAAATAGGCTCTGAAATGAAAGAGTACCAAAGAGATGAAACCAAAAGCTGCATTAGTATAAGCAATTTGACATATACTGATTGCTTCAAGGAAGCACGATATATAGAGGTACTGCTCTGGTAGGTGAAGCTATACACTCTGGCCTCCTGTCTGTATATATCATATATCAGTAGGCAAATAGTTTAAAGCTGGCAGCATTACGTTTCTGTTGCCTCATATTTTATCCTACAGTGGATTTCTAGAAAAGTGATTCATATGTAGAAGCCAGAGTGTTAGTTTACTACAGCAATTCAAAGACTTAGAAGATGAAGAGGGAAGAATCAGTATATTATCACAGGCACTTCACAGCAAAGATTCATTGAGGCAAAAAGCGAAACTAAATTTTTAAAAAACTCATTAGGAAATTAACATATAAGGTGCTTTAAAAATACATAAGTAATAGGAACATAACTCCTGGAGTGCGGAGAAGGAGAGAAGGATATATGAAAGCTTGAATAGCATTTAAATCAGTATCAAAGGTTGATAAGCATAGTTAAGCGTACATGCAAAACAGTGCAAACGAGCTCTACTGAGAGAGAAAAATAATAGAATTCTGTAATAGTGAGCATATGATCTCTGAAAAGCATGTCTGCACCTAAGAGGCAAAACACACTAGGGCTATTAACAGCATTCTCCCTTATGTGCACATTGTGAAATGCAAGTGACTATGCACTAGTTTATTGCAATGCTTTATTAGGCAACCTCTTCTATTGGTGTTGGCACCTGCAGAACACTTATTTTTGGCAATTTTCTGTGCTAAAATATAATGGAAAGCGAAGGGAGACCTTCTAATACACGACAACATTTTATGCATTAGAGGTAAAGGCCCTTTCTTAGAAGTCACATTTTCTGACAACTTGCTATTTGAAAGTTTTCATGTATTTCCCCTTGAACAGCTTAGTTTAGTCATGATGCAAAACAAGGAATCAGGTGGCTGGCTCCTGCACTGAGTCCTTTAAAGCTCTCTATTGTCTATAGAATGTATATAGAATATATTTTTTCACAGTTACACTTCATACAGTAAATTCAGAAAAGCCCTTTTAAAGATAAGCACTTTATTTCAAATGGAACAAAGGAAAATCTCGATGAAACTCATGAAAAGCCTTGGTAAAATAAAGACCACTTACCACTCAGCCACTTGGAGTTGTGCTGGTCAGTTCGCACAGCGTTCCGCTTGGTCAGGCTCCGAAAAATGGCGGCATCTGTCCCCATGAAATCAATATACATTCCTGAAAAAAGCTCTTCATCTGCAAAGAATTGAAACGGAGGAGTAAAAGTGAATATACTGTTATGGCTTTTGGGAAATATGTGTTGACTAATCTACTTTTACTTTTAAACTTGTCAACTCTTTATTTTTACAAGAGCCTATACAGATAAACACAGGGTGGAGGGAATAGGGTTTCCCTCAGTTTACAATGACATGAACTAAAATGAGAGAGAATCATCAAAGTCTGATCAAAGACTTTTGGGAACTGCATAATTAAATGTCACAGCAGAACTACGTGTGTGGAGAACCCTTCTTTGAGATGAATTTAGTTATGGAACATTCAAAGTTAAGGATCACTGGAAAATCAGGCTAGTGTTACAAAAAAGTGTCACATTCAATTTTTTAAAGTACTTAAACTTTTTTGCTATAGAAGTAGACAAAACTATTGGGCTGGATTCGTTGCTGGAGTAAACTGGCACAACAGCTATTTCAGTTAATGGACTGGTGCCAGTATCCACCAACAGTATTGTTGAGGTTGCCCCAGGCAGCTTTAAGCTGACTTCAGAGCCTAGACAATCTTATTATAGAACTATATTCAGAACGACATAGAGCAACAATGGTCTCCTTTGATGTGCTCAATTCTGAGTATATGGTCATTAGGCATGAACAGAATTAGACATGCAAATTCCTACATTAATAGAGATATGAACTTCCACTCCCTGTGAATGGCAGAAAACTGTCCATCAGTCAGATTGTATATATGTGTGTGTGTGTGTGCATAAATATACATATGTGGCCACAAAGATGATCAGAGGGCTGGAGCACTTTCCCTATGAGGACAGGCTGCAAGAGCTGGGGCTTTTCAGCCTGGAGAAGAGAAAGGTCCAAGGAGACCTTACAGTGGCCTTCCAGTACCTGAAGGGGCCTACAGGAAAGCTGGGAAAGGACTTTTTATATGGGCAAGAGGATGATGGAAAATGTTATTAAACTGGAAGAGGCTAGATTCAAACTAGACATCAGGAAGAAGTTCTTTATTGTGAGGGTGGTGAGACACTGGAACAGGTTGCCCAGAGAAGCTGTGCATGACCCCTCCCTGGGAGCATTCAAGGCCAGGCTGGATGGAGCTTTGAGCAGCCTGGCCTAGTGGGAGGTATCTCTGCGTAGCTGGAGGTTGGAACTAGATGATCTTAAAGGTTCCTTCCAACCCAATCCATTCTATGATTCTATGTAAAATTGTAATTATAATTACATATACTATCATTTTCCACTCCGTGAATAACCAAACAATTTCCACTGACTAATGGCAGTGAAACCCCAGAATACAAAACAGTAGCTAAAATAAATTCTAAGTCTCAGAGTGGGAGTGGTGGCTGAACACATTCCAGTACAGCTGGGTTGTTTGATTGATGTTTTTGTCTGAATTCTTGGACAAACCAGAGAGTGTGGTCAAACTGGCAAGAGTCACAGGTTCAGAAGCACTTGAGGCTATTTTTATGGTTGTGTACGCGTATGAGTATGTGCATGTGTGCATCAATATGAAGGACTATTGGGTTATGAGAGAATTAAAACTCTGGAGATTCCATTTTTCAATTGCTGTCTAGAGCCCAAACTGTACCTCTGTAGAGCAGCCAGTAGATATTACTCCCAATCTTCTGTTCTCTTCTCTCCCATTGAAGACAAGATTTATGCATAGGACATTTAAACAATGCATGTTTGTGAACCCTTTACCTCCTGAACATATATCAACAGAATGACATTACATTTATACTAGTTTATAGCTGATTTTGTATTTGATGCCTCATGGCCTCAAACCGTTGAGGCTTTATTTTCACTATGAAATAAATTGGCTGAAAAGAGATTAAGCTTACTGTATTCATGAATCATTAAGTCCAGTCCTATGCACATTCACATCCACATTAATAATAGTGCTACACTATGAAATGTTAATCCTATTACATATCTACACTATTAGTTATGTCTTAAGCATTCCTAATGTCTGCTTGTTAATTGCGTATCAGATGTCTGCCAGCTCCATTTCCTTTTGGTTAAACTCTTAAATTCCACACAGCAATAGGTCTGCATAGAACAACTTGTTCACACTGCTTCTTTTTGTTACTGGGGGAATAACTCAATTGGAGATGTATGTCTGCTATTATAAATATCTCAGAGACATGCACCATGAACATCAGTTTTGCCAAGCTTCTTCAAAGTACATTTTTTGTGGCTTTGATGTAAAAGTGTCTTTGTACAATGGCAACCCGTAGCAAGTTTAAGTTTTGTTGTTATGGTATCACTTTCCTTCTAAGAGTGAATCAGCTTTCCTGCCCTAATCTAGGGTCAGACTTTATGCTAAGGCAGAAAGCTGGCAATGCCTCAAATTGCCAAGAAATTGCAACTATATTTAAAAATGGTTCTTTTGTTGTGGAAGAGTTATCCAGTCTGGCAGTATTTTGTATGTTCTACAATAAGAGGGAGGAATTCCTCCTCCAGAATAATGTTCGGAGTCCAGTGTATAGGCTTGGTCCTGTATTTTAATTCAAGCTGTAACTTCCAAAATCTTCCCTTTTCCAGTATAGGCATAGAGAAAAAATTCATTCAAGCTTGAAGTTTTAGCAGCAATTGATCTTTGCAGTAATAGGTACTTCCAAGAGAAAGTACAAATCTCAGTCTGTGGGACTGTTTTGAAAAAGAATGTGACCTTTGCAGAATAATTTAAACTTCACAGATGAATTATGTCATGAAAGACACTTCAAATTCCTGGGAAGGTTTCTTCATCACATATCTTAGAGATCAAGGAAGATAATGTAAAAATCTACTAAAATGAACAAAGCTACTATTCATATATTGAATTGAAAAAAAAGAAAAGGAAGATGAGCTTACTGTGTATACGGTAGTTCAGAAACAATGCATGCTGGTAGATTTTCATAAAATATTGAAGGAATTTTTAAATTATATTATATTTATTCTTTTATGGCATTTAAAGATTCATGTAACACTACCAGAGCAGCTATAAGTAGCTGTGGATTAATCCATCACTGGCTCTGAACAAGCATTTCTTTACATAGCAATCATTGAGAAGATAAAGATTCAAGTGCAGCCAAGGTTCAAAGGGATCCTAGGTAGAATTTTCCTGTCTTCTAAAGGTTTTCAGTTCAAATCTCTTTGTCCCCTTTACTAAATAAATTTGTAATGAGGAATTAAAAACCATATATTTCAAACAGATTATGTAAGACAGAGTATATGATATTTTCCTTAAGCTCTATGAGCCTCTAAATTTCAAGGAAATATCTACATTAATCAGTATGTAACAGCCATTCCAATGAAATCTGAATGGCAGAAATACCACATTGCTCCCTCCTAAACCTTGGGCAAAATATCCAATATCTGTGTGTATACCAAGTTGTCTTTGCTAAAGAAATCCTCAAAAATCTATGCAACTTCCATTTCACTTCATTGTAAAAAATACAGCAAGGATCAGATAAATGCTGAAAATATGGGATTAGAAATTTCGCTTTGGAATTAGAAGTCTACAAATGTGATGCATGCCAGGTAGAGAGAACCAGTGGTAGGACCAGCATTACCCTGCATCAGGGGTGATAAAAATGGGAAGAGGATCTGATCTTTGTTTGCTTCACATTATCAGAATAGTGCAAGACATCCAGTAGAAACTGGAAGCTGGGCTGTACTGTTTTACACACTTTTTTTCCTTCTGTCTGCACTGAGCCTTGATTTGAGCTGTACAAAACCTATGTTCCCCTTGAGTTTTCACTTTGGTTGTCAATTGTCAATTGGGGTCATTATTTTTATGGGGGATATCTCACAGTTGCTGAGTACAGTCACCACCAATTCACAAGAATAGTTGAGATATGACAGTTGTATCACTTTCTGGTCTTTCCTATGGAAGAAAAATAGCAGCACTGGTTGGGTCGAAAGCCAACTGAAGAACGAACAGACTTGCAATAGCTCTTGGGCTTTACCGCAGGGATGACAACAAAAATGAAAATCAAACTAATTGTGGTCTTCAGGCTTCTTCTTCCCTCGCTACTCTGAGTTTTTACAAATGATTAAATGAGACATAAGTGCTGTCCTTGATGAACAGGGTCAGAAAGTATTCAAACAGAAAATGCTAGACAGGGTAATAGAAAGTTGAAACTAAGCCTGGGAAAAAATGTAGAAGCTGGAAAAGGGACAATCTTTTGTTTTTTGTTTCTCTTTCCCTTTCTCTTAACAGCTTATGTCTGCATTTCATTTGTACATCCATCCTTAGCTTGATGTAAAACTTTTAATGAGGGTGGACACAAATTTTCTTACCATCAGCATAGATACAAAGGACTCCTTTTTGAAGGCTAAATTCTGTGACCAGCTACCAGTCCTCACCATCCACAACCATACAGAATCAAACCTTAGCATCTTGGAATGCTTTTACTTACTGATCATAACAGACACTGTGTTCACATTTGGGTTGAAAGAGCAGCGTCCCTTCCCTGACTCACACTTGGAGTCAATCTTGAAGATCTGTTCCTGAAATACAGATTTGTATGTCAATTCTCAACTTGCAGATATAAAGTTATTTTAACAACATTAATAATGCTCAGTGTTGCTGTGTGCTTTTTCTGCACTATCAGTAATTTATATCTCCTAGGCAGAACTGCATCATCTTGATAAAAATATTTTTCCTTGGCACACAGTTATTTTCAAGACTTTTGTTACAAATTCAAGACATTGAAACACCAAATTTTCCACTCTAGCTCAATCATGCATACTAGAGATTGTTTGATGTCTACAATGACAGCTGTAGAGATTACACTTGTGTTTCTGAAATTATTTTTTATTTTCTGAATATGTGATGAATATGTGATACTAGGCCAATATTTTAATAAAGGAACTAGAAAAAGAATATAAATTATATAAAAACCCCTTATGACAACTGTCATTTGTTGATGGTATAAATCATTTGTCCTCTACTGAGCTATCAAACCTCTAAAAAATCCTAAATTAGACATGTTATTTTCAGTGTCATTGCTTGGATTATGCACACAGCTCCAGTTTCGTAATAATAAGTGGTTTATTGATATCTTTTGCTGCATCAGATTTTTTTGCTGCTTAGGAATCTTTATGAGGAGCCTTCTTTATGTTTTGTGTGATTCATTAATAGGAAATACATTTGGCAAAGTCAAAGCAACCAGGACTACAGCTTGAAATGCAAGCAGTCTGAATATTTTTAGAAAACTCCCCCTCTGGGTGCATTTCCCCCTTTTTCAGATGCCAGCTACACTGAAAAGCATAGTATGCTCTTGGTACTGACACTCCTTGAAAAATATTGTCAGTAATGACAAAAGAAACAGACCTCTAGCACACCTACTTGCAAGCTACTGTCTACTGCAACAAACATTATTCTATAACAATCTTAAGATCTTTAATAAAGGTCTGACAGACAAAATTGCAAGGAGAAAGAAAAAAAAACGAAAATCAACAACAAAACTTAAAATATATCTGCTTCAATAGAAAAAATTAGATGAAAAAACTTCAGGGAAAGGTTTCTGTGATGTAGATGCCAATGCATTCGTTATTTGACTGAGGGCAGAAAACCCTTCAATTGTCTTTAATATTTAATGTAAATCTTAGTGAAATGGGAATACCACACAGATCACTGTGCAGCCATCTGCCAGCAGCAAACTGGAGACTACCAACCCAAAATGCTCAGCTATGGGAGGAAGTTTTCATATCCTTTATCCCCTATCTCTCTTTCCCCTCCTGTGTTTTGCCTAATTTAATCACAGAGATCTTATCTATTACTTCTGTAATAAGCTCCCTAAAACAAAAGTTAAAATGTAAGTACAAAATTTCTAATATAATCCTGGGTATTTTTTTCTCTTCTTGTTTAACTTCTAAATGAATATGCAGCTTGATGATAATCTATATTTACTATTTTTTACCACTATTTACCAATTCAAAATGTTAATTACTGCAATAGTAGTCTAGCTCCAGGTTTGCACCTGATTTTCATATATATTAAACTCCTTTTTAGTCTATAATTAATTCACATAGTGTTGATGTTTGCTTCTCTTTGCATTTACTTTGACATAATATCTTCAGGTGACTAAGAGTCATTATCAAAGACCAAAGCAGAGTGCAGAGTGAAAAAAGAAATGAATTATTTTTTAAACTCTGCTTCAAATAAAAAAGCAACATTCTGTTTCATCAGTTTGCTTTTTACAAGGAATCATGTGGAGTTTTGAAAACAAAAGAGGAGAACAGGCCTAGTTCTTATGATTGTTGGCTATGACTCTTAGTGTCATGTTTTGTAACACCTAGAGAAAAACATTATGTGCCTTCTAAAATAGCAGTTCTGCACCTGCAAAAACAGCATTCTGTGCGTGGAAAACTGCACTGATTTCAAGGTGAACTGACAAAAGCAAAGAATGAGTTCTCTCTAGTCCTATCAGCACTGCGTAGTTCTTCATTCTTCTCTATGCATGCACTTACGCATGCAACTGGTTCAAAAGGAAATGCTTGATTTTAGACTTACGCTATTGTTGGCCTATACAGTAAGGGCTTTGAGTATGCGAAGCCTACAGTCAAGTGTCTGACAGACTCCAGACATCTGGAACAGCAGTTTATTTAATCAGTAGATCGTAGATCGTAGGCATGCATCTACACAGACAGGCTAAGTGAAGCCAATTCTGCTCTTCCAAGACATGCATCCTTATTTTTAACTTAAGAAATTTAACATCTTGTGTCATGGAGAACTCAGGTACGTGAAGAACTCATGTCTTTTTTATCTGACAGAAATCTCCTCTACAAAATTCCTAATACAAAGAGATTTTAAGCCTCCCGAAACAGTACTGTTTAAGCTGATAAGATTTACATTAATTAATGAGGGATCACTTTTAGCGTTTTATGAAATTTTTGAGATTAGGACAGTAGTGCTGAGAAAAGCAAACCTGTTTCAAAATAGAGCAAAATAAATCATTGCAGACCATAATCTAGAAGGATGGATTTATTCACCCAGTTCTGCTTGCTTGTGCTTTTAAATCCAGGTCTATAAGTCTCTACTCTCAGATAATCCACTTGAACTGAAGGTGCAGTAATTTAGATTATATCTTCTGCCAAGGAGGCTGGAGCCAGGTAGTGATCTACCAAAAGTCACTGTGATAATTCCACATAAACTTACGTTGAAAAACAATCATTTATCCACCCCCCAACAAACTCTGTAGTCCTGGATCTTGGCCAGAATCCTCATCCTACTCCCAATGAAATCAATGATGAATTTCACAGTGTCTTCCCTAGCAGTAAGCCCAGCTTCAAAGCTGCCCTCACATGGCAAAACTCCAGGTTGCTCTCTGATCTTCCTTTCCAACACATCTGCTTCCATGTAGTACAGGAAAATATACTGTACATCCCTGTGCCTGCAGATATGAATCTGGCCCAAAAGCTACTGTGGTGATGGGTCTTGGTTAAATGCTGTTTTTTTCCTCCTTCTGGTTGCTTTATTACCTATTACATTTGCACATGAACAAACATTTTACATGCAAATCATGAAACCTGCACAATTTTATAATACTTATGAAACTTCTGGAACTACACATATTTAAAATGCACACTGAAATTGAAAATAGAAAAAAATAGAGAGCTATGGAGAGAAAATTAGACTTTGCACCCTGGAAGGCTTCACAGTGAAGGAGAAAACTCACTGACTTCATCCTGGCAGGATGTCCTGGGACAAAAATTGTGCTGTAGATCAAAGTTATCTACACTTGGATTGCATCTAAAGGATATTAAACTGATGTCCAGCAAAAACTTATATCCATATAGTTGGTACACATAAGTGCTTCTTCCAGAAATCAGTAACTGGGAACCATAAAAAGCTTTTTATCTAACTAACCTTTTCAAATATTTCTTGACAATTCCAACAAACACTAGGAATTAATCCGCCAGAAAACATCAAATAGAAAGTAGTGTCGTATGGAGTCCAACTTTTGATATGACTGTAGAATTTTAGACAAACATTGTATTTGAATGTGGTTTTTGACTACAGTTTGATTGTTTGATCATAACAGGGCTGTCAGAAAAATATGGACCTTTGTTCTTTTTCTGTTTTATGCAGGTAAATTAACCTACCTAGTTCATTAATTTTTGTATTTTCAAATTTTTGTGCTGGCATAAAACAGTGATATCCAGCACAAAATGAGAAGATAAAAAGAGACTTACCTCGGACCTGCGTCCCCTGTTGACATACACACACACTGGGCTGAAGGCTCCACTGCCACAGACGTACAGGTGTGTGCGATTGTATGACTGTATCACCCGCACAAAATTTCCACAGCCATGCTGCAGGGATTACAAAATAAATAAAAATGACATTGGCAAATGTTAGTGAATATTGGGAATTCTAGGGAATAGATACAATTCATATTTTTAGTTGCATCATGAGAACAGCTACCAATTTTGCTACTCTTTGGTTTTGAACATCTGCAAACATTTGCTTTCTTTTCTTGCCATTTTGTCTAGGCTCAGAATCAGGCACTGATACGGCATTATAGAGGAGCAGTTAGAATAGTATCTGTAACTTCTCCATCTCAACACTTTGATTTTCATTCAAAGACTTCTCTGATGGGAAGAAGCAGGGGCCTCCACAGGAAAGCAAGAAATAATCTTAGGAAGTTTTCTTAAGGAAACATCTACAACAGTATCTTCTCTTTCCCTCCACCTCCCAGTTGTTTTTCATTGTTAGTGGGTTTTTGGTTATTTGGATGCAGCATAATTCCTTTGCAAAAGGAGGCTGAAACTAGGAAATTATAAAACATTAAAACAGACTTTCTGTCCCTTGGGAAGGTGTTGAAGAGATCAGGTGCACGGTGTTCTCCTTGATCCTCCTGGTTGGAGACTGGAACGCAGGCAGTTGAATGAATGGCTACAAAGATGGTGTCACCTTCAAGGTTTTGAATACTACGATCATAGGATCATAGTCACACCTTCAACAGACCAGGCATATTGGCATTGGATGGGATGCAACTGACCAGGAGGGGCAAGAATATACAAGGCTGCAGTCTGGTTGGGCTCATCGCCAGAGCTTTGAACTAGATTTGATGGGGGAAGGGGATGTACTGCTGAGTGACAGAGAAGAGCCATGGAAAACTCACTTTAGGAAGCAGTGAGGAAAAACCTCCAATTTGTACCAAAGGAATTTGGGAGCGTTCCTTCAAGGAGGTGACGTGACAGATAGCCTAGCTGAAATGCCTCTACACCAATGCACATAGCATGGGAAATAAGCAGGAGGAGATGGAAATTATGGAGTAATTGGTAAACTATGACATAAACATAGTCGGGTGAATTACACAAGTGTAATACTACAATGAAGAGCTACAAGATTTTTAGAAGGAATAAGCAGGGCAAGAGGTGCAGGGGAGTTGCTATCTAGATAGATAGTGAAAAGCTGCCTCAGAGAAACAGCCATGACCAGGCTGAGAGCTGGTGGATTAAAATTAGGGACCAGTCCAATAAAGGTCATCTCATCTGTTGGTTGGGTTCTTCTACATGTCACCTGAGGGTGGCCAGGGGGAGCCTGTTAATGAAGACTTCTTGTTTCAGCTACAGGAGGCATCACACACCCAGGCTCTTGTCCTGATAGAGGATTTCAACCACCTGAACATTTATTGGGAAAACAAACCCACAGACTCCTGGAGTGCGCTGAAGATAACTTACTGATCCAGGTATTGGACAGACCAACCAGAGGTGAAGCATTACTGGATGTGCTGTTCACCAATGCAGAGGAGATCATTAAAGAGGTTAAGATTGGAGGCAGTCTGAGCCTCCAATTTATTTCCAAATGATCAGAATTCTGAACAACACATTACATAAGCAAGTTTGCAGTGAATTGTTGCTTCATTTTGAAGATCAATCAGAATAACATCTTCAAATCAGCAGGAAAATTGAAACAGATTGCTAAGTGCCACACAGTTTCACACTATCAGTTCTACAGTTTTCTCCTTCCAACATACCCTTTTCTTCTCTTGCTCTTCCCTTTTACAAAGTCATCCACTGTTAATGCATTCTGGACAAAAAATAGACTTTTTTCTTGAATACTTTCTTACTGAGATCTCAGACTTGCCTTCATATTCAATCATCCAAATCTTCATCAAAGACAGTGAGAATCACATGTGTTTTTTGAGCATAGGATTGGAAACAGTCATCAATCATCTTCATGAAAATCTGTAGAATTACTCCTTGTTCAAACAATTCATTTACACTTAAAGCCATTCACATTTCTGGTTCAGTAGAAGCTGGCACTCTACAAGAACCTCTGAAAATTGGTGCATAATTATAAGCAGCTCAGTGTTCTCAGTTTCTCTGCAGGGAACACTGCACGCCTTCAGTGAAATGCTTGCTCTAGTTATATAAGAAAGATCCTTTAACCTGGTAAAAATTTATTATTTCTCTATAGTTAGGGTGTTCCTAAAAGTTTCCATTCTCTCATATCTTACTATCTTAGTCTGGGTCTGAGGCTTTAGTAGTGTCTCGCTATTGAAAACAGGTTTCTCTCAGCAGTACTACCAATCCAAATTATGCCCGTGGAAAAGGAAAAAGGAGAAGTGAAGGTATAGCACAAACTTATGTATGCCAGAGTGCAAACTGATGCTTTCTTTTCTTGCTGTTTGCAAAAAGTTTTTGCAGAAGAGCACTAGGAAAAGAGTACAGAAACCTCAGAAGAAAGGTCCTCAGGGAGAAGGGCAAGGAGCCAATGGCTAGATGAACAGCACTGGGATGGGGTACTTTGCACCAATCGCATGCCATGTACTCTTAGAAGTGTTTATGGCAAAAATGCAACGGTGGTTAGATGAATTAAGGATTTCATTAAAGACAGCCCTCTGAGGTTGCATCTGATACACAGTGTATTTTCATGTGTCTTCTCCTATGATTTATGGATAAGTAACAGAAGTTGGCTCAACATTAACATTATCATGTTTTAATGCTCACAGGCAGGAAGTCTATTTTACGATCTTCTGTGAGCTTTTGCCCATTTCTCCATTACTGACCTACTGAAGCCCATTTGCATTCTGCTGTGTGATTCAACTGAGTACTGCACTGTACTGTGGCTCCACAATCCATCAAGAGATTATTGTGTTAGAAAATATTATGTAGAACTGTTCTTCAAAAACTATTTTTATTTTTCCTTGTGACGATATTACTTCTTGCTTCTATGTTATCTGGGTCTGAGGTGACATGAAATAGTTGTTCCTAGGACGGCTGTTTGTCAAAGCTGGTAGTTAAGCTCTATATATTCACATATCACTCATTCTTCACTTGGAGCTGATACCAATACTCACTCAATAACAGTCTGGTGAATTGTGTTACTGTCAGTAGCTATGTCCTAGAATCTCATTACAGTAAATGGAGAGAAATAGATGTAAGCCTAAATTAAGCATCCAAGTTATCTTGGTGAGCTTACTATTTGGAAGTGACAATTTCTTTTTAGTAATAAAAAAGAAAATGCATAAATCAATGCTTGTCTAATGGTAGTGGAAACGAACCCTCCCCTAACCACCTTTGAAAATAATTTGCTGTCTGATTGAAGTCCTTTACTGTCTGTTTCTCTTTTGTCTTTTGATAATTGCAACTCTCTGACAAGCCAAATGCTATCATGCTTTGACTTCTGAATTCATTCTCTGCTTCTCCTAATCTTATCAGGAATGAAATACACAAGAACTCTATTCAAAGTGGACTATAAATTTCAAGTTGCAAAGATTCATTCAGACCTGGGTTCTCTTTTTCTCATTATCTCAGTGAGCTTTCAATAAGGTACATCACTGATTTGGGAACTATTTTTCAGAACTGTATACATATATATAGTACCAAAATTCGGAGGACATTAAGAAAATTCAGGTAAGCTTCTATTTTTGGAACTTCTCTAGCTGTAGATCACTATAGTGAATTACTAAGTACAGTTTTAAAGAAACTGTATTACAGCTACAGTCCAGCAAGCCAACCTTCTGGCGCCTACACCAGCTGCTGCAATAAATTTAAGTATAAAAAGCAAAAAACACCACCATATTTTTCTTACAAAACAGACTCATCAGAATTATAGTAACATTGCAAGTCATACATGTAGGTTTAGTTAACAATAATAAAGTGTAACTATAGTAAATAAAGATGTTAGATTACATAGAAATGTGACTTTCTGTATTTTTTTAAAAAACTTATTTTTCTTTTGTCAACAAAATCTACAGCTTTGTCTATAAAATCATAGAATCATAGAATGGCCTGGGTTGAAAAGGACCTTGAAAGTCATCTAGTTTCACCCCCCCTGCTATGTGCAGGGTCACCAACCACCAGACCAGGCTGCCCAGAGCCACATCCAGCCTGGCCTTGAATGCCTCCAGGGTTGGGGCATCCACAACCTCCTTGGGCAACCTGTTCCACCTGTCACCACCCTCTGTGTGAAAAACTTTCTCCTAATATCTAATCTAAACCTCTTCTCTTAGTTTAAAACCATCCCCCTTTGTCCTATCAGTGTTATAGACTGTGAGATGAAATCTCTTCAGAAGGATAACTGTGTTCAAATAGACCTCTATCAAAAAGAGAGGATCTGCTGTATTGTACTACTGTATTTTTCGGAATTGTTCATTTCCACCTATTTTCTATAAAGAGAGCAATGGAAAATTATCATCCAATGTAGGTGCTTTAGAAGGTGTCTGCATGTAGATGGGAGAATAATCAGCTGCAATGCAAAATAAATCAACATAACTTCTCCATAGTCTGTGTTTCAAATTATTCCAGAGACCATCTTTACTTTTCCCAGTAAAGCATACTATTTTTTTTTTCCAGTTTGTCAAAATCTGAAGGTGCATTCTGTTTATAAAGCCTGGCTTTTCATAATTCCAGTTTGTTGTTTGGTCTGCAGAGAATTTAAAATGCAAAAATAAACACTTGTTTCATTTTGCTTTTGGCTGCAGTTGAGCTGCTCTGACTTTATTGCCAAGAATGTAACTCATGTATGTATGCGGATATGCGCGTAGAGTATAACTTACCGTAGGGTCTTTGCCAGCCATTTTGCACTCTTCAACCTTATTTGCTGATGCTGGCCACAAAATCTATGAGGAAAAATAATAAAATTAAGTAACATAATTATTACATAATTTATTTTTTAAATAACAAACAAAAAAACTATTGAGTTGCAGAATTTGCACTAGTAAGTTAATACTTTGATATTTTTTACACTTTGATTAGAAGATTTTTCACCTATAAATAATTTCTGTCTCAGAAAGCAGTAAATGAAATAAAAACTCAGATCTTTGGCAGGTACAAGTTACAATTATATATTAAATAATTAATTTATAATGAAGCTATATTTTAATAAGTTAAGTTATAAGTTAATCAATTTATTTTTCTTCACCACCATCATCATCATCGTCCTTCTTTTTTTTTTTTTACTTTATTGAACTTCTATAAATTGTTAACAGTGAAAACTTGAAGTCAAAAACACAGTAAAAACAATTCTTATCAGAATTCTTAATTTTTCTCAGTAAAGGTTTGCGTATCTTATCCTAATTAAAAACTTAAGATTTCTGGTTGATTTCTTGGTTTCTTTTCAAGATTTCCTGCAACACAGAGAGCATTTTGACAAACATCACTATGTCTGAATATTTATCTGAGCTATACTTAAACACTTATGTCTTCTGTTATTTATCTTGATTTTGGTGTAGAAAAGACATCCCTTAGAAATTTCCATCTGTAAATTTAATAAGTGACATGATCTGATAACATTCAGCCTCAAGATAACATAAATAATAGCATTAAAATTTCTCTCTACACGTAAAAATATATATTTTAATATACATACGTTACGCAGAGAGTTACAGGTTCATATGTATATAGCATATGTATATAGTGTTTCAAAATAGCGTAAAATTAATAAAGTGAATTTGTTATAACAATAATCAACTAGAGAAAGAATGTGTGGAACTGCAGAGACTGTTTATGAGCATGATATTGGGTGATCACAATCACTGACAGAAAACATTGGGTATTTTGCTTCTTTTTGATTTTCAGAAATTTTATTTTGGGTTTTCAATGTTTAGATTGACTGTCGAAATATTTCATAGTGTTATAATGCAGAACTTATGCCATAAAAGTGTTTGTACCTTACCAAACTCTGAACAAAGTCAGAAGCAACCTTTTAAGAGTATGCAGTGCATGACATGTCCACTTCCAGACTAGGCTGGCAGAATCACTGTGAGATCTAAACTAGCAAGAAGGCCACAGCAGCCACTTCCAACCAAAGTAGGTATCTCCACTACAGATGTTTATTTCCATACCAGCAAAAGGAAGATAAACATACCAACACACAAATGGGATTCAATTTAAATGTGTAAGTTAGAGAGTCAGGCAGATCAGACTCCCCACACAGTAAATTCAGGTAGACAGGAGTGTACAGAGGGTGATTCAGGGCAAAGCCTAATGCAAGTGCTCTTAATCACCCTTCAGTAGGGCCTCCTATCTCTCTGCTGACAAAACAAAGCCTTGACTCTTAAATATCAAACTTCCCTACCCCAAGTTGGATCTCTGCCCCTCGAAGCCCTGCCCTCGAAGCCCTGCCCTGAAGCTCAATAATAAAGCCCATAGATTATTTTGGTATAACGAGGTATATAAGGATACATTTTAAGGCGCAGGTGTAATACTGAAAATAGGTGAGGCAAAGTCTGTAGAGAAGTAATTTCTCAACAGTCCACTTTATGGACACACAAATATTTCTGCAGGCTGCTTATTTTAAAAGCAGAAAAGCTGGATTTGATTTACCTCTGGAAATAAAAAAGGAGTCTCAAAATGTTTTACTATTATTTTGATTCCTTTAATAAAAGCAGTGCCTAGTACAGGCTGAGGAGTTGTGACACAGAGAGATCACAGAAAATGGCATCTCAGCAAGTGAGAGAAACAGCCAAAAAAAAGAGTGCGCTGAAGTTCACACTGTCCATAAAACACCAAGCTGGTGGTGTCTCAGCTATCCAGTTGAAGGCTAAGGTCCAACACAGCCATAACAAAGGCTGAAAAACAGTTCAGAGAGTAAGTTTGGGAGTGAAAAACAGAAACAAACATAGTTGCGGGTTAAAGTCATCTCTGTTCCTGTTGCTTTTTCCCTTTCACCTGAAAATGATAGCACATCCCATATTCTTCCTTACAGTCTCTTTCTTTTTCTTTTTTTTTTTTTTTAAACTGCATCTCTGAATTATCTTAAATCTTCAAGAGGAGTGGAAACTATCAATCCATATAAATTTTCCTTATGGGGCCAAGCCATGGTGAACATCACTTCAAAACAAGTTAACAGTTGAAAACAATGGCTGAGGAGCAGCTTGTTCATCTTGCATTACACATAAAAAAAGTACTAACAGCTCAGTAAGGTGTGGGTCTGGACTTCTGCCTGATGCAAACTAATGAAATACACATTTTTTGTCTGAAAAAGAAATGCATACAGTAAAGAAACCTTGGATTCTCAAAATAAATACATACACTAAGAGGGTCTTGGCTTATATTATTGATATTCAAAGACAGAATGTGATCTTTGCTGCCCACATAGATCCGATCCTGATCTTCATCCATTAATAATATCCTGTAATCCAGAGGACTGTGTGATATTCTGTGATATTCAGAGGTCTTCGTCGCTTGAAGCTCTGAAATAGTAAAGACAGGAAGTTTGCAAGTATGTTCAGTTGCCATTATCACTTCAAAACTGCAACACTTTTTAAATAAAAAAATCTTTGAACTCAACTAAGGCCAACCAAAGAAGAAAAACGTTTATCAGACACTTAGTAATAACACAGTAGTTTCAATGCAATTCCTGGTTTGAATGCAAATTTTTCATATACTATGTAATTACGTGTAGCTCATAAAAATCCAGCATTGCCGTTATTCAGTCATGTAATAAGTCCTTATTTTAATGGGCACAATTATTTACAGCTTTGGTTTTTAAGGAAGATCATATATTAAATTAATCAGTATTTTCAATCCATTTTGAAATTTATGAAAGTGCAGAATCCAAAAGTCAATACAAACTATGCAAGAATAGTTAATTTGATATTCCTGACCGGGCTTCATTGACAATAGATTTTTGTTGTTTCCAAAGTCAATTTTTTTTTCAGTTCTTCATCACCATTCATGGCTTATTTAAAAATAAAAAAAAAAAAGTTGAAAAAATATAGAAGTATTTGATCAAGCCTAGATATGCTCGTTTATTATGTTGTTTGCTTATTGCTTATTGACCAAACTACCCGAAATGTAGAACTAGTTCTTTTGCTGTTGTTCTATTCCTTCACTTAAAACTTTCTTCAAGGAATTGAAGTGAAAAACATCCTTTGATCTCAGCAGTGCAGGATCAGGCCTGTTTCAGGAATAGCACAAACATTTGTAATGTAAGTATTACTTGCTGCCCTTGAAAAAGATCAGCCTTTCTGTTTTTGCTTGGCCAACATATTTTGGCCTCCATTCAGATTAATTTTCTTCTCACTAATAATAGAAGGGATATTTCTCAAAAATTGATAATGGAAAACAACCAAAACTTTTATCAATTTTCCTGTCTTTAAATGTTTGACATATTATTATGATGTGATCAGGGATATGTTCCCTCTGACTTTAACAGGGTGGCAAATATAGAATACAGAATATAGATAAGGTCTTCCTAAATTCATAGATCAGGCTCTCAGCCCACATCTTATAAACTGTATATAAACTGAAAATAAGACTTGTCTCTGTTTCTAAAGCCTGTGAGGTGTGGTTTGTTTGTTTGTTTGTTTGTTTGTTTTCCGCTAACTCAAAATCAAGGTTTTTGTTCTAGCATCTTCTACAGATAAGGGTAGATAATTTATCAAAAATTAGTCACGTTAGATTTTCAAATGACTAGATTAATGTGGGCCAATAATATTTTGGAAGGCAAAACTCTCAAAACAAAAAATATTACTGGATATTTACTCCACGTTAAAAATAAAATGGTCAGTAAATATGTACTTGCTGCAAAACATATTTAGCTAGAAATACATGTTTTTTCTTGGAGAGGAATTTTTGACAGGCTGGATACAACACAAAGGCAAACTCCTGAAGAGGACTGAGCTATCTCTTTACTACAGAAATAATGATTGAAAGAACTCTTAACAGAATATGATTTTTACTGATAAATATGATACATAATCCTACTTAATTTTTGTATTGATTATTACATAGCTTCACAGAAAGATGAAAAATACCTTTGATGACTGAAAGATATGATGTTTTGATTGTCTTAGACATGATAGCTTTCAAATGGTTTCCTACATGCCTTTATTTACGGTAATATTAAAAAGATTATTAATATTTCTATTTCATGTTTTTCTCAGCAAAAGTTAAACATTCAGTCAAGACCTACAGGCTGTGCTTAAGAGTTTAAAATGAAACTGGAGTCATTAAATGTATATGAAAATTGCCCATATAATTTTCAGAAATGTATCTTCAGTCATTGAAAAATCAATTGTTTTACTCTATTTAAAAATGTCTTTATGTAAACATTAATTGACATTTTCAAAAGCACCTGGGAGACTCATTCATACTACCATTAAATTTCAGACCCTTTGCTCTCTCTGAAATTCTCAGACTGACCTTTTGTAACATGCCTGAGAAGCTACTCCTCACCCTCTTTCCTGGGTGGGTTATTAACTTTACTGTAATGTCTGGCAGCTCTAAAATGAAATTGAACCATCTCATAACTGTATACTTGATATGCTAGAAAAGCACAGACAAACCGGGAAAGGCAGCAGTTTCCAGCACAACACTGTGTGAATGTGAGCATATTGACTGCACTATGTAATGTCCTCCCTTGTAGCTTCAGTTGAAATAAACATAATAGTGAGTAAACTACGACTGACATGCAAATAGCAACATATATTCATTTTCCATAACTGCGACTTACAGAAATCCATTACTTGACTGTATTTTTTAGCCTCTTTGTAAAGATAATTTTCTTTCTAAGGCATCAGGATACTCTGTTTCCATCAAGTTGCTGATAAGGGGAGCACCTTATGACATGCCACTGGCTTATGAAGACTCAATGCCGTGTCTATGATGGAAGGTAAACCCTTGAATTCAGTAGAATACTGCCCTAAAACAGAGACTCTCATGATTTATTACCTCTATTTCTTTCAGAGGTGAAGCTTATAGTTCATTGCCTACTAGAGGCCCCAATCAAGTGGGGAGGGAATTTATAATTATTTTCTTCTAACTTAACAAAATTTACCACACAATCATCTAGGGATGATAATAATAACTATTTTAAAATTCACTACCTAAATGCTGGTAATTAGAAAGTGCAGTGGCTTAAAAAATGCTGCAAGGCCTTCCACCTTCCCTTTTGTCAGATTTTGGAAAAAATGTTTTAAATATTTACAGGTTTTTTTGAAGCATATTTTATTCCCTGCTTTGTGAATTTACCTAGGCATTCAAGGCAGTGAAGTCTCTAAGGAGAATAATGTCACAGACAGATCCTTGTGAATATTAATATTTTTCTATGGCAATCAAAGTGAACATAATAATATATTATACATGCAAATAACTGCCATTACTTATGATGCAAGAGTAACATTTGTCCATCCTTTCTTATAGGTCAGTGAACTTGGTTTTGGTTTTCTTAGGATGATAACACCAATAACAAGTTGATTCCTACTATTAGAAATATGATATGGTTGAACAGCTCTTCTCTTTTGAGGAAGAACAAAAGCATCAATGAACTTTCTCCCCACAACTGTTATTGAAGTGCACACTCTGGAGCTCCCAGTGACCAGGAATTTTTGATGTGCACAGCGTATGACTTACTGAAAATTAGATTAGCACTCTTTAATTATCCTTCTAGCCCTCCACATAAAAGTTAATACAAATATTTTGGAGAAAATGACTTGATCTTGCAGAAGGAAAATATGTATATATTTGTGCTGTATCTATTGTTAACATCACAAAAGCCTTTTTAATGCTAAAAGCACACTGTGAACAAAGCAAATCACAGCAATCGGAGACTGGAAATCCAGGAATGTGGAGATATCTCCTTCCATTGACAAACACATTCTGTTATACCTGAACTATCCAAACTGCACATGTACATATGATTCACTTATCAGGCAGTCCTCTGAATGCCACATTTCATTACTTGACATGACCCTTTTAGCACTTATTTCACATTCACTGGTGTTTGAAAACATAACCTGACCTTCCTAATGTAAGGGATATAATAATCTCCAATGTGTAAGATGAAACAAACCTTAATGTGACTTCATCAGCATAAATCCTATACTAATATGTATACACTAATAAAACTAATGCGATATTTAGTGACACCTTCCTATGCAACCATCCCCAGCCCATGTCCAAGGCACTGAGTTTATCCACAGATAAGATTTGGATGGGCGGTCAGAGAGTGCATGTCAGCTTCTCAGCATTCAAATGTCTGTGGGTTTCCAAGCTGGCATGATTTCTTTGAGCCAATCTAGGATGATATATCAAGCTTTTAATTTAGGATCCCCTGTGGTAAAGTACAAGAAATAATATGTTTTCTTCCTCCTTCTTTTTGGCACAGGAATTAATCCTCAGAAGGTTTCTTTATGGGGAAGCTTCAGAGCAGAAGCACAGATTTAGATGTTAAAAAAAAAAAAAAAAAAAAAAAAAAAAAAAAAAAAAAAAAAAAAGGAATAAAGTATAATAAAGTAGAGCAATGGTAGAGCAATGGATTTACAGACAGAACATTGAAGGGGAGGAATCTAGATTTCTGGAGAAAGGTTCTCCACAGGGAATCTCTACTGCCCAAATTGGCACAGATTCTACATAGCCATAGTGATTTGAAAGTGAGGAAAACTGCACTGTTCTCTTTTATTCTGAGTTGTGGATGCCACCAGCAGCAGGCTGTGTGCATCCAGCAGTAGGCTTGAACACATTAGCCCCGACTTAATGAGACTGAAAGAGCCTCTTAAGTCTCATTATACCATTAGTATGTGCCAGCAAATGTGCCAGCTCATGCCAAATGTGAGACTGCAATATAAAATCTCAGTTTCTACAAGCAGGAATAGAACAAATTTTCCATCTCTTTCTTTTTTTTTTTTTTTTTTTTCCTCAAGAATTAAATCCTTAAGTAGAACAATGTTTTTGCTTACAGTATCTAATGGAAATGGTACCATTTTACTCTTCAATCACAACTGAACACATGAAAAAATGATTTGTTCATAAAGTTTAAAAAAAAAGTTAGAAAAAGTATTTTAAAAAGAAGAAAGTCAGAAGAAAGGCTCTTTTGATTATATTTTTAACATCTTCCATCCTATTCTGCATTAACTAACTAGCTGTTTTCTATCCTTCTAGCAGAAATGACTGGAAAAGGAGTATTTAGAAGATAATGGATTTCATAAGATCCTAATGACTTTAACTATTATTTTCTTGCTCTTATTTCTGATTTTTTCTTTAATATAAGGAAGTAGAAAAAAATTGTTATTTTTTACAGTTCTCAACACAACAGCATAAAAGTACACTGTTTATTAGATTGCTTTCCAGCTACGAGATGATACACAGTGACTACTTTTTTATGTTTGCAAAGAAATACACAGTCCACATATTTCCTTCTGAAAGCTTCAGAACATGTCACCTTTGCTCCATCAATATACCTATTCTGTAA